AGTTTGTGCCAGGCTATTGTTATTTAAGTTATAAAAAAAACAAAAAAAATCAGTCTTACGAAGAAAATATTATGTGAACAAGGTTTTGAATACTACAATTGATAAGCACAATATCACGTTAAGCTATAACGAAATAGACGAGTTTTACCGTTTGTTTCAAATAGTAGAACACCAAATGGTACAAATGAAGATTAAAAGGTTTGTTAAGTTTAATTAAATCTTCATCAGAATCTTTAGTTAAATGGATAACGATATAAAACACTCATTTGATAAGAAACTTGGTAAACATACACTAAAGAAATATTGCAGCATATCTAAAAATAACGTTTTTGATAAATGATCTTATTTTTTTATACTTTTTGTGATACTTCTTATTATATTTATTCATGTTAGGTTTTGATTCAATTATTTCATTATCTATATGTTGTAATTTTACAATAAGATCATGGTCCTTGAATTCAGTGTCACGCATATACATCTTGATTTCACTTAACATATGTTCATATTTAATGTGTGCGTGTTTGGATTGTTCTATTTTTGCATCAATATTCTTCTGTTTTAAGTACGCTTGTATTAACATTGCAACAATTGAAATCGCTACTAAAGCAAATCCTTTTGTTGCAATACAGTAACTGATGCTATTCCTCCTGCTGCAAATACAACACTTAGAAATTCAATACTCTTTTTTCAAGTAAAAGTTGTGATAAGATCTCGTTTTAATAATAATTGTATCAAGTGAATTGCTGTTTAAATTTTAATGATGTTGTTATATTTCAATCAGCACAATTTTTTATCAGTAGATTTGTCTCTTAATCTTAGCATTAACTGTGTGATTATTTTTTACGAATAAGAAGTGATTTAGAAAAACATTTAACTATAAAAAATTGGGATAAAACATTTCTTAGGAACTTTTTAAGATTGCTACAAAAAGACGACGTTTCTCATTATCAAGTCAAAAAAAATATTTGTAAGTTGTAAGCTACATATATCAAAGCTTTATAATAATAATAATAATAATAATAATTTAGGCATAAAATCATAAATTTTAATTCACTAAAATTCTTTTCCAACAATATAGTATAAACTTAATTGAATTAAAATCTGTCATAGGTCTCATTTCACAAAGTTATTTCATTCTAATGATTACATTCTATCGACTACAATCTGTTACTTCCTAATCCTATCCTTAACTATTTCCGAGTTCAACCTAGCTCAAGGGAAATATCATGGAAAATCTTATTTGAAGATAAAAAATAATAAAATAAAAAATAATAAAATAATAATAATAATAATGATAATGATAAAAAGTTATACCGTGCGAAAAGAACAATAGTAATTAAACAAAAGTTTGGCACGTATGAAGTCTGTCTGGAAATTTAAATTAGGCTTGAGATTCTTGATGAACAGCATTTCAATTAAAGACCAAACAATCAAATTTTCACCGGCACTTTCTTATAAAGTGATTATTTTTTAAAGTTGCAATTACACCTGTTATTGTCTTACCTGATAGAGTTTAATCAACATTAAATGTATGTGATTCTTCATCTCCTGATGCTTGGGAATGATATGTGTCTACATTAAATGACGTGTCTACATTAAATGATATGTGTCTACATTAAATGATATGTGTCTACATTAAATGATATGTGTCTACATTAAATGATATGTGTCTACATTAAATGATATGTGTCTACATTAAATTATGTGTCTACATTAAATGATCGACTCGAATAGCTAATTCTTTCTCCTTCTCTTGCACCATATGATGTAAAATAATATATAGAGTTAGCCAAGCCTAAAAGAGGAGCTCGCATTTTTTTTCCCCGCACGTCTCAAGGGCATAACGCCTTGCCCCGGCCAGGACTAGAACCCGGGTCGTCCGACTCGGAGCCCAGTGCACTGACCACAGGACTGCTGAACAAAGCCGTGGCTTAAAAAATCTTGCGAAAAGTTTCAAAATTTTGTTTTTCTCAAATTAGAGAAAACATTTGCAAAATCTTAAATTGTACCGAATGATACATGGTCATAAAACTCCGGAAGGCCTAAGTCAGGTGTTAAAATTTTTCGCTGGTTCGTTCTCTTTCCAAATTGAGGGAACTATGCGATAAAGGGGATAACTGAGGAAAACCTGGTGCTGCGTTGGTTGGGGTTATTTCAAGAAAAAAAGTGTGGTTACATTAACTAAATTGAGATTGTAAATTCGCTGTCAAAGCGAATGACAAAAGGGTAACGCATGAAACGTTAGCTGCAGAAACTCTTCATGATGGCCAATTTATATTACAAACTCATTTGATCAAATCCAACACATAACGAGTTTGAGTCGACGGGTGTGTTTTTTCTAATCGCGCTAAATTGTGCTAAAGGAGAGCAGCAATCAAGATTTTAATCGTTTTTAGTTTTGCCAACTCTCCTTTTACAGCATACACGACACAGGCATTGACATGCCAATCTTATCACCATGACAATTATCGCTACTATGGCAACAAGGAAAGCTGTGACGTCAAGTAAGTAGTACTGGTACCAAGGGATGTGAAACACTTGAGCTCTGAGGGTCGGGTCCCACCATGTCTGAGCACATACTCTATCCAGTCAGTCTATCCAGCTTTCTTTAGGGGAGTCCGTGGACTGTCTTTCATCAGATGAGAAATGCGCATGGCTGTTTCCTTGAATCTTAAATAAAACAATTCGAAAATTACTGAAAGGATTGGCTCATGCACCCAATCTGTAACCTCTCAGAGGCCCGGGAGAGCGATTCAAAGAGGGGATTTGATTCCTAAATGGCTGACACGAGGGTCATCTATTTCATCGGCCAAGAAATGCGTTTGGCTCATTACTTGAATCCCAAAAAGATGTGAATTAAAATATTTCAAAATGACTACAGCAACAGCGGCTTGTAGAGACTTTGTCACTATTTCTACACGGCAATGAATTAAACCGGCAGTACTAAGTTGGTACTGCTGGTGAGGATCAATATGTGGTTGAAAATTTGCTTGAATATGCTTGTATATGAACAATTTAAGAGATAGTGACGAGGCTTTTAGGGAAGAACAGGTATTTTTGTTGTGAAAATGAATGAAAAAAATTCGCCTGTCTTGAAATAATAGTACGTTTCCACAGCCAAGGAAACTACTAGGAAAGTGATTCCTCAAACAGGCATTTTATTCATGGGAAGAAATTCCGTAGAAATTGGAATCCAAACGAGTGTAGCAATACTTTTTTGAAAATACATTGGTTCATTCATCACAAGCTCTATGGCCTTTAAGAGCTCTTCAGCATCCATGGTTTTGTGATCTAATACTGTTGCTATTCCAAAGTATTCTGCTTTCCTGGCATTAGAGAATTGGTCTAAAAACAACGGAACAGCCACCACAGGAACCCCATGATATGCTGATTCATAGTAACTGTTAGTTCCGTTATGAGATACAAAAGCTTTGATATCCTTGTGAGCCAACAGATCATTCTTTGGTATCCAATTCACTACCTTGATATTTGAACTGACAGATGACGGAATGTAGCCTGAAAAGGAATTTATAAACAAATATTGGTAGAACAATTTTCAATTGCGTGTCGATAGTAATTCTTTATTGCTTAAAGCTGCTGTAAGTGGACCCAGCGTTAAGCCGGCGGACACCGGGAACTAAGCTGACACCAAATATTCAGCTTTAAAATCGTGTCAAAGTCAGTTTAATGAATTCTGTGAGTATTATCCTAAAATTTACCTTGACAATGGCGTTATGAAGACTCCGAAACGTCGGTTCATATCGCTATTTTTTACGTGTTTATGTATAACTAAATCTTTATTGATAACAAAGTAAGTTTATAAGTGCTGCAATGATGAATGCTGGAGTGCGTTCTGTTTAGTTTGCAACACATGCATTGGTCATAATAGGTTCGATTTGAAATACCGTTTAATGTAAAAAAGTCAAAGGCAAAAGGCGCACAGTACAGCACACTCGTTCGTTCAACATTAACTAACGTTCCCTATAGCTCCAATCGGTCAAAGAAAAGCGAATTAGTTTTGAGTTTCTTTACGGTTACCAAAGGGAAAATTGTTACGGAGAACCAGTCAATTATTGACCAAATTGCATTTAGTTACTTAGTAGTATCTTTTGTTAATCTTTCCAACGACGAATTCCAGTGCAAGAGATCAAGGTTTGATTTAGCTGTCGAGCACTACATTTCGATACAAAAGTTAAACCATCCAATATTTCGCAGCTCTATTTCGTAACGAGTAAAAAACTCTAATCGACCCTGGCGCTGATTTCAGAGCCGCCAGTTACTCAGAATAGTTAACCACAACTCAGTGATTATTCATTACTATTCCCTTTGGCTTCGACTACTAATTGACGGGTTGATTATCGATCGTTCGATCGAACTCACCGCATGCCCTCGTGAAACCAACTCCTCCATAATTCTCTTTATGTTGACATAGTGAGATCCTGACGCCAATCCGCTAAAACCTGCAATCTTCGCCGAAAAGGACAGGTCCACCAATATAAACGAAAGAAGAAGAGCGAACGATATTTTCAGTGCCATACGGTATCGAATGTTCAGCTCAAGCCCGAGTTGAGTTTGATTCACGGGTCACGTTTGGTAGAGTCAAAATTTCCTCGTTTACAATTTATATTGGGGGGGGGGGGGGTAGGGGGGCAGGGGGTTTGATTTCTGTGTCAAAATGATGCACCAGGAATGCAAGAACACAAAGTTTTAAGCGTAAATTTTAATTCTGTACTGGCTCATAGCTACAAAGTGATGCGCTGACTAGTGACTCGAGCTTGACTCGTAATACGGTATAACTGTGAGATTTCGCACGAAAAGGGCGAGCGAATGAGGAAATGCCGAACGAGGAAAAACGTGGAGGAGAAGATCATTTCTGCTGAGATCAAGCTTTGAACATCAATTTCAATGAAACATAAGCTCTAAACGTAAACTCTAAAAGTAAACTATAAAAAGAATTGTCTGAGTCCAAGCCACTAGCAATTTGTGTATCAAGATCATGACTGACGGGAAGTCACGAGCATCCGCAAAAAGGCTTTTGATGCTAATTCTTAAATGACGTCATTTTGTTGTCAATATATCTTTGTTTTATCTGGTTTATAACTTGCAAATATCCTAGACGCAGAAGCCATCACGCTATTGTTTCAGTCTTCCCGGCGTAACTGTCACGCTGAGGGCTTTTGATATTCTTTAAATCCCGGAGACAAAAAGCAACCTCACTTCCAGGGTCCTCTCTCCTTCTCCAAGAAACATCTTTTTCGAGAGATGAAAAGAGAGGACCTTGGGAATGAAATTGACAAAAAAACGGGTAACTGCTTCTGAAAGTTCAAGTTTCTCATCGGATAGATTCTTTATGAAGATGTCTCCTAGATACAGGCTACGCCTTAAAAATAAATCCGTTCTTGGGTATGAACTTTTGAATTTTTTGATAGCTTTAACGATCCAAAAAAACATGTCCTTTCGTATGCAAGTAGGATCAGACAGACGGGCGAAGAGAAAAGTCTGGGAACGAATGAGTTCGCAGCCTGTGATTGGCTAATCGCTTTTCCATACAATTTCCCTTCAAAGAACATTTTAAAAAAGAGATATGAAGTTATAGCACGTAAAAATCTCTCGATTTAATTTGATAAAAATTAGTGATACATTATATTTTTTTTCCTTATTAGTAAGAGCAATTTTTGATCGAGTGTCGAAAGTTATCAGGGACTTGTTTCTTTTCGCCTCGTGATTGGTCAAGAAAACTCATGCCACTCTCTCAACCAATCAGATGCAAAACTCGATCGACTGTGTTTTCTTGCGTCAAAGGAAATTTGGTAGGTTTTACTTCTCATTCTCATTGGCTCTTAAAGGTTCTTATCTTTCTTCTGATTGGCTCCTAAAGGAACTTATCTTTCTTCTGATTGGCTCTTAAAGGTACTTTTCTTCCTTTTGATTAACTGTTGTGATTAACTTGGCTCTGTTTTCACGACACTCAATCGAAAAGCGCTCTATGAATCATATTCATCTTCTGGTGGCTCCACTCTCTCAGGAATATAAATAGGCTTTAAATCCTTCGGTTTGTGCGAGCAGTAAATTGATGCTGGGCATCCCACGACTATCACGTGGTTTTTCTTGACCCAAAACCTCCATAAGCCATGATGATATCCTCTCGCGTCTAAATCCCACATTTTCAGACAAGTAGCGATGTTTTTCCAGGTCTTGTGATCGAAAGTTTCCTCCATTCTTATGTAAAACACGTACAATTCGCCTTTAGTGTCAGGAACAAAGTTTCTGAATCTTGTGCACGGCGTCTCCGTGTGGTCCAAAACCTTAGCTTTGCTAAAAAAAGGACAAACAAAAAAACAAACAATGGAGTGATGATCATTTTTGTCAATTCATATTTTAAGTGAAAGGAGATATTAAGATTTTGTGAAAGAACTCGTCTCCTATAGCTTTTTCCCAGGGTCGATAATAGAACCTAACATCGCCTGTTGGTTCAGCGTGTGATTAGCTCTATTTTTTTGGTTCCCATGGTTTCCTCCGACTAATCCGCTCTTCTCCACATAGAAACCATCAAAAGTTAACAAGCTAAACGCGATGTTGGCATTGTTACGAGCACATTACTCAACCAGTTCACCAAGTTTGTTGCCCTTCCAATCCTCCTGAAAACCATCAGTCTCGTAACCAGACCTTCCACGGCCAAGCAGTTTTGAGTTCCTGCATTCACTTACCGCTAAACGGTGGGATCTGGGTACGAGATTAGTAGACCATGCAATTCCCCCTAAATACTCCTACCCCCTCCAGGCGATAAGAACAGGAAAGAAAGTTGTGTCTACCCTAAACCAACAAATTATTTAAAGACAGAGCAAGGAGGATCGTTACTTTTAGGCGTAAAAGGTTTCAAAGAATGGAATCAAACAAAACAGAGACATTAGACAGTAACCTCGTTTCCAGGACTTTTCCCGATTTACGTGGGGAAAGTATTGGAACCGAGGCTGATTAAACAAATGCTCAACAGAGGCAGATGAGACAGCTCACCTCAGAAGTTGGTTGATCTCCTTCTCGTAGTTTTCTTTGTACATTTTATCAACATCCAGCTTTACATTTGGTTTTGTATTCAGGGAGTGTTTTGCAAAATACCGAGCCTGCATATGACCACCCACGTTCAGCCCCTTGCCGCCGAAATGATATGTTCGTGAAATGTCAGGGATGATACATTCTCGACCTTTCCTGTTGTGGTTACCCCGCATCCATATGTCCCAGTCCACAAAGTCCTCAGGTCTTGGCCATTTCTCCTCCAGTTCGTTTTTAAAAAGCTTACGACTCAACACCCTGGAACCAGGAATCCAAGTGTAATATTGAGTGGCATGTACCCTGCAGATTCTACTCATTAAAATCCCCTCCCTTATAACCAACGTATCACTGCCTCTCCCCCTTGAACCTTACTTTAAGCAAAAGTGTACGGTCCAAGATTGTTGACCCAGCGGGTGCGGAACCTCCCTCTAAGGCAAATTCTGCGAAACTATTCTCCGCCTCAGCATAATTGGAAATTTTTCTTCATCTGATACCAATCAATTATGATCTGATATCAAAGCGATTTATCATACTAGAAGTCTGTCGAAAAAAGGTTTTGAAAGATCATGATCAAGCTGGAGATAGTGAGAGGGCCATTTAATTTTTTTTTTTTTCTCTCGAACCACTCACCATCCCAGGCCCGGCATAGTGTCCACTCTGTACGTCATGGCGGGGTCATTACAGAGATGATCATATCCCTAAAACAAAACATTACACTGATCACCCGGGCATTATACCCTCTTTCCCCTTTATCAACTAAGGGGGGGGGGGGAAGAGAGGGGGTGGGGAGAACGACAGAGGACTAAGGAAGGAATCACATGGTTTTTGGGGCGAAGGGAGGGGAAAAGTCGTCGCAAACAGAGTACGAAGGTGGACTGTAGAACATAGACTGCTAATTAACTGCTGACGAAAGGGGAGGGGGGGAAAGATCATAAAATATTACAGAGCCTCAAGGGGGATCAAGTAGATTTGATCGCGACGCAACCAAAATTCCACTTCTTCCTCCCCCCTCCGGCGGTAGATAATCTCCATTTCCTAATTATTGTTGAACACACAACTTGTACCACAAAGTCGCACTAAAATCGTTCTATATAACAAATGGCAGAATTAAACCTTTCTTCTCACAGTGCTAGCGCCAGAATGATATAAGATATATGGTCTCCTAGCTTCTAGAGCCTAACATAATTAACCTTGGACAGAAATTACTTTGATCGATCTATTCACCTACGTTGAGTCTAAGAAATTGCTGATAAAAATACGTTATTTTTCTCGTTAACTTTTTTAAGATGTATTTTAAACTCGTAGCTGATTCCGTTTTAGCGGCGATATCGTTGAAGGCTGATAAAAAATGGTTCATATCCTCTGATAACTGGGCTTTTCTTTTAGCTCGATGTCACTCACTTGTTCTGACATTCGAAAATGCCCAGTCGACACATATACGCCTAGACAACCTATTTATTTACCCCAATTCACAACACAGTCAGGTAAATCCAATCGCTTTAACTGTTTGGATCAATGTTAGTGTCTGACTAACTGCACATCTACCCCTCTCCTAGTCAATATTAACCCTTACTTTGTTATCTGTTGATTGTTGTTGGGTTAGGCCAGGGGAGGGTAGGTGCGCAGTCGTTCAAATACTGACATTCATTCAACTGTCCTAACGAACGAGTCCCCCCCCCCCCTTGTGTGTTTTTTGCTTTCTTACCTGATCGTTCCAAGCTGATATACAATAAACACTTTCATCGTTCTCATAGACGGGGAGAAGCTGTTTAAAGTAGCTCAGAATGTCCACAGACACGTCGAGATCTTCCTCCAGTATCAATAAGAAGCTAGCATCAGGATGCTTGTCGAAGGAGTCAACGATGGATTTCTTGTAATGCTAAAAAAGACACTTTTTTTAAACTAAAAAATGAATCGTTTGTAATCCCATAAGGACTTTGGCGCACCACGAAGCTCCTTCTAAGTGTAAAAGACACAGGACACGTCACGATGAAACACGGATTAAACTATTCTTTTCATTGTTTTCGTCATTATTTTGTCCTTCTTTTTTCTATCGTTTTGCGTCGATATTGTATCTTTTATACCAAGCAGAACCTGCCTCAGTGACGCTTTTAAGCATAAATATCACGGAAAAGACTGCTGTGAAAGTAAACATCAATTCCCCAACTGATATCGATTTATTGTACCTGACAAATTCTGGCGTTCCGCCGGCTGACTCCAGCGTGTTGCTCAAGGTTGACACCAAGGAGCCTGGTAATGGAAGCAGGTTCCGGCCAAAAACCATCTATGAACACTGTCATCATACTTGTGTCCAGTCCATGGACCTTTTGCATGCCTAAAAGCATGCGCAATAGGTAGCTTGGCCTATTGCTGGCCATGATCGCTATAGGGAGCTTGAAGCGGCTCCCATCTGGGAACGCGGGTGGGTCGATTTCCAGAGGAACAGGATTTTCACCTGAACGTAGATCAAGTATAGATGCAATTATGTTATCAAGAGGATAAATTACTGTGGCGGAAAAAAGGGTGGGGGAAAGGAGAGTAACCTGGGCCCGAGTGAGGCATCTTATGTTCTTTCCGTGGTGTTTCAAATTCCTTCGGCTTTGCATTGCGAGTATTTTGTTCTGGCCAGTGGATTACGAAGTAACTGTCACATTACAGATCAAATAGAAGGTCAAATGCTTTCCTTCGCGGAAACGATGTGATGAATTTTACTCCATATAAGTCAGTTTAAGTTATCCTACGTGGATCTCAAAATTTATGTTCGAAAATTTATTAATTAAAATGAAATCAGGAAAATAAACCCAAGGTTAAACAACAAAACTTACATCTGCAAACGTTTCCGTAGCCTTCAAACTTTCCACAGAATTCCATCCTCCGTCTATTTGCTATGGTGTCTTCCCATTGACACTGGACGACATGTTCAGATTTCAGTTTTATCAGGGTTCGTATTTTTATCGGACTTGCCCACTTGTTAGAATCAGTAGGGTTCTGATAGCTCTCTGCGTGCACGATGCGCTGATTTTTCGTCACAGACACAACAAAGGCCCACGTGGAGCGAAACCTCAACTTTTTTATGAAGGAACTGCCATAACTTGACAAGAAACTGATAGCGTCTTCGGACAATCGGGCAATGGCTTCGTCCTGATTCGTGGGAGAGGTATAAGGTTAGGCACCATTCATTATCTATCGCTTTGGAAACGGAGTGAGAATCAGTTGTGGCCAACAGAGTATAAAGGGGGGACTCCTCCGATTCTCTTCCCCCCCCCCCACATGATAAATATTGACCGATCTCTTTAGTTTGCATGATACTGGGAAAGTTCTCTATCGGTTGAAAACTTGTGTTTTTTTTTTCAAACGGACCCTCGCTAACATATTACGAACCTTTAGTGCTTTAGTGGTTAAAAATGGAAGATATCTTTTTTGGTTGATATGATCGAACATTTCACTGTCGTGGTTTGAATATCTTGACTGTCAAAGTTCTTGAATTGCAAAGGCGTGGTTGAATAGATGATGGTAATCAAAATGGGGAGCGCTCTTTTAAATTTGTAAAAGTGGCACCCTGTACTCGGACAGGAAAATATAGTATATAAGAGTTAAAGAAAAAAGAAACACCAACAACAACCTGGCTCGTCAGTTCCGTCTGAACATCGCGAAGTTATTGCACGGCTTCATGGGAAAAATAACAATAACAACAACAACAACAACAAACATCCAGCCAATATTTCAATCAACCGGTGAAAAGTTCCAAGGGTACTGTGCTAACGTAACTTTGAATAAATAAAGTCAGGTTACAGTGAGGACTCAAACCCATTCCGTTCGTCTCGTGGTCCAAAACACTGTTCTTTTGGGCACCGTCTCCTTAATACATGAATATGTAAAAATTCAATTACCTTTATAGCAAAGCAGACGATTCTACCATCTCTAAGGCCTTTCAGATATTCGATGAGAAAACCGCTGTCCGCGTCAGATTCATAAGTATCAAACCATCGTGATGACATCACAACACCTGTTACTTCATTTAAGACTACTACGTTCAATCCTCTTATTAACATTTCGGATGTGTCCCACCTCTGTCAATAGAAAGTGCATTAAAACGGTAATTAAGCTGACTCGCCTTCCTGATGAAATGTTTCGAAAAGTTATCAAACCTTTCCAAGTTAAATGGTGGACAAAAATTTATAAAGTATTTTTCTGTTGTCGAGAAAGAGTATCTACCACCCTTACTCCCACATTTGAGGTCCCCCATCTCCTAAATATAAAGTATTTTCCAAGCTATCCATATACAACCTTACCAGCTGGGTAAAAAAGAAATTCAGCCATATAACCATGGAGAAGAAGCATCACATCGACATTCTTATCTTAGCTGTATGTAACAAGTTTGGCACCATGGACCTAGTTTAACGGCCTGGCCTACCACAACTTTCGTATGGCTTAGTGGTTAAGCATCTGAAGTACTAATCTTAAGGTCGAAAGAAACAAAACAAAACAAAGCCCCGAGGGATTAGAAATTGGTTTGCATCACGCATTAACCTTTTCACCCCCCCCCCCCTCCCACCCCACACTGGTCAAAATTTAACAGAGGTGTATTGTTGGAGGTCGGTAAAAATATTTTGAATTAAATTTCAATACTCACGCTCTGTCCGTTTATCGTCAACGTGACATTTTCCTTACTGGACAACACTGCTAATTCCAAGAAATTGCCTTCTACAAAATGAAGAGTAAGTACAACTTAAAAGACACCACTAACCTCAGCAAGTAATTGTGCGTACAAAATAGCCATCCTTCTTTTCACTAGGCATGCGCAAGATGGCGCACAAAGAATAAATCCATGGTTCATGACGTTTGTCTCTTTAGAGCATAAGCAAAACATTGATACGTAATATGCAGAATAAGAAAATGTTATCCTTGCTCTTTCCAATCAAAGCGATGAAATTATCTTGCAAGTTTAGCAACCCCTGATTATTTCCGATTGCAAATTTTGCATGGCCATCTGAATATTATTCTCATGCCAAAAAATTAGGAATTTGTCGACGGAATTATTTGTAGTGTCCTGAATTTGATTCTAAAAGAATTAAAAAGTGCAGATCTAAGATATCTTAATCTGTAATTTTATGAGAAAATAACATGTTTATATGATGTAATAAAGAGAATACCTTTTAAATCAAGCTCATCACCTTGTGTTCGTCCCTTGTTAGACGCCGAAGTCAATGTCGTTTTATCTTGCTCAGAGCTCGTTAAGAGAGCGAGTTCAGAGGCAGTTTGAAGAAAAAATACCATGTTAAAGATAATTAATACTCCCGTTGAAACGAAAAGAGTCCAAAATATTACTTTTCCGAAGATCCTGCGAGTTGATCTCGTTACAACCATGACTGTGTTTCAAAACCCATTCAAGTTACGGCCACGTTCGTTGGTGAATTTAACGCATCAAAAATAAACTTTCTCGTACTTCTTCCTGAAAACGGAACAGCAATATATCACTGCCAAGTACCAGAAAAATTGAAATGATCGACGAGCGGAGCTGTAGATATCTTCAACCTAACGCTGCTAGATTTCACTCATAATTTGAATGCACTCCAGTATTGACGCTTCTCGTTTTCTGAAGTTTCGCTGTTCTGCATCACCCAAGGATCGGTCGGTTACGAAACCCCAAAACAACCAAATATTCCTCGAAAGCAATACGTAGCTTCGAGAAATTTTCTGCGGATAATATCTTATTGCTTTTTAAAAAGGGGACCTCGAAAAAAATAAACTTTAACACTAATTAGCTTTGTTTCTAAGTAACGGTATTAACTTCACCGAAAGAATTTTTCGACGTGTCCTGCCGAACAAAGAGGCAGATTTATTACGAAAACTTAATAGAGCAAAAAAGATCCGAAAGCTAAAATTATGAATGTATACCGCAAAAGATATTTCGTACAAATGAGTAAAATCTGGAAATGCGAAATTTGAATAAAGTTTGTTTATTAATTTTTAAATTTGTTTCCATACGATCAAAATCTTTCCTTTAGGTACACGACGGTCTCAAAACAGATTGCTCAACCCCCGGCAATGATATAATTTATGAAATTTTCTGAATATTGCATTTCAGTCCAAGACCCAGGGGATTGAAATCAATTCCAGCAGTTAACAAGTAGAAAAAGAAATAGGTCTCAGAAATTATATTATCTTTTTCCTCCACCGCTGAAAATGCTGTAAGATTTAACGTTGACGCTAACGCGTTTTGAGGCTCCAATATGACCTTTAATTCGAAAATTGTCTCCCTACCCCCTACCCCCACCCCCCAAAAAGAAATTTTTTTCTTGGTTATTTACTAAGTTAGGCTACTCTTAGAAATCTCAAACCGCAGTAGGAAAAAACCTTTTTACTTTGGATAGGGGTAATAAAATAAATTTTGAAGTCTAGAGCTGGATTCTTTGCGAGGACTTAATATTTTTTTTCTATATCCCACGTTCGTGACAAGACAAGAAATGTCTTTCATTCTCTAACAACTGCGATAATTTGCATATTGCTTGGACGAAAAAAACTCGGCTGAGATGCGCTGTCTCTTTGAAATAAAAATAAAAAAGTGTTAGATTTAAATTATTTTGAACATTTTATTCAACATTCTTTATGAATCTTCCATAATATTTTTAAAATGGAGAGTCCTCTGGTCTCTGATGTCCAGCTTAAGTCGTTCTCAGGATCTTATTTCCCTCTCCTCAAAGAGAACACACCAGTGCGACAAACCATTTTCCCCCATAAGTTTAGAGAAATACTTTGAAGTAAAAAGCCAATTCTATACTCAAATATGTTCATTGTGTCTCCAAGTTCGAACTAAATTCTTGATGAAGAGTGCATGTCGTTTGACTTTTTCGTCAAACTTTGTATGAAGCTGTTTGTCATTTCCTGACAGAAGCGACTTTTTATTTGTAACCAAGTAAGACGTGTCGCAAAGTTTTATTATTTTCTGTTGGGTTCAGTTGTACGATAGCCTCGCTTGATGCGATACAAATTCTCTTGTGCGCTTTTCTCGGCTTCATATTTCTGTAATTCGTCTTGTAGTTTGGAGACTTTCCCTTTAAGTTCATCATTTTGATCGCGAAGCAACTCGAGAAATCTGTCTTTCCTATCCACAGCCATTTTCAACCTCTCTGTTTCGGCCGAACATGATGCAGAACTGTTCGAGTAAAGAATAAAAATAAGCACAGACCACATGGTGGCAATGCCTAAAATAGCGTAATTGAAACGACTAGTGCTAACCATGTTGTAAAAAACTACAATGAGTTGTAAAAAACTGATAAATTTTCTTCCAGTGAAAACTGTTATTTTGTTGATTAAACCCAGCTGGATGACGTTGGGCCGTAAATAAGCCAATGAGATTCACTACGCTATCATGTGTTTTTAATAACAGCTGTTCACTCGAAGTTTTTCTTGCATACGGAGCGATGATTCAGTAACTTAATTTATTCGCAGCTATTACAGAAAAAATTGCCGGTTTGGCCGGGTGACCATCATGAAGGTATGAATCATCTTGAAACTTGTGTCACTTGAATCTAGAAGAAAAAAAGATGCAAACAGAAAATAAGCCATGTTGACATCAGACTTGAAAGAACACTCCTTCATAAAAGCATCTATAATTAAGGAAAATAATGATCCATAGCAACGGTCTTTTCTATAAACTGCATATAGTTGACTTTTGCTTGAGCTAACATGTAAATTCTGATTCTAAATTTCTCGCGAATCATTGGATAATCATATCGTAAAAGGGCGAAAAAAATTAACAACTTGACTTACACCATAGGTAATTAAACTAATATTCAGCGGGTAAACGATGAATGAAGAAGCAAACTTTATTGCATAATTATCATGAAAAAACATGTTGTTTAATTTTCTGTAATATGGTGAAGTCCACCTGTTCTGGAGGTATTTTAGTTCAATTTTTTTTTAACTGAATATCTTAGAGGACGAAAAGTCATCGGGTTGCGCAAATATAAATACTTATTGCTCATAATTCTGGCTGATAACTCGCCGTATGTCACGGCTGGATAATGGCTTAATAAAATAAATTCTCTTTTATTTGATGAATTTCATGAAACAGGCTAAGGTAATTTTAGGCGAGATACAAAATAAACGGAGCGAGTAATCGTAAGGAAATGCCTTTTTATTCTATTAAATTCGCGTTCTTCAATAACAAAGATAAATGCAGACATAAAAACGGATTTTGGCGCAAAATGGTAAATCGAAAAACTGAAAAAACGACGGCGAATCCCTTGTTTTTTCCTTCTGCCAGAGTGAAGTGGGTATCTTGTGATATCAAAACAGTAGGATTGAAAATTTTTTTACTCAAGGAGTAATTGTGGTTAGTTGACCACTGTTTCAATAAACATGAAGAGAAAAAAAAATATATTCTTATCCTTCCGACAAAACTGCAGATGAATTTAATATCTGAATTTTCGAGAGGATTCTATCTATAGTTTTGAATTTTACCGTTCAGGATGGCTACATGTATCACCAAAAACAGCTATCGGCTTTTAAGTTGAAAGCAATAAATAAACCGTCAGCAAGCAGTTTTTCGCTAAGTAATTGTGGGTAGGGATATATTTGGTAAAATATGTAAATCTGTTACGGAGTGGATGTGTTTATGAGCTTTGGTCAAACGGTGAAGTTGGAAAATCATATCTTACCGCTTGAGTTCGCTTTTTGAATTTACCCATATAATCACTGCGGAAAACTGACATGACATGCAACATTAACAAAAGCGAATAAATTTTAACAGCTTGTACATCGATTGATTTTAGAGTGAAGTGATCAAAAATATGATAGCATTGTGAATTCATCGGCAAAGCTCGCGTATAAAGCATCAAACCGAAATTGAAAACCATAATCGAGTGCAATATAAAAAATTAGAAATTGTCTCAGGAAAATTTTTAAAGTTATTACCGTTATTCAGTACCTAAAATGTATCCTTTTTTTAAAACCGTTCCTTGTCCTCATCCAGTATTCACTATCCAAGATGTAGTGTTCTGCAGTTCAAATGGACGATAGTTTTAATAATGGATCTTTTGAGTAAATAGATATCGTTGCCCTCCGACTGTTCGCTGTGCATATTGATGAATTTTTGAAGTGGGGGCGAATGATGAATAATTATGTAATAATCAGAGTTCGATACCATTTGCCGAGGACAAATTTTAAGATTTCGGCTGTATAGCATTGTTTACCGACATACAGGTTTCTCCAGTTAGAATAATTTCTTACTTTATCAGGAACTCTAAGAGTTTTTATTATTGGTACTTCGACGTTCAAACGATTTTAATCTCGTGAATGCTCATTAAAAAAGTTATTCTGCTGGTCAGCAGATTCTATTCGCGAAGTATAAAGAAAAAAACTGACAGCACATGTACTAGAAAGACTGATGCAGCTGCAGTAATAGTACTAGTAGTGGACTTAATTTCTCCATGTGATAAAATTTTCATATCTAATACTACAAAGTAAAACATAAGGTAGCAAAAAGCTCAAAATAGTAAAAACATCCACAAAAATCCAAATTTGCAACGCGATCTCATGTTCAATAATTACACTATTTACATAAGAATCGATTTAAAACGATTTGTATAAACTTTGAGGCGATGTCTTCATTTGTTTCCTAAGTTATATTTCGTTTCTTTTCTCTTAGAGAATAAAATCTAACTTCGCTATTTTATTGAATATGTTATTGTCCAGTATTTTCTAGAAGTTCAATTACGTTAGTGGCTCTAAATATATGTTTGCGCTTGCAGCATCTTTTAAGTTCTGAATCACGTTGACGGATTGGCTCTAAGAGAGCCACTCACTGAAAGAGCGTAAGTGACTTTAAGAAGATCTAAAATGGCGAAAAAATGCTCCATCTCTGTGCTTTTTATCGCCCTTAATTGGAGTACTGAGTTCTAGAGTGAATGATGGCTCCATCTGAAAATGATTTCCTTTGTTTTTTTTTGTCTTCATCGTCAATGACTTGCTCTACTTCGCAGCTATTTGGTTAATTTTGTCACGCAACGCGGAGAGCGCGCTTTGAGATTTCACTACGATCGTCGTTTTTAGGCTACCTATGCTCATGTTATCGTAAAAAACAAACAATAAAAAAAATAACTCATTTTTTCGAAAATTAATAAATGGAAACAAGCACTCTCTCGAACAAGAAACTCAGACACTAGGTTGTTGGGTTGTTAGACACTAGCGGAAGATCATCGGCGTGTTACTTTGATGTGTTCTTGAGGTACTTAGCGTCCACCGTACCGCTCTCCATCCAGGACCGTCAACAAAACCTGACATAATTCTGACACTAGGTTGTTAGACACTAGCGGAAGATCATCGGCGTGTTACTTTGATGTGTTCTCGAGGTACTTAGCGTCCACCGTACCGCTCTCCATCCAGGACCGTCAACAAAACCTGACATAATTCTGAGGCTGGGTAAACGCGATACAATAGATCAGCATTCCGTCCATGGGGGAAGAAATATTACTGGAGCAATTGTAGAACAAAGACTGCATACGCTTTATAAACACCGTCATGATTTACTGACCTGTATGTTTGTTTGTAAATCCGGTAAGACAAATTGGGTTCTGACAGCTAGAAAACGTACTTGTTAGCCATTATAAAGTTCGCATATGAGTAGTCTTTTGACCACTTTGTTTACTCTTGGTCTTGTAGTCCCTTCCTGCAGCTTTAAACCGAAACAAACTTCAGCCGTATGCGCCGTACATTGATATCTATATTTTAGTCTGACATTCAGCACACCAAGAAGACAAGCAACCAACGTGACGAGCTTTCCTTTTTTTTCAGACTACAAAACAATTTCGAATCCTCATGAAAATCCAAGAGTTCATAGCACGCTAAAAATGTTGTTTTTAAATGAAGGAGAGAATTCGAAGGAATGTTTAGGCTCTAATAGGCTTCGCCCTTTCACCTAGCAATTATATCCTCATTTACTTCCTCAGGGCGTTCCAGACTATTCTAGATCTGTTAATGCTAGCTATATATATAGATATAAGTTCTGTCTGACGAGCGCTTAGGCGCGAAACTCAGAGTAACAGAGAATCGATGCGTCCTCTTTGACTCTTTCACTTGAGCACTGTTCCACGCGAAAATCGAGTTGCAGACTCCCTATATATATAAACATATATATATATGTACCCGGGGATATGCAAGCTCTTTCGGAGAGGAGAGGTTGTGGTTGTTATTGAATTAGAGATACAGCAAAAGGGAAATTTTGCCCGGCACTGTCGGAGAAGTCCAGTCTCTCTTTTAGCATTAGTTGGGGCTCGTCACACAACACACAGTAAGAGGAAGTATTGCGTGACAGAGGACTAATCCCGGAACGCTTTATTTACATCAACTCCGTGACGATTGCATGTCAACAGCCAATCAAAAGTCGCTAACCCTTGGCGGTGCTGCTGCTTCTAAATGCAAATTTAAAGAAGGTTCCTTGGAAAACAAAAAGTTCCGTCGGATTTTGAGGTGTGTGCTCAGAGCGTCGTTGAAGATTGTCAAATTAATATGGCTGGGTCAGGGGGAGCAGCAGCGGCTGGGGCTTTGGATCATGCAGCGAGAACCATGGCAAAAGTAGTGATGGAGATTGCGAACTCGCCCGACTTCGATCGTGAACAAATTCGCGGTGAAAAGCTGACGCTTTCGCAAGCGTACTGCTTGTTATGGCAAAATTCTGAAGATGGCAATGTGGGAGGAAGGAGATTTGGCTTCGAGAGTAACAGTGGAGCGACTGCAGCAGTGATTGTGGATTTGATTGCACTCGGTAAAGTGGAAATTGAAATCGAACCTAACACAACTATGGGCGTGAAAAACGACCATTACCGTCTGAAGGTAATGTAAGCTAGCCTTTGATAACAACTGTTTCAAGGTTAATTGCACGGCGGCAAATTCATCGATTTCTCGGGACTAGTATTCTCCTTCCAAAACCATGTTACTCGACAATGTTTGTTATAAAACAGGTGCATTGGTTTATGTGATCTGAAGATATACATAACGCGCTCGACTGGCCACACACGATAAAAGCGAAAAACCGTCTCGGAGTTATAAACTTATTGCGTTGGGATCGTTTACGATCCTCACAGCTAGCGCTACCTTATGTGTAACGCAACAAGGTTGTAGATTTGAAAAATTTTACGTACTTTTTATAAATTTATTTGCTTTATTTTATGTACTTTTTACCTACTTTTTATCATTGTTTTTATTTGCTCCATACTTAAATTACTGCTGTTTAAGCCGGAAATAAGTTGTCGTTTACTTTGTCTGAACGGCGAGTTTCGCAGACTTGACGCAATGTGTCTTACTTGAGGAGCGAGTTGCCTACCTCAAACCGTAGAGCAGTTGTGTTCAGACTGTTTGAACCTCTTTTAAATTTAGGGTAGAGAAGAAAGTTTTCGTGGAATTGTTTACCAGCTGGTGCGATTGAATACATCACCTAGCAATGTTAAGTGCAAACGGCCAATCACGAGGCGAAGATTTTTATATGCAAATGTAGCAGTTTGGAAGCTCCAGGGGGCGCCAATTTCTTTTCAAAATTAATCGAAAATTTGAATATTTTTGAAGGGTGTTGATCTACTGAGCGATTTTAAGATTGATAAAGCTAGTTGGCAGCTGGTGAAGCTAGGTGAACTGAATTTGAAATATTTTGTTGGAGGGGTTTTTTAAACAGGTGAATCATCGTGTGCTCAAATATAAAAGAAATTTACAAACCTATTCTAGGTAGTGATTTTTGTCAACCTATAGGGGTGTGTGTTCAGAAGGTTTTGTTGCATGTCTGCACTGAATGTCGCAACATTCACATTGTTAAGTTATAGCAGGCATAACTTATCACTTCATCCTGTGAAATCATTGAAGGAAATGCCTTTCTTGCTAAAGGAACTGACACCTCCACATAATGAAATAATGATTACCATATCATTATGAAATGAAATAAATTTCATGTGATCTGCAGATTAAAATCAAGCAAAAGATTCATTCTTGCAGGTGGATTGCAATTCTAGCAACATGTGCCCTCGCATGTCAGTCAGTAGTAGCACCTAACTACAAGAAGTTTGACTCCTGTCAAGGCCTCTATACTTCCAGGGTTTTTTTCTGCAATTTCCAAAATTGCATTCCACCTACAGGGATCATTTCTTTGCTTCAAAAACCATACCCTAACCCCCTACTTACTGACCTGGAATTTGTTATGGACTTACAGCAGTAAATTTTTTGCAGCATCTCATGTTTCTGCATTATTTCTCCACAAGAGCTTATTTTTTCGGATAAAGGTTGATCAAACCTTCAAAATTTAAGAAGAAACTAATTAGATCAACAGGACTTACCCTGAACCAAATGTGCTTTCAGGTGGTTGATGAAAAACCAACTGGTACATATCTTGATGAGGCTCTCTTTAATGGGATCTTGAAACATCATGAAAAACACCCAGACAAGCCAGAGAAAGTGAAGTCTGTGATTTTTGATGATATAAGTCAACTTAGATCAAAGAATTACTGCTCTACCATTACACTGGACAGTTTGGTGGAGTTGGGAATTCTTGAAATGAAAGAAAAGATGATGGGCCGTAAATACCCAACAGTAAACAAAGGTAATTATTAACCCTTTACACCCAAAAATAAGTGTTCTCCAAACTCTTCCCTATACATTTCCTTTGGTACTGAATAGGAGAATTTATTTAACGATCAAAGTTGTTTGGTTGGAGGTCATTTGCTTTATTCTCATGTTCTTAATGAATGATTCAGTGATATTATTATAAGGAGAATTTAGATGCTGGTCACTCTTTGGGTTAAAAGGGTGAAATGAAAATGTAGTTATGTTGCTGATCTTCGGAATGGGTTATTGTTCTGGGCAGGGAAGGGTGATTGATCAAGGGGATAGGGTGATTGTCCCAAAGGGAAAGAGTTATTGTTCCAGAAGGAAGGGTTTTTGTCTGGGTGAGGGGGGGGGGGGTTATTGACCCTGGGGGTAGGGAGAGACACTTGAGGTGTCATCATCTATGCCTCTGGCCTCAAATAGATCATAGGTACGTACCAATAAAATGCATGAAAGCTCTAGCTTATTTTGTAGTTAACATAGCAACTCTGCACACCCCAAAATGCCATGAGATGTTGGTGCATGGAAAACTCTTTTTACTTCAGTGCAAAATCCCTGGTTTAATCAATGCTCATTTATCCATTTGCTAATTTTTTTCTTTTTTTTTTTTTGGAATTAAGGACCTGAAGAAAGTTTAGAAAAACAGATTCGTGAGGTTGTTTTGCAAGATATGAAACCAAGTAGCTACATCCGGGTGCTGCTGGTCTTGGCACGACATGCAGACAACTTAATGTGTCTTGAAGATCCCGTGTTGAAAAAACACTTTTCCAAGGAAGAGTATGGAAAGGCAAAAGAAAAAATTAACCAGTTGGTGGGGCTTTAAATCAAGCAAAGAGAAGAAATAAAAGGTTTTCCACTAAATTGGAGAAATGGACTTTTAAATAATTACTCTCATCTAGAGCTTGTCTTTCATTATAAGTGTGTCACTGTTGTTAAATTTAGAAGATAGACGACATTAAAGTTTGTTTCACTAAAAGTTGCTCTTTACACCTTGGAACATTTAGTTCAGGTCATTGTCAAGTTTTCTTCAATCTACTGGCTGCAGTCAAACCTCCCTTATGCTGCGCTCTCCACAAAATGGTCACTTTGAAAATCTCATAATTCTCTTTTCATTTAAGAATTAAATCTCTTTTCCTTTTGTGGTTCTGTCAGCTCTCGCTGGCACTAGAAAAGCAAGTAATTTACTTTACCAGCCCGTAGTTTAACAGAGTTTTGACTGTTGTCAGTTTACTGTTTAATAATGTTTGAAAACTCTGGTATCTCTCCAGTTTGTTTTTTTGGGGAAGACCTATCAGAGTCATGAGTGTCAATTAAATACCTGTCATGTTTTGATAGAACCCAGGAATAAAGTAACTTAAAGTTAGCTAAGATCTTTATAGAGTCCTGATAATTCCATGTCAAATCTTTGTTAATTCAATGTTATATTCTCATCTGGATGAAACAACCTATTAAAGGCTAAGGAGAAACGACCATTTTCGTTTCAAATTTTCATTAAGGAATCATTGAGTTGAAACAAAAAGTTAACCGTGAATTGAAACCTGTCGAAGAATTTGTGCAAAGCAGAATTAGAAACATCTTAAAAGTAACTGAATTTAGGATAAAATAAAAATAAAAATGAAGTACTCAACTCTGTGTTCATCACAGTTATATTATAGGGGACACAATTTAGAAAATAGCAAAATTACATGCCTTAGAAATGTTGTTTTGTATCTCATACTTTTGTCTTCACAAGGAAGTTCACATAATGATGTTGGCTGTCCGCAAACGGAGGCTCATACCCTAGAAAGAAAGACAGATAGATGGAGTCCACATTTAAAAATCATTGTGCTAGCAAAGGTGAAAAAAAATAGAACTTAGAACTGTTTACAGGATAAGTCATCCACGATCTTGAGGTTTAAATGTTAAGAACTCAGCCTGAAATGTTAAACTCTCTTCAACCTTTGAAGTTGATTTAATCTTTGCATAGCAGATGGCTGTTTTCATTACAAGTAGTGAGTTACGGTCGTTTTGCCTAGTCTAGAGTCGATTCGCCTACGTCCAATGTGTTAGTTCGCTACGTTTAAACTCCGTACTATAACAATCATTGTATAAAACAGTTGATTCAATTGAAAAAAAAATTGATGATATTCGAAAACTATCGCATGAAAATTTGATAAATGTTAATTGTGTTCATCTCATCGTGCTTTGAAATAAGAGACAAATTGATTTGGCCCTTTTTGGAATATTGGATAAATGTTGTGATGCACGATGATAATTCTGCACAATGCGCGTTCATTTCGCGACATTTTAGAGTAAATACGTTATATTTTGCGTTTCATAATATGTACTAATCTGTCACTGATACATACAAACTTTTTTATAGCTTACACATAAAATAAAGTTTACAAATGCAATTTAATTATCACAAGAAACTTTTTATAGAAAAGGTTGCGGTTATTCATCGTGGTGAAAAGCAGTAAAAGCTAAGTTTTCCGTTTGTCTCACGATGTAGTCATGTGTGATGTAGATCGCGACGTTTCGACTGCGTACTGCTAGTCTTCTTCAGGCGATGAGGTCGACTGTTCATGCGTGATCTTATAAGCATGATGCTCTGCTGTGATTACTTGTTTTTCAACAGCTCTGATTGGTGCATTTCGATCCTTGCTGTTCACTCAGTGATTTGCTCCCTCGGCGGTTCGCTGTCGCACGGCTCTCCTGTTGTTGTGTTTTTTGATGGTGGGCATCCACGCTTCTGGAATTTCTATTCCACTATCCCTGTTGATGTTGTCAGGGAGAAGTCTTATATTAATTGCCTCTTTGACCCTGCGCGTGTAGTAACAAGGGTCACGAGCATCATCTTTACTTCGTTCCAGAGTGGCTTGTGTAAAAAAAAACAACAACAACAACAAAAACAACTTTTTGAGACTAATAATCATACTTATCAGTAATTTTTACTTACTACATGCGGGGACGTTAGAGTTGTCCGCGTGACACCCGCCCCTGGCCGGTCCTTACTGTCTATCCATACGTGGCCCTGTCACGCATCCGCCGCAGAGTAGGGCTTCCTGGCGGAAGGTGACGATTTGTGTGCAAAAGATGCAGTCAAATTACTCCATGATATCGATGATTATAGCTTTGATGATAGCGTTGACTATTGCGTTGATTATAGCGGAGCTCGCAGAGCGTAGCCCCATAATAATACAAAATAGAAGTAACCCATCAAGCCGAAAAAAATTGGATGTACGACCCTACGACCGTACGAGGTGCTACTTTTAATATGCGTGGTCAACTGTACCACGGGCACGCCAACGCCACGTATTGGGCTCCGAGTCGGACGACCTGGGTTCTAGTCCTGGCCGGGGCAAGGCGTTGTGCCCTTGAGACGTGCGGGAAAAAAAATGCAAGTTCCGCTTTTAGGCTTGGGTAAATCATGATATATTATGACTGCAACTCCAGGATGCCTAATGCAAAAAAAAAAAAAATTATGTACATGAAAAAGTGAGCATGAGAAAAGTTAAAAAGACAAGTTGCAATGCGTTATAACTCTGCATCTGATTGGTTGAAAGGGACGATGCTAGGTTCTAAGACCAATCACAGCACACAGCAGAGAAAATCACCGCATTCCCGGAGTATTTTCGACAATGAATTCAATTCAACAAATTTTCGTGTATTACTGATAAGCAGCCTTGAAAAATTAAGTGCACGGACGATATTTCAAATTCTTGATATCCACTCGCGCCATACAGATTAACAGTAATGATAGAGCAAGGGGTAGTGCACGGGGGTGGGGTGGGATGGGGCATAGCCCTCCCCTACCCCTCCCCTACCCCTCCCCTACCCCTCCCCTACCCCACTGTGAAAATTTGTGGGGGCGAGTTCCTTCATAATTTCCGTACCTGCTCTTCTGATTAGCAACTGGAAGGAAAAAGCATAAGCGAGAATGTTAGAGTGACAACGTAGGAGACTAGAACGAGTGCGGACACTTTCGGATTATTCACATGAAGTATTTAGATCCGTTTTCTGATCGAGCAGCTGTGGACTGCCTGTGAATCTTGTGAGGTTCTAGGTCACTATGACCACTAAAACAAGAACGTACGGCAGAGGAATTCTGCGTTTTACCTCGCTACAACCATGTAGACGACCTGGACAGACAGCTTATGCAAACGCTGCTCTCAAAAAGGACGGGACAGTAAATAATTCTCGCGTGCAAAATGGCGGGGAAATGCACGTGCATAAGAACGGAGGTGGAGTAGGTACTTGTTTAGTCGATCGAGCAGTTCAACGTTCAAAATAAAAATTCGGCAAGATTTCCGTTTAACCTCATGCTATTCTTAAAGAGAGCTGTGGTCCCAAAGGTAATCTAATGTTTACCATTGTTTTATGTTATCCAAGTAATGTTGCATAATGAGTATGGGTCCGACGGAAATCTTGCCCGAAAGTCTTCCCAATGGTCACTATATTATAGCCTGTAGTCCATCATACAATTTTGCTCGTGTGTGATGGGTCTTAAGATATCACATGACCAAATATACCCTAGCTAAAACTGGGAAATGTCTGAGGATACACCCCGAGTGATATTCTCCAATTTTAAACCTTACAACTATTATGAAAAAGTCTTCTTTTAAAATAGAATTCAGGATTAGGAAGCGTTTTTCTGTTACTGCAGAAGAAGGAATAAGCTTGTTTGTTCATAAGAGTGTTAAAGAGAATGCTGAAACCATTTCTTTACCCCTCTTAAAATATTTTTTTATATATAATAATAAACACAATAGCCTCAATATTTAACAAGACTATGCCCATATATTTGTTCTTGGAAATTATCTGTTCCTCATCTCGGAACAAATAATGTTGCAGACAAATATCCATTTATGTTTTTGCACCATATAGAGGCAATTGTTTATATAAAATTAATTTTGTTCACATTTTTACTTTTTAGAAACATTCCCAACACCGCCAGCACAAAAAGGAGGTAAACCAGTAAGATTATTGGCAAAGTACAAGTATACAGCAAATCCAGCCAAACCTGGAGGATTTGATGAGTTAACAATTACGCAAGGAGAGAAATTAGTGTTTAGCAGACCACACCCTTCAAATCCATTCTGGTGGGAGGCAAAGAATGAAAATGGAGATATAGGATTTGTACCAGCAACTTATATGATGGTAAGTGTCAGTTTATGGACTCCATAAATGTGAATATTACTTGACTTTCCTATTTCTATGATGATGTATTGTATTGGTGACATAAATCTATAAGAAAAATTGTTCAGGGTACAATTATGCGTGTTGTTTTTGTTGTTGTTGTTGTTGTTGTGTTGTTGCATATCATTGGAAGGTGCAGGGACTGATGTTTAGTTCTGTCAACTCTAGAGCAAAAATAGTGGGTTTGAGGTTTGGTAAGGATAATTAACAGTGTCATACTCCCAGGCAAGACACTTGCATCTTACTTTTAAAGCAGTGCACAGAAGTTGCAAGATGCGCTGATGGCCCTGTGCATCAGTTTGTTGACTTTAAGATTTTAAACCCATCACACCTTACCATCAGTATGCAAGATCTCCATATTGTTCTCTATACATTACAATACAGTTATGTTCACGGTGCTGAAAAGGAGAATTTGTCTAACAATCAAAAGTTTCTTGAGGTCATCATCATTTCTGTTATTCTTGTGACCTTAAAGTTAGCTTCAAGGGTAATGCTGTTGGAGGAAATTAGATGCTTGTCACTCAGAGGGGTTAACTGAGGGTTAACTGAGGTTAACTGTTACTTTGAAACAATCCTGTGATTATTAATTCTAGGGGTCTTTTCAAGGTTGCACTGGTATTTTCATTACATTTTGAAACAATCAGGTTTTTTTTTATTTTAGTGTTAATCATAAAGATTTGTTTCATTCAAGGTTCTTGAAGACAAAATTACCTCTCTGCCATGGCTTGAAGATGCAAAAAAGAAAAAAACTGAGATAGATGATAAACAGGCAGAGAGTAATCCAGGTGCTAAGCCAGCTTTCAAGCCTTATGTATCAGGTGAGTTTCTCCAACATTTGGATTGACACAAGTGAGCTTGAAAATGTGAAGCAGTAGAAGAGATTCTAAATACAATAAGGCACCTGTCGGTAACTTTCCTTTTCAACAAAAGTTTTGGCAAGAAAATGAATTTAGTTCCTATCAAACAGCTACTGATATCCTGCACAGAGGGGTAGGGCTAGAAACTGGGGTTACGCCCTTGCAGTTATGGGCCACTTGGCCTCCAAGTCTGAACACTTTTCACCCTAACATCAGTATGTATATTCTCTATACTGTTCTCTCTACTGTCCCTGAGGAGCTGACAAGGAGAATTTGTCTGACAATCAAGAGCATAGTTAGTTGGTGATGATTTCCTTCATTCTTGTGACCTTAGTGTTTGACTTAAGAGTGATACTGTAAGGGTCAACCCACCATAGGGGAAATTTAACTTATCATCAAGCGAGTTGATAATATAATTTGGCCGCTGTGAAGAGTTTAAAAGCTGATGTTTTGAGCATCAGCTATTTGTCAGAACAATTTGACGAAGGGCTAATGCTTGAAACATCAGCTTTTAAACTCTTCACAGTGGCCAATTTGCATTATCAACTCAGCTGATATTACTAAATTACCTTGTTATGCTCTCCTACCAATGTAGCACCACAGTTTCTTTAGAAACTTACCCCCTTAGGTCAACCCACCATAGATTTTCGTATCTCAGGTTTGAAGGCAGACTCCTTTTTTTTCTGCAGCATATGGATCAAGAAAAAACAGTTCAAGTAAAAGCAATTCAAGTCAAGAAAACCAATACTACTGTGAAATATGTGATAAAAAGTTGAATGGACCCATTCCATATGAGGTTCATCTGAAAAGCAAAGCACACAAAGAAGAACTGGAAGTGAGAGAGGAGTTTAACTATTAAGTAAACAGATACCTGTTATTTGTTTTTTGAACCACTTGTTTCAGACATCGAAATGGCAATTGAAAGGAAGTGTGCCCATTTTGTAATTATTTACTTCTAGTTGTTTTGTTAAATTAACACTTCTATGCTCAAGATCTCATAAGTAATTCTCCCTACTGTTTGCCTTATCATACTTATGATGTTATTTCTGAGAATTTGGTACTGGATCAGCCAGACATCCCCTATTTGATAATATTCTTTGTTCTCATTACATGTCTCCTTGATATTGTATTGATATTGTAAGGAGAAATTCTGTCTTGGTCACTCATGGGAGTTAAAGGGTTAAAACTTGCTGCATGTAGCCTGTATTAAGAACCAATCAACCTGAAACTAGTAAAACTTCTGTCACCTCTATCATCAGCTTGTGTCAATGAATTCTGGGATGTAAGTTAAAAAAATGTTTCTGTGAAAGATTATGTTACGATAGTTTATTACCAGAAATGCTTTAAGTTATACACCTAGAGTTGCAGATCATCAGATTTTTGAATGGCAAGCATAAGAGAAATTATAGGTATTTTTTATATTTATTGCTGAAAATACAACATGTAATTTATTGAGTATTAGGTAAAGAAATAATAAAGTTCACATTAGTTATGTTAATGGTGAAGAGTTTTATATTTAACTTACAAAAGAATGATATTTTGGATTTTAGAGTAGTAGTTTGTAAACTTTAAAGTTTACAATTTCTCCTGGTGAAAGAATATTATTAACCCTTTGACTACCAAGATCAGATTGTTTATTCTCCCCTCTAGCTGCTACAGATTCCTTGTAAACAAGTTACAAGAATTTGGTGTTAGATCAAGATAAAGACCTCTACCTGATAAGTTTGAGTATTCTTATTACCTGTTGGCTGGATAGTGCATTGTGGGGAGATGTTACATTTTAATCACCTCTGGGAGTTTAAGGGTTAATGAAACCAATTATTATGTTAATAGGGCATAAGAAGATGCAATGGATGGCTGGGAAAGAACCTTTAAAACTGCTGTCACCCTTTCTCAAGTTGATTTAATTTGTAAGAAATAAGGAAAGGTCAATTTTGTGACAATTTGTGTTCAAATCTGAAATTTAAAGATTAAAAACAGTCCTTAAAAGGTCTACTGACATCATGACATAGCCCTTTTCCTGTTTGATATCTCTACTTCAACAGTTATTTCTAGTGTCCACAAATTCATTTCAAGAAGTTCAAAAGGCAAGTTCCTTTAGTCTCATGAACACAGGCAAGGTTACAGAAGGACCTGAACACTTTAGTCACGAAGACAAGCATGAAAAAAGCTCAATAAAGTTCAAGATTGATTTTCTATTGGTGCATCAACAATGGGACTTTCTCTTTGAGGGACGACCAACAATAAAAATTTATCAGAGGGAAATTTAATTCTCCGTAGAAACACTTTACATGATCCCAGTCAGTACATGTGTTAGTCCCTGTTAGCTGAAGGAGGGGAAATGTTGCTTGGTGATCAGAGCAAAAGATTAAGAGCTACAAAGGAAGCTATACAAGCACTGATGCACACATCTACATCCCTGATATAGCTCACATTAAATAAACAGTACAGGTAGTTGCTCCTTTTTGACGAAATTTGTAGCGCGAATGAAAAAGAAATATCATATAGCCAAAAAATTATATAGCCAAAAATTCAAACACTGCAGTAGTTTAGTGGGTTTCCTGTGCTGCGCGGCTACCAAGCAACGTCAACATGATACTCAACAACGCAGTCTTGTGTGCTCTAAACGGGCCTACTATAATCAAAATTTACATTATGTTACAAATGTTTAGAACTGCTTGATGAGGTATAAGTGGAGCAATGGCCCTGAACGCTGTATGGAGGTTGAATCGTAATATTTGAGGGCAAACTTTGTCGGTACGAAGGATAAATTGAAACATGAGTAGTTCTTGGCAGCCCAATCCAAATGCTAAGCCGTTTGTACCGGCGTCCGCTTTTTTTACTTTGCCAATTCCTTGCGCAAAGATCCGTATTCGAAAGAAAGGGATTTTTAGCAGGATGATTCAGTGGATTTTGGTGATAGTGTTATGCGTGACTGTGATAATAAATTTTATTTTCATTTGGGATACCACGAAGAAATATAGCAGGGATCGAACTGTACTCAATTCAAACACAGCTGATGAAGGAGTTGGAATTTCAAACCACAATGAAAACAAAGGTACGGTTTAGTTCTCGACCAATATCCTCAACTAAAATTTACTTCTGAAATAAAAGATCCTTTATTTAGCAGTGGTTTTACGAAATGCCTAACCGTAAAGTAGAGGAAATTAAGGTCTATTTCAAAGTACTCCAATATTTATTAAGTTCGCATGTTCATTCATTCAGGAAATGGTAACCGGCGAAATTTTAACTTGTTAAGACAATCCTGCCACTTGCAACATAATGATTGTTTTGACTTTGTTCTCTTTCCTTCGTGAGGACATGTTTAAAGTAGTTCTTATGTTTCACCGCAGGATGCCCTTGGTATAAAAAGCCCTCATAAAATTAACAGAAGACATCCTTTTAGAAGCTTAGAGGTCTTCGCTAATTTCTTTATTTCCCCTCACATTTTTAAATCTACTATGGAAAGCAAAAGATGTTTATAACTTTTGAGTAAGTCACTTTAATTTAATCAAAATTTGCTGGTTCTATAGCTGAGGGTCGTAGGATCACTATAGAAGTCCAGTCAAGCAAAGACGTAGCCTCTGTCACTGTAGATGGAACGAAGGTACAGCAATAAAACTTTTTGTTGATAATAGAAGCTTGTGACTTTTATGGGTTATAAGCTTCTGATGATAGCTATGAAACATTTTTATTAAGGAAACCAGAGGAAGTATTTGTATTTTGAGCAAAAACAAAAATAGTATTTACATCGAAATTGTTCATTTATCCTTCGAGACAAGTTTGCTCCACCAATAAGGCTGATGTTTCTTCATGTAACCATTAATGCACTTAATGATAGGCTTCCAAGGGAGCCAGTGAGTTTTGTCTCCCTGAGCCCCTTACTGTTTCCCGAGGGGTCAGCTGTGAGGAAATGGTGGGCAGAGAGTCAGCTGAAATTTTAATTTGCTATTGTTAGTTATTACCTCAGGGGGTTACTTAGATTTGTTTTTCTTAGGGGGGATATTGAGTCTTTGCTCATGGCTAAAGACATGTTCTCCTCCAATCAGAAAAGGTTTGATGCCACTCTGGTTTAAAGATTTAATGAATGTAACCAAGAAGTTACAATTCATAGACCCTTGGGTCTATAAATTGTAACTTCTTAGTTACACTCATTAAATCCTTAAACCAGATTTGCATCAAACCATACCTGATTGTCCACCTGGTTACCATGTGAACTTTTTAACATATCAGAAAAGGTATTTGAGTAAGAGAGGGGATGACAACATCATTAGGATCTTCCTCTAAAAAAAATCCTTGATAAATTTATAGAGATATGAGTTTCCTTATTCTCTGAGCTGTGTATTGAATTTGAATAAAACTGGAGTTGAAAACAAAGCACATTTATTCCCTAGTAGTTTCCTTTCTGGAGAACTCACCATTTCTTGAGGCATTTCCTTCGTGAAACGAAAAAGTATTAGTCAACTTTGACGTAATTTACTGTTTCAGTACTAAGTGGGAAAAATCTTTTATCTTGTACACCTTGTTCTTGTGAGCCCTAGCTCTTTACATTATATCCCCTGAATCACATATCAAGGTCGCAAGAAAAAGGAAACGATCACCAAGTAAAGAAGCACTTGATTGTTATACAAATTATTCTTGTCAGCGCCTTAAGAAATGCATATAGAAAAGTGTCAAGGATGTACATACTGATGTTAGGGTGTAAAGGGTTATGAACAATTAACCCTTTACCTCCCATGAGTGACCAAGATAGAATTTCTCCTTACAGTATCAATACAATATCAACCAGATAAGTGACAAGAATAAAAAAAAATATATCAATTTGGCGATAATTAGTTCATCCAATACTAAATTCTCTGAACTAACATTACAAGAATTGTATGGTTGACAGTAAGGAGAATTACAAATTTGATCTGGGAGTTAAAGGGTTAAGTTCCAGAGAGTGAACTAAGGATGCCGGATTGGATTCTTTGTCAGGGAATTTTTTTCTTCATGAAAAGATTATATTTAATTTTTTATTTGATGGTAAGGTGTTGGAGGCTACTGATGAACAAAAGAGAGGAATCAATGTTGCAGTTCTTAACCAGATGACTGGTGCTGTCATGGCAACAAGGTCATTTGATACCTTTGCTGCTAAAGAGGACTCAGATGCCTTGGTGCTGTTCATCAACATGGTGTCCGATGGTAGAATTCTCTGCTTTGCAATACGAGTGAGTTGGTTGCTGTTCATGTTTTAGATTAATTTGTAGGGCATGCAATACAAAAGCAGAAGACTACTGGTAAAGATTGATAGAGAATCGCCTTGATGCTGTTCGGCTCTTGATTGGACATATCATTTTCCTCGTGTGAAAAATGGGATCAGCATCATTCCATTTGCTCTCTGCTTCTTCAAGCATCTCATGAATGAAGATTTATTTTGCACCTTTTTAGAGTGTAAATCTCAGTAAAACTTTGTATGTAATAAATGAGACTTACACCTGGAGAGAAGTCTAAAAATGAGATGCATGTACTTGTACAAGGAAGTTTGAATCAATGATTTCAAACAGCGTCAACTGATGGTATCTTTATATTTATGTTATGGCAAACTTGAAGGTTACATTTATAAGATATCAAAGCTCTGTTAATGATAATGGTGGTATTTTCAATTTACCCTTCTAAATATGCTGAATCATGTAACAACAAAAAGGTAGAGAAATATGTTTTTCATTTTGTCATGAACATGGGACAAAGAAAAAGTCTTCAAACCTCAGACCTTCAGATTTCACACTGCGATGCTCTACCACTGAGCCACAGAGACTCTACAGTGAGCAAGATCTATTATGAAGTTCGTATGACACATGTCCAGCAAACTGCTAGGATCAGCAGTGTTTCCTCATGGGGACTCTGAATTTTTTCTTTGTCCCATGCTTGTGACAAGATGAAAAACATCTTTCTCCAGTTCTTTACCATGCCCAAAACTTACTATCTCTCTTACTCTATTAACAAAAACATGTGTTTCGCAAAAATCTGATTTTTCTGGTTTCCAGGATGAAGGGACATATCAACTCAAGAAGACAGCACGGAATCTTATGAATACACTTGGAAGTGAAAACTTTAAGAACTTGAATTTCAGAGACATGTGGGCCTTTGTGGTGCACAAACGAGGCTCAATCAGTGCTGAGGGGCATAGAAAGGCCCCCAATTTTGACACCTGGGGAGAGCCCCTAACAATTCAGGCCCTAGTGACACTGCAGTCACAGGACAGTGCTTCTTGTTCATGGGAAGAAAGTGATGTAACAAAAAGAAGGAGAGAATTTTGTGAGAAGTTTGAAGGATATGGCAGTGTCTGTAGCTGTAAGTGATGTTATGTAGTGGCCATGAATGAATTATGCATCTCTCATTAGATTTTACCAGATTTCTTAACCTTTGATTCCTTAGAGTAACTAGCATTTAATTTCTCCTAAGAATATTTTCCCCAAAACATGCATTAACCCGTATGTTTGATTTGTTTGCATATTTTTTTTCAATTATTCCAGGCTCAAACCCTGCCCCACTTGACATCAAAAGTGATCCTTTACCAAATGGGGAAAAAATGTCTCTTCCAATTGCAATCATTGCTAGCAACAGACCAAACTACTTGTACCGAATGATTCGCTCTGTCCTTTCTGCTCAGGGAGCAGATCCTAGCAAGATTACAGTCTTTATTGATGGATACTTTGAAGAGCCTTTGGCTGTTGCACGATTATTTGGTGTCAGAGGAATCCAGCATACCCCTGTCAGTAGCAAGAATGCAAGAATATCACAGGTGACTTAAGGGAGGAGGGTGGGAAATTAAAGAAGCTTTGTCAAGTAGTAATGTTTTGTTATCTGTAAAACTGCTTTCAGCTGAGAGCAGGCTATGAAATATTTGAATAAAGGGGGTAAGTTTCTAAAGAAATGTGGTGCTGCATTGGTGGGTAGTATAACAAGAGAACTTGGTTTTGTCAACAGAAATAAATAAAATAAAAACTAACACTCCAGATTTCAATTCTGCTTGTTATAAGTGGATGGGAACTACTCTGTAGATAATGCACTCCGGAGTTCTTTTCCTGGGCCTCAAGCCATAGTCCAGTGTTACAGTGACATGGATGTCTGAATAATACACTGATAATTGGAATGAATTTTTTCGTTCTTTCTCAACAGCATTACAAAGCAAGTTTAACGACAACCTTTAACCTGTACCCGGAAGCCAAGTTCATGATCATTCTAGAGGAAGATTTAGATGTGTCAACAGATATCTTTTGGTATTTTTACCAGTTATTACCGTTGCTAGAACAGGACGAGAGTTTATATTGTATATCGGCCTGGAATGATCAGGTATGGCGTGAGACAAGAATATCACAATACAATGACCAACGTCCAGCTCGTTATCACGTTGGTTCACCACACGCACTCGTCTGTGAAAGAGGCACGCGGTTCAAAACGATTTAGCATGCTTCCATAGTTAAGCGTTTCAGTCAGAGTCATAAATTTGCATGTTAAAGGAATTTATCCAGATTCCGCCAGAAAAGGAACACACTATTGTGCTTCAAAGAAAAAAGTTAGAGATTTTAGTGCGAGCTTGTTATATTTGATGGGGCGAAGTTGTCGTAAGGGAGATAGAAGAGGCGAACTTGCAAGGGGATGAAACTTCCGTATACCTTTGCTCAACATAACCAAGCTAATTGTTGTGAAATTGAAGAACACTCTATGTGTTTGATAAATTTCAACCAGACTTATAAACATAACCCTTTTTTGTTTCTTCAGGGTTATGAGCATACTGTTGGTGATCCGTCCCTTTTGTATCGAATAGAGACTATGCCTGGACTTGGCTGGTGAGTTGTTCAGTAGGACAAAATGTAGAATCACCGAATCTAGTTGGATGGAAGATGGGTTCACTGCCTGTGTTTATGTTAATGAATTTCTCTCCCCCCCCCCCCCCCCGGAAATTCGTCAAGTTAACTTGACAGTTGGGTGTTGTCGAGACTCCTGGGTGGTGAGGTGGCTTTTTCGCCCTGAACCAAGGTATTTTTTACCCTGTGTCTTAACTGCTGTTATGAAACTAAAATGCACTGAGTTTACTTACGTTATTTCCATCGACGTAAGAAGAATTATCCATTAAATACATGTTGATGCCGAGCACTAACGCAGGACGCAGAAGAAGAAGAAGCAAACAGGAGTAAAATGAGACTAATTTTAAGCATGGATTACTTATGCGACGTCACAGTGTGAGTCGAAAGTCTTCCACCTGCTGGCGGGGTTAAATTCGGCTTAAGAGCAACTTCACAAGAGCCACTAACAAAGAACTTGACAGGGGTGGGGGAGGTTTGTTGCTGGACGATAGAGTCACAAGCGTATGGCCGATTTGGGCGTTTTGTTAGCAAATCGTGAAAAGCTTAAAGCGCAAAGGTATTTAAAACATGTTCAAGCCAGCACAAGCGACTTTCGAAAGGATAATGTAATAATGAAGTAGATGTACAGTAAGCACATCAAAAGCTATTTATTAAAATGAACCCAAATTATCAGTAGTCCTAGGAAGATGTCTGAAGGCAGGCTGAAGTTGAATTGACTTTGAATCGACGTGAAATCACCATCTACCAGAATTTGGTCCTGTCCGCTACTTTCCTCGCTTTCCTCTATATTTCTGCATATAAACACGAACAACTCTATTCGCTCTAACGTCAGCTTTGGAAACTCTGCTCGGTGGCCAATTTACATCATCAGCTCATTTGATGAAACCAAATTGTCTTTCCTCACTGCGCGATCGAATTAAAACGAAAAAGCTTTTTCTCAACTGGAAATATTGAGCCCTTTTCTTTTTATCTTAAAGGGTGCTAAAACGAAAGTTATACAAAGAGGAACTGGAACCCAAGTGGCCAACACCAGACAAGTTCTGGGACTGGGATATGTGGATGAGACTCCCTGAGATCAGACTGGACAGGGAGTGTATAATTCCTGATATTTCCCGCACATATCACTTCGGATCCAAAGGTCTCAACATGCACCCGTATTTTCAAGAAATGTATTTTAAAAAGCATGCACTGAACACCGAGTCAAATGTCAAGTTTGACGTGGAAAAAATGAAGAAGGATAATTACGAGATTGAGATCGAGCGTTTAATTAGGTGAGTCTTACTCCTAGGTTGCTTTTGAATTGTTATGGAAATTGTGTTTCACTTTAAGGTATTACTTCTTCGTCGTATTCTTTCTTGCCTTGGAGACTATGGTTCCCGTCAGTTTCCTAAGGCCTCCCTCCCTGTCACCGCTCCACCACCCCCCCCCCCCTCTCCATCCTCCTCTTTTGCTCTCCGTCTTTAGTGCCCACCTTCCCCCGGATTAACATGAATTACATTGTCTAAAAGCTTCGTCGGAAATTTCAAAGAGAGTTACGCGTCTCTTATCTTAAACTTATGTATTACTCTGCCTTTTGTTTACACAGCTCTTCAAGTACTCTCGATCATTCCAAGAACCCTTGCACAAGCGAGGAGTTTGTTCCAGAACAGAAAGGCAAAAACTTTATATTTTACATCAAAATGGATCATCCCACGGATTGGATCACTTGGAGCGCTTTGGCAAAGTGTCTAAAGATATGGGACTTGGATGTGAGAGGTTTTCACAAGAGTATGTGGCGGTTATGGATCAAAGGAAATCATGTATTAATTGTGGGATGTCCTGCCTCACCGTATTGTCATCATAAACCATCAAATGTGACTCCTATCTTTATACCAAAAAAGGAAAACGAGCAGTCGTAGTATTGGTACGGCGGTTTTCGAACAAGGGGAGTTCTGCGTCGGTGTTGCCCTGTCTGTTCGGTTAGTGGATGAATTCCAAGGGTCATGTCTCCTTCGTCCAATCAGAGTAAAGTTCAATGACTTTTCCCGCGTTCAGCGCTGGTTTTTCAGCGTGAAGTTGTGCGCCGGTGATTAGTTTCGTGAGGTCTTAGTTTTTGTGACGTACAGTCTTAAGGAAATCGCGCGAAATAAAATGGTTATTCGTGGATTGGTAGCTTTATTTAATTATTTTTTTACTGCTTTCGGGAAGTGATCAAGAACCTCGTTTTTCCGTATTTGAAAATGATCGTCAGAGATTGTTTCATTGAAGTTTGTTCTCAACAATATTCCAATACATTTTTAAATTTCTTATTCTCCATTTTGAATACTAGGAGTCCAAACTCTTTAAAATTCGACGGGACTCAGAATCGGAAGCTTGCGAGTCAGTGTTGTCCATTGTATCCAAATTTTTCCACAGATCGTCACTGAGTTAGCTAACGCTTTAAAGACAACGTGCTTAATAAAAACTACTGATAAATAGGTTGTGGTGATTTGTTTGACTTTTGTTATTCTGTGTTTTGTTTTTTTTTTTTTTTTGTCACGCAACATTTTTGCTTACTATAAGTAAGGGCTGCGTTATACCACAGGATTTTTTTCTTTTTGGGTCAGACTTAACTAAACCCGCTGCCTCTAACTGGCAGATAATTGTATAACGCCAGCTTGGGTGATACTACTGATAGTTTTATTAGCCCTTAGATCAGTAGAAGATATTTAGCATCTGATTTCCCTTCACAATTTCACTGCTGATTAGAACACGATGAGAACATGAAAGCTTCTCAAATCACCAATTTAAGAAACTTCTGATTGTGAAATAAGTTTTCTTTGTCTGCGCCATAAGGAATCATAGAGAACAGTATGAAGAATATGCTTGTTATGGTATCAAGGGTCAACCTTGAAAGGCCCCGAAGTGGTGTTATCATAGACAGGATTACCTTGTCACGAGGCTCTCTTTGAAAAGTAGGGTAGAAAAGGGGGTCCTGGGAACTAAGTTAGGTTAGGTGAGCTATGATTGGCCTGACCAGACCAGCGTGACATAATCCAAATGCGATGAATCACGGCAATTCGAGGGCTTAAAGATTTGAGGAAGTAGAACTGTTGTGTTCCTTGAATCCGAGTAATAACAAAGAATGAATGCCCGCTTTTACTTTCGCCAAAGCTATGACTACAAATTGTCTAGGTACTGTCAGGATGGACTCCTAGTACTCTGTGGGTTTCTTCGATCAAAAGACAAGTTTGTCGCAAGTCACAGATGGATTTCAAGCTTTGACATCTCGGCGGCAGAAAACCCTGACCTGGTGGGTTTTGGTGAGTTTGTTCATCAAAGAGAAGACATGTGAATGACAAGCCGGGAGGAATACTGACCTCTTAAAAAGTTTAGGTGAACTGGTACTTAGTAAATTTTATATGAGACAAAATGCGCCTTGTTACGTTTTTTTTAAACTCGATCAGTCTCCTCCCCTCCCCCATTACAAGTTAAATGTTCTTCCCCAAGCCCTCCCCTAGCCTCACCTCAGCTCACTGTGATGTCACGGGTGTCACGAGCCTTTCTGATTAACTCGATTCCAGGCTCTTTACCGAGGTGCGATGGTTTGAGGGCGTTTACTGAGGTTAAGAAAAGAATACTGCTTGCTTACCTAAGCAAAGGTAAATAATTAAGCATCGTTATGCGGATGACATCAAGCGACCCTTTCTAAGATCGTAGTCTGTGCTTAAGGTACTGAGAACTTTTGTTGTTGTTTTTTTCGACATCTTTAAGATTTTGTTATTATTCAAGATGGCGGCAGTTAGTTGGGGTATCTTTGAATCATGTTAAAATGAGCTCAGAAGATAGGTTTGGTTACTCAGATGGGGAACTCTAGCTAATTAAATGTTAGTGTTGGAATCTTCAGCTCGGTTGCCAGGATGAACAAGACAAAACCTTTCAAGTTTCGTCCGTTAAGGCGATCGGTGTCAGTCAGCTGATGTGTTCATACGAAAAATTTTTAGACAGTTCGGGATCGAGATTCTGGTCGCAGTAAATGCAAATTCGTGCTGAAATACACACCCTATCAGATGAGCACCGCTAGATTTTCCATAAGGAAAGGGTGATGAGGCGAGATGTGAAAGACGCAGCCTGACTAGCCTCAAGCCAGGCTTGTGAGGAACTCGAGGCCTTGATATTACTGACATATATACTAACCACTTAACATTCAATGGACTTAGAACTAAGCTGAACACTATTAATTGTCTGTCAGAGAAGTTAACTCAAATGTAACAGTTTAACCTTTAAGGAAGAATAATTAAGGGTTTTTTTTAAATGTGAAACATTGCAAGTCAAAGAATTCTTGAGCACTCTCGAAGAAATTATCGAGGTCAGCGGTGTATTAGTATCTAAGTCTGCAAACACTGCACGCATTTGTTCAACGCGGTGGCGTAAACTATATGACGCAAGAGTTATTGACGTCACCTAACATCTCCATGCTAGGAGATTTTAGTATGCACGATAACTTGATTGAACATTCGAGAAACAACTTGATCGAAGCAAAAATTTCTACAAGTCATTTTCCAAATATCAACGTTTTCATCCTTGGGCAATGCAACATTTCCTCACTTTAACGTGATCTTAAGAATGTCATGTAACCTTTTTGATACTGAATCTTCCTAAATTTCAACTTTTTTTTCAAAATCATTTACTAAGTAAATAAGTCAAAATTTTTCAATTATGGTAACCACTACCACCTTCGAAAGTGCTAAAATGTCTTACGCACTCATTGTTTGCTGCTTTTAGAGAGACAATCATCTGCTCAAAATGGAAATATTTTTTCAACGTAGTATACCGCAGCTGGTTATTTCAAAAGACTTCCTTTAGTGAAAAAAAGACAACTTCCTTGGGGGTAATGCACGAAGTAACACAAATTAAAGATCTGATTTTCTCCTATAAAATCGTGAATGATCGATGTAATCTTGAAAGAAACATAAGACTTGCCGGTAGTGGTTCTTTAAGGTGGTACCCAGACAATTATTTTCACTTTGAAGTCACAAATCTCTTTAATGATGTACTGATGTCTAAAACATTGCTTATCTTCGAATTATTGGTACAATTCTGATGTATGTGTTTTTTTTTTTTTAAATAAGCCTCAGTTTATGAAACTCTACGGTGAACTCAACGAAATTTCTTTTTCTGGAGTTGCTCACCAGTCAAAAAACGAAACCAGTAGCGGGTGAAAGAGGAAATTTTCTTGGAACTGAACCTTGTGGAGGTCACACAGGGCTAAAAACAGAACAATATTCAATTTTATTCCGAGGAAGTAAAAGCGAAAGTAACCGTTTCGAGAAAGACGGGAAGTTAAATTACTATAAGAAAAAAGTGTCTCCGGTGTCGCTTGTTCCTCCTTAAAGAATAATTCACATTGTATTTATGGACTTTATCCAACACAAATTATATATACATCTTTTCAATTCACTCTCAAAAGAACGATGATATTGGATTGATGGGAGCTTTTTATAGATTTAAATTTACAGTTTGGAAAGCGACCAGTGTGATGGCCACACTTCCACGAATTCGTAAATCTTCGATAACTTATCGAGTCCTGTGCAATTGACCATAAATGCACGTTTTAGATACCTATACATTTTAATTCTGTGATGTGATAATGTTTATATACTGAGAGAAGGAAGATATTTTCACTCCAAGAGCGCAGCCGTTAATAGTCAGGCAAACTCGATCGCTTCAACGCCAAAATAAGGAAGCGAAAATTCAGAAAATATTACATAACTCAATCAAAATACTTCGTTCCATATACCTATTAGACTGGGTAAGGATACTTCGACAAGTAAAATTTCACAGTGTGTGGAATCCTCTTTGCGTCTTCGTTGGATCCACCAGCCAAAAGTTGGTTGTTAAGCGCTCTACGACATAAATGTTGGAGACTGGCAACTTCCTTATACAGCGGACGCCACAGAAAAAACTTGGCAGTTGCTGTCGTTTCGAGTTCATCTAACGAGCTTCTTCCTCTCGCTTGTAAAATCTTTCTTGTCACTATCATATAATAAAGAACCATCTTTACGGCGCAGTCAAACTTTGGAGGACCACTATGATGGAATTTCGTGTTTGTATTTGTCTTCGATGTGTCCTTTTTGTCCAGAGAAAATAGACCTTCTGAAAATACGATTCTGACATTTGTAATCCCAACCGCAGTGACTAAACTTATAGTAAATAAATGCCGCGAGTCAGAACTGTCGCGAACAAGAAACGTCCCAATCGCCTGATCTCGAAGAACAGCTTTCGCTTTGATTCCACTTATGGCTCCCCAATAAAAGCCACTATTCTCCAATCTTTTGACAGCAACCTCTAGCGAAGAAACAGCGTGTATATCAGCAGTCATCGATTTCGCAAACGACTATAGTAACTCTGAGTCCTGACGCTTAGCTCGTTACAACACCGACTGATCTTCATGTTCCTTGTGACCCATAATTTTGTTATCGTCAATTCCCTGAATCTGCTACCATGGTTCCACAGTCTGAGTATCTTAAATATATATTTCGTAAGTAACATAGTTGGCGTATTTATATCTGAACGATCATTCAAGACGCATTTCCGGGAAAAGAAAACCGTGTCGTCACAATTACGAATTCGTAGAATTGAACCGGAAGTTTAAAGCAATACGATTTTCTAGGAAAAGAAGCAACCAAAATCGAGCGTAAACATGCATTTTGGCGTTTAAGATCTAACCAAGTGATCTCGTGAAGGGGAAAACCTTATTTTCCATAGAACGTAAGACTGTGCACGTTTTTTTGGGTAACACCACGCGGATGGAAACGGAGATATCGCCCTCTTACACCGGAACACTTTAGAATAGTTCATGTCTATTGTTATTCTCGATCATTGTTTTAAAAACTGACCTGCTTATTTCAGCGAAACTGCAACAAATCTGCAAAGGAAACAGCTCGCTACCTTTTAGAAGGTTAGAGAACGATATCTCACCATTAAGTTGAAAATTAGTTCTGAGGAGATGCTCAGAAAAGCTAAAAGTTACTGATTCTCAAAAGAAAAATTGATTGACTTAGACGAGTTTGAGCAGAGTCTCAAAGGCTTCCTATTGTCCCAATATTTACCTGTCTTTCTGTGTGAATAAAACAAAATTTAGTCCAGAAATTGCACATTAGGCCTCGTAGTGAATCGGTAAAATAATTTGCTTTATTACTGTTGAGGTCAGTTTTCTTTGAGCTTTGGGCGAAAGCTGCAATAATCTCAAAAGTTTGCAATGTACGTTAATTGTTGAAATACCGGAAGTACTTCTTAAGAGGAACACGTACGGTTAACAAAAATTATGCTCCAGCGAAAAATCCTAAGCTTTTTTCGTGTGTAAAGATCTTTGCTAGTAGAGACAGTTGCATCGAAATCATTGTACAAACGAACTATATCACTATATCACGTATGGAAGGAAGTGAAGAGTTCACCTTTCCTAGAAGCTCTTAAGAAGATCATATTGCCTTTAAATTTTTATCCCTCCGTTCAGTGAGGATAAATACCAATTGTCCTAACCTTTACCACAATATGAAATATTTCCCAAATTTTATTCGGCAATTAGTGTTATGGCTGATTTAGACATAAAAATCTCTCGACTTCGAGTATCCTTTCACCATAACATGTAGACTATTTGACTGAACTGGCATAACTGGTAATCATATAAGTTTGTTGTAAGAGAAACGTTTTGTGGACGTTGCAAATAAGACTGAGCAGGGGTACCTCGTGGAGATAATGCATCACACTCTTATCCTCACCCCCCTCTTGAAGGGATGTTGACATTTGTTTCTAAGAAATAGGAGCAATACTCAGAAATTGTCGGAAATAAGTGTTGATTGCAGATGAACCATGAACTGAATGGCTGACGAAAATTTTGTTTTCAACGATACAGCAAATAATACAAAATGATTTCAAAATTTGTACCAAGGAATTTTTACCTTACTGCCTTTTGCCTTCGGCTTGATTTATTCCTTCCGTTGATACACCTCTTTTGATTTCAGCAAAATAGCCTCAGGTTGAGGAATAGTAATTTCTCAAACTCAATAATAATTCATGCTGAGAAAACAAAGGAAATTACAACTGTGAAGGAGGTTTGGATATGTGAACTTAATTATCATAAAATTTGGTGAACTTTTGTTTTGATTTTCTCCAAGAATTGTGAATGGTTTGAGAAGCTATATCAAACATTCGAAAGGGTGTTTCATCCGATATCCAAATACCTTGAAGTTGGTTTAAAAAAACTTGGCTGCGCCTCGTTTTTTCAACCGCTTCTTGGTGTTTGGATATCGGATGAAACACTCTTCCTCGTGTTTGATATGTGCGATCGAGGTCTTGTGAGGTTTCGAACCTCTAATCGCCAACAATCTCCGAAGTTACGTATAAATAGGTGGGGCATGAAATCGCGATTGATTGGACTTTAAACTCTCAGACGAGCTTCAGCAGAATGTTCCTTTCAGTCCTACGCTTAGCACAAAAGTTCGAGCCAAAAGCTTCTTTACTCGAGAACTCAGCCCAAAATTTACAATCTAGAATTCAATCTTAATTAAGCGTCTCTCAAGTCCCTGTTGCTTTTGATGAATAAATTTTCCAAAATGTTTCGTAGTGTTCATACTGAAATGTTTGCACTGTATTTCTGTCTTACTATCAGATTGCAGTGACACAATGAAGAATTAATTTTCCTGTTAGAACTCTTTCGGTCTTGAAGCGACATGTGTATAAAAAAAGGTCTTCATCAGAATAACCACGGGTACCATCGAAATTGAAACCCGTTATTCTTGGCTGAAAAAAAAAGGAGTTAAAATTGTTTGGTCTGATTGAAAATTTGCGAGTTGCTATTTCAGATCCTCCTGCGTTTGACTTTGATTAGATTGAGAATATTTTGCAGGGAAAATAAACACTACTTCCACTCTCTGGCAATTTTAGAGTAGAATGTCGTATTAATTGTTACATCACAGCTTCATTTTCCAAATTTTAAAATACCAACTTCTTTATCAGAAACAAATATTTCAGTCTCCGTGATAGAGCGAGTAACTTTCTAAGTTATCAGACATGAGACGCCATCGGTAATTTCGGGCACGGTGGAGGCAACTTCGCGAAATGCTGAGTAGTTTTAGAAGCGAAATATTTTGTGTTCGAAGAAAAACGGAACACAACATCAGTCCTTACAATTTTCGTTTCATCCAAACTTGACTCAATAATTGCTTTTGTAATCGTGGTTAAAACCTACGGATCCTGTTTTTGGTTTCTAGGAATCGAGAATAAAACGACTTCCGTGAAATTTCTTGCTGATTTTCTCGGAAAATGACCAAACTTTCCTTTTTTAGCACCAGCTGTCACAGCAAAATTTATGAATGAAAAACAGCGTGACGGCTTTTCAAGTTTTCCAAGAAATAGCGTCCACGCAGAAATTAACCGCATGAGGAATTTTATTATAATAGGAAATCATATTGTTTTTTTAATACGCTAGTGTGTATAGAGCCCATCTGGTCTCTTTTCATTTTCGATTCAGAACTCAAAGTTGTGGCGTCTAATTGAGTTTTTATTTTTGAAAACCAGCGATGGCTGACTCCTTACTTCACTTTACGCCATCCCCACCCCCACCCCCACCTTACCTTATCTATGCAATATCTCGGGCTGTTTACATAAGATCTTAATCTTCTCTACCGCTTTTTCTCGGAATCTTTTATGCTGTCGACAAGAGAATTATTGATTGACGGATTGTTGAAATAACCAATAAGAGTGTGCGAGGCTGTTTGAGAGCAGAAGTCAAGCAAAACGTTTGAAGGCCAGCTGTTCAAGGTTCGTAATCGGAGCTGACTGATTTGTCACATCGCCTGGTCGGTGAACTTTCTATCGATGGCTCTATTGCCATCTGATAATTCTTTTTTTACTAAATAGTAAATAAAAAGAAAAAAACATATATTAGTCGATATGACTTCAAGATGGCGGCGGTAGCGAAACGAGCACGCAGGTTCGTTCTTCCATCGGTAACATCACCTAAACTTGTCAACTTGATACTTGCTCTGTTGCGGCTATTTTGATATGACTTTGAAATGGTTCACCTATACAGCACAGAAAGCATGATTGTTCAGCTCCAGAAGCTCCAGAAGTTCCAGAAGCCTTTATTCGCTGTTCTTAAAAACAATACCATAATAGTATTCACAGATCTGCGAATTTCACTTCTAAAGGTTCTCTAAACCCAAAGTTCTTTAATATTCAAATTTCACTGCGTCTTGTGCCATCAACCTTTTTTTTTCGTTCGGTAATGTTAAACTAAATCCCGGAATGACTGGCAGGACCAACACCAATGAGCGATCTAACACGAAAACTCCGAAGCGCCGTGAAGACAATTTCACAATAGCTCATTTCAATGCTCACTCTGTACTATCAAGAACAGGGACCACTTCGCCCTCATCAAGGACTTCGTCATTGCGAATAAGTTTGACATCTTTACCGTTAGCGAGACTTGGCTGGATATTGAGATCGAAATCCCGGGTTATACCATCTTTGGTCTTGATCGTCCAAACAAAGTTGGAGGCGGCGTGTGTGCCTTTGTGAAAAATAATCTCATGGCGATCTGTCACTGATCACTGAATCTGGCCTTCACCTATCATGGCTCAAAGTCCAGGCAGGAAACTGCAATTCATTCCTGATATGCACGGCTTATAGGCCTCCTTCCACGACTACAGACTACTTTCATACGGATTTTAGTGATGTTATTTCTGCTATGTCACTAAATAAACCTATTTTTATCCTAGGCGACCTGAACTGCAACCTACTAAAGTCATCCGATCCTGCATCACAAGTTCTCATCAACGTCTGTTCCTCACATAATTTAACTCAATTGACAAATCTGCCGACAAGGATCACTGAGTCACCTGCAACTTTGATAGACGTCATCCTCGAGTTGAATAAAAACCTAGTAAGAGATACAAAGGTCATACCTGTTTCTAGTAGTGACCACAATTTAGTTTTTGCTGTTCTTAAACTTCGGCGACAACGTCCTACGGCCGGTATGTATAACGACCTGGGTTTCAAGGATTATTAACATCAGGCTTTTCTCCACGATATATCTCAAGTCCCTTGGTCTGACGTCGACCGTTTCGACGACATCGAAGATAGCCTTAATGCCTTCAATCTTTTATTCAAGGAAGTCCTGGATGAACACGCACCTGGAAAAACGATCAAATTACGGAGACGACCAAACCTGTATTTTACGGACGAGATAAGAGAACTTATGAAAATAAGGGATTATTGGCAGAAGTTGGCAAGAAGAACCGGCGATCCAGACACTTGGATCGAATACAAGAATCTTGAACGCGAAGTTAACTGAGAGGGGAATTAGACAGGCAGAACGCGAGTCCATAGCAGATCAAGTAAAGAGAAATCCCAAAAATTCTGGCCGCGGAAGTCGCCAAATGCTCTCCAAACTCCCTGACGTACGTTTATCGTTGTTGGGGAAAGATCTTACTATAAACCGATAAAGATCTTGGCGTTACATTTGATCCGAACCTCAATTTTTACGATCACATCCTTAAAACTGTGGCGTCTTGTATGTCCAGCCTTGCTCGAATCAGTCGTGTTAAGCATATGTGTGATAGAAATACTCTAATGACAATAATTAATACCCTCGTATTTAGTAAACTGTTTTATTGTTCATTCGTTTGGTCGAATGCAGCAACTGCACATCTACTTAAGCTTCAAGCTATACAGAACTTCGCCATCCGGATCATCAGCGGCACCAGGAAGTTCGATAACATGAGCCAGATCTTAAAAGATTTACACTTTCTTCCAGTCAAATCGCAGCTATAATATGGCGATGCCGTACTTGCATTCAAATGTCTGATTTAACATTCAACACTAGAAATTCTCACCTTCCTAACATACCTCGTTTTAAGAGCGCTACAGGACAGTTTCGTTATGGAACGATTTAGACAATACTTTTACATTATGTGACTCTGTTTTTATCTGTAAAAGAAATTAAGAAATAAACTCTTACGTGAAATTTTAACGTCTTAACATATTGTAATTTTTATTGTAATTTTATAGCGATCGTATTGTAGATTTATCCTATATATTTTAATTTTAGATGATTAACGCCGAAAACCCTCCTGGGGAGTGTTAACAAAGTTTGTATTGCATTGTATTGTAGTAGAAAAGATTCATTTATTGTGTTGTCTGATCGTAAGGCGAGCGGAGAAGTCCTGAGAAGGACAGTTACCGGAAGTGGTGGCTGACACTTCAACAGTCTTCGTGGGAGTCGTCGTTCTAGTCAAGTGAGGAGTTGGCTGTCAGTCGAATGTTGAAAGTCTTGTTCTTGTGTTCCAGGAGCCCATTACTTCCTATGTGTACTGATTAATTGGCTCGATTTTACTTTTGAAGAGAACTACTCACATTTGTTTGACACCTTTGAGCAGATAAGGCCAAGAAAATACTTGTAAATGCTAATCGCTTAGCACCTCATGCTAGCTACAATCTGATTCAATATTAGTCGACCCATCACGTTTGAAGAATACTGTTTCGTTTAATAAATAGGCGTTGCCTCGTGTTGACAGATTTATTCGATGACAAGAATCGTGATTGACATTAATTCAATCGATTGATTTAAAAGCGTTAGATTATTATGTTTTAAGTCAGTTTTTCAGCGGAATCAAAATGAGAAAGATGTTATTTTGTTATCGTTTTTCTGTCCATAAATCCGCTTACCTGGAGAATCTATTAACCCGTAAAGTGAGACTGTTGTAACGACCCGCCACAGAAGTAAGTTTATATTGAAGTTTTTTAATTTAGTTACAAGATAAAGACTTGATTTGCGTTTGTTCTAATTGCGAATTATAAATGTATTTCTTTTAGATCGAATAATTATTAAAGCTTGGCTTAATATTATACGGTTTGTGGTGGTCATTTGATCTAACCAGTTCCGAGTATAGAAATAAATACTATTTATGTGTAGAATAACACTCCTGTTTCTACCACATTCAAAATCATTGACAAGACCCCCTCCCCATTAAATGATGCTTGTATGCAGGCAAAAGTCCATGGAATCACGATACCACATTTTTTTCTATAGGAAGGGACAGTTTAACTTAACAAGGCCTAAAGAGATAATATTGAAATAATAAGGGCTTAAGGTAGGTCGTAAGTCGTCGTTGGAGACTTAAAATATTTTAAGTATTGACATCTGAATCCTATGTCACTGACACACGTCAAGCCGAGTCTTTTGTATGCTTTGGAAAAGGTTCCCTACAACTTGAATGGTGCTTTTCTCAAAATAATTTGCAGTAAAGTAAACCTTTGGGGCTCATTGCTCTGTTATTAGAAAGAGATGCGGAAACCAGCCATGAAAATTCCTCCAGAATTACAGCGAATGAAGCTTGAGGATCAACACTCTCTAAAAATTACTCATTTTTTGGAATATGCATTTAATTATATTTCATAACCAGTATATTGTTTTTAAGACATTTTTCAGCAGGCATTCTGTCAAGATGTCGTGATCCGAGATGTTTGATATGAACAACCGTTGGTAATCGTGTTATTTTTTGCGTATGGGTTTGTTTTTCACTGCTTTATAGGTCTCGAATGCATAAGAAAAGTCTGATTCAAGCATGTAGATATATGAGTGGAAAATTCTGCGCGAAAAGAAATTGGTTTCCAAAGGAACGAAGACGCACCTTTGTTTAATTTTAATTTGAAGCTGCCGGAGACTCGTCCTGCGTGGCAGAACTTTAAATTTAGATATCGCTTATGATGTGGTTCTGTTTCAGAGCCTGGCGAAAATTTACGATATTGCGTTGAAGACTTACGAATATTTTTATCCTTTTTTCTAATTTTTGTTCTGGTGAACACCACGGGGAGTATTTCAGGTTTGACAATGGCTTTTAAAGTCTTGCGAATTTTGCTGACTTCTGTCCTTCTCATAACTACAGTTGTAAATGTTTGGTTTGTTGCTGAAAACTGGAGCATGGAAAACACACCCCCGTGGGAACTAGAAGTTGAAGACAGAGGAAATAGAAAGATGAATGAAATTGATTCAGACACAAGTTTTGAAGAAGGTGCGTAGACATTGTTGTATAGCTAGCAATTAAAGCAAACGTCTTTTCAAGCTTCGGGAACTAGATGCATATGGAATAGATCGACATTCTGATCTGTAAACGAAAGAAATAAATCGTTTGTGATGTTTTTAAAACGAATCCTATGTTTGATTGAAATATTGATATGTAACACATATCACTGAAGTGTATAAAATTAAAGAGTCGCAGTGTATCGTCACTAATTTGACCTTCTGATACCTATGTATTCTATTTAAGAAATTTTGAAGACCAATATCGAAGACGAGCAATATTTCTTCCGCGTTCGACAGCAATGGTTAAAAATTTATTTCAAATACACTAAGTATCGTAAAGTAGGTTGTGGTTTTTCATCAAGGTAAATAACACTTTCAAAAGGGGAGGGATCATCGTTTTTCCCACGATGTGGTCATCAGTGAATCGCGACGTCTCGATTGCAAACTGGTAGTCTTTTACGGGCGGTATGGTCGATTAAGTAGCGTATTCAATCGCGTACTTAGTCGACCACATCGCCTGACAAAGACTGGCAGTATGGCAGTATCAACATCGTGATAAAAACGATTGTACTTCAGGCAAACACTGATATGAGCGAGAAAATCTTGTGGAAGGAGTGGAAACAATTCGAGTTTTCAAAGCTTCATTTTTTCTAGAAAATAAAAATGATTTCAGTTTCTAGAAACAGTCAAGTCCAAGACGAGAAAAAAGTGGCATCCTTCGATGTAAACAAATGTTTAAATAATTACAAAGTATAGTGTCCAAAAAATTTGTTTGTAAGACAAAGTTTAATAATTTTTTGATGAGCTCTTTAACACAATCCGATCGGCGCCCTCAAATTTAGACAAGACGAACTTGAGATCGTATTACCTTTTGCGATCATAGAGGGTTCAGTTTTATTTACTATTACATTAATGAAAAAAAAAAACAAGTGTGCTGTAAACCATTTCTTTTAATTGAGAAATGGGACAAGTTTAGTACGTGATGTATTTCGTATATGATAAATGCATAGAATCTGTGCATTCGACTTTTACAGCACCTTGTTTTCGTCAGGGGAATTTGTAAAAAGCATTTCAGATATAATAAAAGAAAAAATGAATTGAATATTCACAATAATATAAGTGAAAAAAGTTGTGCCGAAACCTTAGGAACCAAATGCGGGTGGTAAACTATGTCAGGCTTGTCAAATGAGTTGTTAATGTGAATGGACCACCGTAAAGTGGTTCTAAAGCTGATGTTTCGAGAATTTGATGTTTTCTCAACTGACGTTTCTTACCGTTCAAGATTTAAGATGCAAAATAGCAAAAATTTTTCTCCTAATTGTCAGAAAGGTCTGAAGCGTATCGAGAATCAATTTAGGCGAAAATGATGGATTTTAGGGTCGCAGAAATAAACAAACCTCATAATTAATGGTGTAAAAATTAATGCTGACAAGAATTACAGCGACTAAGATCTCGGCGAATTCTCCAAATGTGAGATAATATTAGTAAGGATTAACGAGACAAATTGAGTGTCATTTCTACCACGAATGGACAAATTTTCCTCCACTGATATTTCTATTTTTTCCAATGGAGTGATAGAATCAACAGAAACTAACAAAATATCGCCTTTTCTCAGCAGTTCCAAAATTTTAAATTTTTTTCTCTGAAATGCGGCTTAGAAACAGAAAACAACGTTTTAAGTTAAGACCAACTTCATTACCAGGTTCTGTTTTTTTGTTTTTGTTTTTGTTTTTTTTTTTCACTCAAGAGGAGAGGTCCTAGGAACGAATCTTGGCGCACGCGCAGCTTCCAGTCTCCAATACTCCCCTTGGTGTTTACCAGAACAAAAATTAGAAAAAAGGATAAAACGTCAGGCATGATATATTCGCTCAGACAGTAATGGCTAAACCAATGAAATGTCCAGATGTGGTACACTTTTAAATCAAGCTTATTTATATCGGCTAACTCATGCTTTTTTTTTTCTTTTTTTTTTTCAAACAGATGGTATGGACATTCAAGTTCGTTCTGGCAAAGAGGAGGTGTCGGTTATTGTTGATGGAAAAGTGGTAAATGTTCATCGCTATAGCTTCATTTAGTTTTTGGTTTCATATTATATGCTGAATTAGACATACATTTTGATTGGTGCGTAGGATCTGTCGGAGGACAGACGCATGGAAAAAGTTTTCTTCTCTTAGGTTAAAGAAAAAAAATTGAAAACCAAGAGATTCATTATTGTAGTGCGTCTGTTTAGGAGTAGATCTCAGAAGACTTCAAAATGTGATAGGAAAGTTAGTGACACACTCGGCTGGTCTTCCTGTGGCACTTTTTTGTTCTTATCTCATTTTGACGTCATCAGTGATCTATTACTGAACAGACGCACGGCAGCCAGAAATACATTTCTCTAATTCTGCTCTGTGGTTGACTTTAAAGCTCACACCATTTTTACTTTGTACTCTTAAGGTATCAGAAATCAAGGATAAAAATGTCCGAGGAATGATAGTGTTCGTTTTAAGCCAAACAACGGGCTCCCTTATGGCTGTTAGAGCGTTTGACACGTATTCATCCAAAGACGAAGGACAAGAACTAATAAAATTTTTCGGTCTGCTGCAGGAAGGAAGGATTGTTTGCGTGGCTGTGAAGGCAAGTTGAGTTAAGTTACCACGAGGAACACATAACTATATTTCAAAAGTATTCCGATTGTCACTGAGGACAACAGATTTCAATTTCTAACTTAATAAAATTTTAAACGCATATGTATCTAAATACGAGGGGAAATGTACCAACGCCCAAATTAATAAGCCTGCGATAATTATGACTCGTCATGATTGATTTTAAATTCAAGTCGCAATTTTTAGAGATGGGTACATCAGACCAACTCATCTGGAAACGAGGTTGCAATCAAATATTAGTTTGATTGGCATTTACAAGGAGACTGGGTCTGCAAGGATACGACTCTTGATATATTTCGAACTGTGTAGGACGTCAAATAGTAATATTTTTGCAGCATGCTAATCTTGCACCCAGGATCAACTTCTGTGGTTGATCGTTAGAGGTCTGGGTTTAAGAAAGGCGATGAGATAATACCCAAGATGGTGTGCATTGAAGAGGTGGGCCACTGTGCGACAATAGCAACAAGCGCAAAGCTATCTAGGAATTACCAGGCCAAATGGGCGGTTATCGAAGCATTTCAATTAAACAGAGGACTAAGAGGAGACAGTTTTAAGAGGCAGAGCGCAAACATAACGAATGCCTTGAATTTCAAACGTACTTACCCTTCAAGTTTGTTGGCCCCTTTTTTTAAGACCCTTAGAGATTTGGCTGGAAGTGTCCCTGAAATGTACCTGTATCACTCAGGTAAAAGGGGAGGATTGGAGCGAGGCCAACTCTTGTACCAATTCTCCATTTTTTTCCACTAAGGATGAAGCAGCGAGCAACTTAGATGGTGACGTTCGAAGCTACATTGAGAAGTTAGGGAGCCGTTATGTAAATGTCCTTGGCTGGCGGGATATGTGGGCGTTTATATTCCAACAGGCTACCAATCAGAGGAAAACATCTGTGGAAAGCCATCAGAGGTCTCCAGATTTTGACAGCTGGGGAAATGATGTCACAATTCGAGCATATCTGAAGCGGGAGACAGGCATGTCCAGTGAATGCAGCTGGGAACAAAACGATGCAGGGCGTCGTAGAGCAGAATTCTGCCAGAAATTTGAAGGATATGGACGGGTTTGCCACTGTGAGTATTCCATTCAAGTTTAAGTATTTATTTATACTCTTGAGTGGAGGGAAGCACTCGGAAAACTAAATGTCGAGACTGTGTTTCTCCAAATTAATGACTTTTCCTTTTTAAAAAAAGAATTAAAGTGATTGAACGAAAAAAAGCACGTTTGACAATAGTTGCGGCAGTCTTGCTTAAGTTTACCGAGGCGCTCGCACACAAGAGAGAAGACATCACAAAAGCCGTTTATCCGTGAGGCTATAAACCGATACTGCCAGTAATCCAGTCGAAGCGATTGCGCGTCCTGTCACATTCTCACTCCACGTCGCGTAACTAGATCGTTGAGCTTCGATTCGAAATGACAGTACCTCTTTGATAATCTACTTTAAGGCAACGATCCGGAATCAATCGATTTCTACCCACCTCCTCTTGAAGATGGCAGTCGTCTTGATCTGCCAGTGTTGGTTATGGCTGGTAATCGCCCCCACTACTTATTCAGAATGCTCAAGACCCTGCGAAAAGTCCAGGGGCTGAATCCTACCATGGTAACCGTATTTATTGACGGCTTCTATGAAGAGCCCGCCTCTGTTGCACGGGTGTTTGGTCTGAAGGTAGATCGACATGAAGGTATCAGTAAAAGGAACTCAAGGATTTGCCAGGTAAGCAAAGGTCGAGCCGAGGCCGAGTTTTCAAACCTCGTTTTATATTCAATTGTGTTTATTTCTATGGGGATGACTATGCTGAATTATTCAAAGATAATTTAGGTGTTTCCTTGATGCAGATCTCTATATTAACTTTGAATTCATAACACCCATTTACGCAGTATGACGTGCATGGGGGGACCCCCCACCCCCCACCCCCTCAGCTTTATCCATCATCAACCACTCTCAGACTGGTGCCCTCGCATAGTGTTCCACACGCAGGGAAAGCAACATGGTTGACTGTGCGTTTGTCCCTCCCTTTCTAGCCCTCAAGGGAAGGCCAGTCTCGTGATTCCACGCGTGTTTTATACTGCGCACACCTCTCTATCTTATGCCCTCCATGGCTAATCCAAATGCAAGAATAGAGACGGTAAGACGCGAACCTCAACTTGTATCTTCGGGCACTTGTTGGGGCGTGAGGCCTATAAGTGTATTCTCCAAACCCTTGTCTGTAAAATCGCGCTATTCGTGCGGAAACTTGTGCGCAACGGAGTGGACCTTAGCGATCTCTTCGTGAACGCACCCATTCTCATCGCACCATGTATAGCTTATTTTTATCTGAACCGTTTTGTTTTTACTTACTTCGTATTCAGCATTACAAGAAGTCCATAACAACCTCCTTTGAAAATTTCCCCGACGCCAATTTCCTGGTTATTCTTGAGGAAGATCTTGACGTGTCTGTGGACATTCTTAGCTACTTTAAACAGCTTCTCCCGGTCTATGAGAACGACGAAAGTGTTTATTGTATATCAGCTTGGAACGATCAGGTTTGAAAAGCGTAAAATGCACAGTTCAATAGAGATATCTGTGGATTTAGTTAAGTTAAATTGGAAGGGGGATACTAATAAAAGAGGTGCGGTGTTTGTTCATATTGACATGCGTAAGCATATCGCTATGGCAACGATTACAAAAATATCCTTTTTGTTGTCTCTTCTGAGGCTTATAATGGAGTGTCACGCGATCTTCCCCTGAAAGAATCTGTGGCGTCGCTTAACATCCTAAAGAATGGCCGCAAAGGAAAAAGAATTTGTGAACGGGGGATGGGAACGCCTCTTTTAAATGAGACGGAAAGATTTTGGAATGGTTACACCTGATTATGAAAATACATGGCCTACTTTTAAAGCCATTTAAACGACGAAACCGAATGTGTCATTCAAGAAGTGATGATGAAATAACTTGCTTAAAGGTGCACAGGGCTTCGGTAGACATAAAAATAGAAAACAAGTTGATGTAAAGAAGATATACAAAGATCTTTGTATCAATTTTTCGCTGTTACGCAGGGCTATGAGTACACCGTTCATGACCCATCAATGACGTACAGGATTGAAACTATGCCTGGCCTTGGGTGGTGAGTACCATTTGAGCATTGGAAGGATCAAGGATCAGTGACTGGGTTTGCTTCACTGAGCTGTGAGATCAGTCTTGTAATCTCGAACCAAGCACCCTTTAAGCAAGATATCAAACGATAAAACTAATCGCGACCTAGCTGGAAATTGGGCCTGGTTTAGCCTCCTTGGCCGAGCGCTTTCATTTTTTGACACGCAATGAAGCGATAAATTATTTGTTAACACCAAATCGAGAAACGAGCTCCCGAGGGAAGGAGAATAGTAAATCCCGTGGGGAGAGGGGAGGAAGGGACGATGGGTGCCATCGGAAGACTTCTCCTGTTCTCCTTCTATGAAAATGAATTAGGATTTCTTTTATCAATTTTTAGACTTTTTAATTTTCTTACAGGGTATTGAGTCGCAAACTGTACAAAGGAGAACTTGAACCCAAATGGCCTGCTCCCGATGTATTCTGGGATTGGGACATGTGGATGAGGACGCCGACGCAAAGGAAGGGCCGAGAGTGCATCATACCGGACATCTCTCGCACCTACCATTTTGGGGCCAAAGGTCTAAACGTGGACCCAGCTATGAACGAAGCTTATTTTAAAAGACATGCGCTTAATAAGGAAATCGGTGTTAGGATCAACGCAGATCTCATGTACAAAGACAACTATGAGAAGGAGATAAATCGATTACTGAGGTAAATGCCATCTACTAATGGACTGAGGGGTGAGCATGACGGGAAAGTATGATCTGACGTGCGGACCAAGCTAGCGAGAGACGAACATTTTCCTGCGCGGCCTGACCTGACGAAAAGTCAGTTGGCAATTCAAATAACCACCGCCATTTCACTTTCAAAGCAGAACAAAGGGAAGTATCTCAAAGACCCAATGAGACCCAAAGAAGACACAAGCAAACTTTCTGCCGGTTTTAAGTCATTGTCTGATTGGCGGGTCGCGCGAGTTTTTAAGCCAGTCAAAGAACGAGGTAGATGAAAACCCGCACAATCCTAAATTACCTTCGAATACTCAATTTGAAAAATTTCTATACGCTTGTGGGAAAGAAAACCTTATATTGCTTTAGATCAACTCTTTTCTTTTATCTCGCCAGCCAAGCTGAAGTTCTTGATCACTCAAGGACACCTTGTACAAACCCTAAAGACTTCATACCTGACACTAAAGACAAGATATACGTGTTTTATATCAGAATGGAGCATCCAAAAGACTATACCACATGGATAAACGTTGCCAGATGTTTTAGAATCTGGGACTTGGAGGCCCGTGGATTTCATAAAAGTCTGTGGAGGATGTGGATTAAAGGCAATCATGTTTTATATGTTGGGTGTCCAGCGTCACCTTACTGCAGTCACAAGCCGACTAATGTTGAAGCTATTTATATGCCAAATAAGGAAACGAGACCACCCGATAATAATTTCTTTGCCAAATAAAGTTGGAGTTTGAGATTTTACCTTCAGCTGAGTGTATCAAGGACGGAATCAAATACACATTGATGTAAATGTATCTTAATATCCGTCGTAGTATGAAGCAATTTCTACGTTCAATATCGATGTTATTCAGTGACTAGGTATCTGGAGATACCAAGGCGGACGAAACTTTTTCACCAAAGCTCTCTTGGCTGTATTTGATTGTCACAGACAAGGTTTCATCATTAGTGCCAAGCGCGTGAAAACACGCGCGATCTTCCACGTGATCTTCCACGTGATCAAGTTGTGAATGGTTTTAGCTTTGCGTGTGATCGGTTCAGTGGATAACATGCCGCAGGTTTTTTTTAAACCAGTCGCGTTGCCTGGATAGAAAATGAAGCACGAGCAGTTTTGGAAAAATTTTTAACACTCACATGAAAATTATTTGAAATGCTTAAATCACTTGAGAATGGATCCAGAACAGTAAATGATCGAGAAGATAACCGTATATTTTTTTTTCAGATTTGTGCTTAACAAGAAATTGAACCTCAAGAATAAAACATGTTAAGACTTCAATTCAAATACCTTGTTTGCACTATTTCTTTTATAACTTTATGATAAAAACTGATTGTCCTTTTTAACTTATGGTGCTTTTTTCTTTTTTTTTTTTTTAATTTTCTATTGCTCTAATTAAGTTATCCATGCAATTCTTTCCACGTAAGATTGTTTGACATTATAATCTTATAAGAACATTTTTCAATAGCAAAAGATCACCATGATCCTTATCCAGTTAACTTACCACATTTCTTGAGAGATTTGGCGATGAATTTTCTAACTCGGAGACCGAGGGCTTTTCATTGACATCTGTCAATATATTTTTTTTGGAGTTTGGGGGGGAGGGGAAAAAAACATTTTAACAACCTTGAAAAAGGTGAGAACTCAAAACAGCGCTTAAAACATCACTTGCACAGTTTAATACATAAAATGATAGAATAATAATAACAGTGATTGATCTTTTCGGCAGTGGAGTTCGGTGAGCCTTCTTTTGCATTCATTTTCTGGGATGGTTCCCAAGCTACAGCAAACGAAATCGAAAAAATTTTTTTTTATTTTGTGTCTTCACGTCATCGATAAATGCAAATTGTGTCGGCTGTTGGCTTTGTCTACAAAATTATGCACAATCACTTCGCAGGCAAATCAGCAAAGCAACAATGAAGAAAAACATGGCAAAATTAGTCCCAAATTTTACTCGACAGGCATCCCTGCTGGGAGTTGTTTTCAGAATTAGGGGCAAGCTAACAATCGCATCTCTCATTCGAGTGTTATTGTGCGCAGCAGTATGTACTGCCTTTCTTGGAAATATAATATTTCTACTGGAGACGCGTAAAATGAACAGCGAAAGTGAAAAAAATTTCATCGATCGGAAAAATCTTGGCCGAATATCTCTTCGAGATCGTGATGTTGCCGGAAGTAAAATGGAAGAGACCACTAACAAAGGTAAGTCTCTCTGGGTTTGGATAATTTTAAACAAGTTAGTCGCCTCCCTAATGTTTAGATATTTTCTATAGCTGATAGAAGATATATGTTCAATACTGTGGGAGGTCGTGTTTTAAATATTGCGCGTGTGATTGCGCACATATTTCCTGTGTCAAAGTTCGGTGGAAATTTTATAAAAATGTTAAAACTGGAAAAAGCACTATCTATGACGAGAGACTCTCTTAAAAGTCGCCAAGTTTAGCTCATGATCTAGTGGTTTAGGGTTGAAATCTGGGACGGATTATTATGTTGTCTTCTTGGGAAAAAAACACTTCTTTCACAATCCCTCTTTCCACTAAAGGGTGTACTGTGAGTGGGTACCAGAGACAAAGCAACGGAAATTTCTATCAATCTTAAACTACTGATGACTATGTCAGCCTGTTTATAGCAAGAGACACTATTCTCAGTTGTTGAAGGAGTTTGCACAAAATTTTCAGTTGGGAAAACGGTATGAGTTACTTGATGAAAGTGAGGAAAAATTATATCCATGAAAAGCTTAGTGTTTCATTGGGTAAACATTCCTGAGATAAGTCCCAACCAGTCAGCAGTCTCCCGCTAGAATAGCGTGTATCGTCTATGAACGTACCTCCTTTTCTAAATAAAACTGTCGTCTGGTTCTTGTTTGATGCGTAGGATATTTAGATATAGAAGTTTACTCCAGCAAAGAAAACGCCTCTGTGGTAGTGAATGGAAAAATAGTAAGTATGTATTGGAAACTGGTAAGTACGTAAGTGACAATGGTTCTCTTTTTTAACGGTTATAACCACTTTTTGAATCGAATGCTACGACTCACATGAAGAGAATATTGCTACTGTGTCAGGGAATATAGGCCTAAGCCATATTCATATATGGCGGCCACGCGGAACGGCTTGGTTTCGAAGACGTGAAAGCGAGGCTTGGTAGGACGGCGCACCTTCAGTAGCTAAGTAGTCAGCGTGCCGGGATCCAGATTGAAGAGTCTGAGCTCAAGCTTTGGCTTGGCCGTTGTGCAAGATACTTTTCTCCCATCAGTGTTACTCCTCGTGAAAGGCCTAGGCACCAATTAATCGTCAGTGCCTCTCCATCGTACCACCATCTTGAAAATAACCCAGTAAACTGGCTGTGCATAAATGACGTCACAACATGCGCGCTTCAAAAGCAGCTGAGGCATCAGTTACCACAAAAATTACAAAAACTAAGTTTTTCAGTCAAGAATGCCTTTCTGTGTAACTTTAAATTGTTCAACTCTTCGACCCCCAAAGAGTGACTAATATCTAATTTCCTCTGACAACACCATCCCTAAATCGTACATTATGGTCACGAGAATGAAGGAAATAATCACCAACTAAAGAGGCTCTTGATAAATAGCAAAATTCTCCTTGTTAGCATCTTAGGAAGTGTAGAAAGAGCAGTATGGAGAATGTGCATACTGATCATGATATCAGGGTGTAGAGGGTTCGACCTACCTCGACGTAGCTGAGTGCTCTTTTCATTTGAGGTTTATCAAGAGCTGAATCGTCTTGGAATGAACGTTGTGGTTCTTAATCAAAACACTGGAGCGGTTACAGCTCGGAGGAGATTTGATACGTATTCAACAAACCAGGAATCTACAGAAATGATGGAATTCATCAGTGGTCTGCCAGATGGACGAATACTCTGTCTGACAGTTAAGGTATTTCTTAGCGTAACCACAGATACTTTCTTCTTATCAATTTGTTCATCGATGTGGGTGAAAAAATCGAGGTGATTCTATGTGTAATCAAAACGAAATCTCGAACATGATTGGCTATCACCAGCCCGATTTGAGCACTAATATGACAGTGTACGCATCATGCTTGTGGTTGGACAGTGTAATAGGACAGTTAAAGGGACAATTGACCCGTTATACCGGTGTAAGTAGACCAAATCTGTCTGTAATCATGCTCGTGATTAACAACTCGGACTCCCGAGTCAATCACCCGTGTGATTACAGATCGAATTTACCTCCACTCGGTCCTATTACCATTATTATTTTCTCAACAGGACGAAGCCACAATAAGTCTGTTGGCATCCGCTCGGAGCTACCTCCAAAGCCGTGGTAGCAGCTACATACAACAGCTACAATGGCGTGATATGTGGGCTTTCGTTACACAACGTGTAAACAATAAAAACATGGTGTACGCTGAAGGATATCAGCAATCACCGAGTAACGATGAGTGGGCGACTCCTGTCAGAATCCACACTACAGTTCCGATCTCAGAGCAAAGCACCGTGGATTGCCAATGGATTAAAAATGATGACAACCGCCGAAGGAAAGAGTTTTGCGATAAGTTTGATGGCTACGAAGAAATTTGTAAATGTAAGAGTCTACACTGCGAAGACTGATTACCAGAAATACGTACATGAAAGTGACTAATCCAATTACAAGAAAAGAGCAGTGAATTTCATTCAAATACTTCCTCATCTTTGGTTACTGTGAACTTAATCACTGATTGGCAGAATTGAACTGATTGCTTTAATTCTTGTTTGTTGACTGTAACTATTCATATTCTGTTGTATACATTAAGAATAATTACCAGCATAGATTTTTTGTATCAATATTTGCACGCAATCACCATGGAGGGGGGGGGGAGGGACATAAAAATTATAACTGCCAATGAGAGGGGATCGTCAGAATATTACAAAGCCTTATGGGTGGGATCGGGTTAATTTCATTGTAACACAATCAAAATCCTCCAACCATCCCTTCCCCCCCCCCTCCCACCACTTCCCCCGACGATGATTAATGATTAGTCCCTCCGCATCACGTTTCCGCCTCGAAAGAAGTTTGTTCTTTCGTTTTCTTTCACAGGCGAGAATCCAGAACAGTTAGCTTTTGAGCCGCCCCTACCACCAGATGGCAGCCGAATCAACCTTCCACTGCTGATCATGGCTAGTAACCGCCCTTATTACCTGTACAGAATGCTTAAGACGTTACGACAGGTCCAAGGGTTGAATCATACCATGGTGACAGTGTTTATTGATGGATTTTTCGAGGAACCTGCCTTACTTGCTGGTTTGTATGGGCTGAATGTCGATCAACAAGCGGGAGTCAGTGAACGAAGAGCAAGGATCTCGCAGGTACAAAGCATAGCTTTATGATTGGTTTAAAAAAGCTTTTGCCGCCTTCTCAACCAATTAGATGCAAAGATGAAGTCAATCCCGATGTGGTCACGTGCATTTTCCCGCGCTTGGCTTTATGAAATTTGATCACTGTAGGTTTGGTAATAGAATTCTTGATTAATTGAAGATGGTGCCCTTCTCTGAGAGACTTTGCTCCTCGAAAAAGTCATCCACGCACATGAGAGAGTTAGAATCCCACACGTCCAAGCGCTTCCTCAAGTTTCACCTTCATTCTTTTTCTCAGCATTACAAAAGATCACTTACGGCCTCTTTTGCTCGTCATGCTGATGCTAGCGTTGTGGTCATCCTCGAGGAAGATCTTGATGTATCTCCAGATATTCTCACGTTTTTCAATCAGTTACTCCCGGTCTTGGAAAACGATGACAGTCTTTACTGTATATCAGCTTGGAATGATCAGGTAAATAACTCCGATATCACATTAATTTGTGTGTGTAGCCAAAGGTTAACAAACAAATGGTGAAGTTTGATCGTCCGGATGAGTATAGTCCTGAGAAGGACTGTTATCAGGAGTGGTGACTGACGTTTAGACAACCTGAGAGGAAGACGTCATCAAAATCAGGTGAATAGATGCTGTCAGTCGAATTTTCTAAGTCCAGGTACCATACAACACTTTACAAAAAGAATCATTCAAGACATTAACATTACAAACGAACCGAACAGAACGACCAAACTTTACCGACGGATCGAGTCCGACCAATCACGACCGACATACGCCATTTACAGAGTCTTTTAGCCAATAACATCACGGCAAACTAGCCAATCAGTTTATCCGAACCGGACTTAGAACATTCGACTGACAACAGCTATTCAGTTGACTCTGATGATGACTTCCTCTCAGGTTATTGTCGAAACGTCAGTCACCACTACCGACAACTTTCCCTAGGACTACACTCACCCGGAGGGTCAGACTACACTATTACATGTTACCCCTGAGCGCAAACCATCTACTGTTTTAAAAACTAAATACGAAAGGAATTAAAGTCAAGAATGAGAGATGAGTAAACGCCGGATCAATTGCTGACGCGTAGAGTTGGAAGAAGTAGGAGAAACGAGGAAAGAAAAATGACGGGATTTAAAGAAAAAGGGGGAAAGGAGAAATGAAATTAAAGAGAAAGGCTGAGGAGAAAGTAAAGGAAAAAAGCATGTAAGTAGGTTTTCATTGGCACAACGGAAACAGAGGCAAAAACCTTGGGCTTCGAGTAGGCGAGCGTGGAGAGCCAACGAGGGCTCTACGAGACTCACCGCAGACCTCTAACACGCTCGCTTAGGTCGTCGGCACGAAACTCGCGATTTTTATCACTCATCCTGTAACGCAAGTGAGAGCTTGCTTTCAAGTCAAAGGGAAAAAAAGGGTGACAGCTTTAATAATGACAGAAGCTAACAAGGAATCAGTTAACTCCTCTTAATCAGCCCCAGTAACTTATAAATTGCAGTTTCCTTATCAATGTAGATGAGTACCTTGATAATCATGAAAATTAGATATCGTGGACGTCTGTGGTTATTATGGCTAACCTACAAGTGATAGCTATTTGTCTTTATCAGGGTTATACACATGCAGTTAAAGATCCAGCCATGACCTACAGAGTTGAGACAATGCCAGGACTTGGATGGTAAACATTAGACAGTCAAGTGTATTTTTTCAAATTTTAGTCGACGGGCTCAATGTCTAGATACGGAACAGGGCTGGCTTTAGTGGTTACAATCACTTACTATTATAGTTAGTCTCACGCTATCACATACAATCACACATTACAAATAACACTATCACAGACTAATACGCACTTTTGTTCACAATCACGCATTACCACGCACCATAAATTGCTATCACGCACTACCACTTACCAGAACACACTATTCGCACGATTACACATGACCAGTAACACTATTGCGGACCAGTGCGCCCTATCACTAACAATCACGCAGTACCACTCACCACAAATCGCTATCACGCGGGTGACTACGCGTTGGAAAGCTTTTGTCTACTTGCACGAGTTGACTTAAATTAATCTTCTTTTATCTTTTTCAAAGTGAACGCAGCACAGTTAAAGCAAACTAAGCAACAAGTGATGTCTCTGGAAGATCTTCGTTAAAGTGCATGTTACAGTTTTTCGACCATTTCAATCAACAGAAAAATATTAACACAGTACGGGTCTATTAACCAAGAACCGCTCAGTCTTCAGGCTGCTTTGCTCGTGTTTGAAGAGCACAAGGCAACTTGGTAGAATTTTGTTTGTCATCGGGATTTATCGGTAAATCATCGCTGCTTCGCGAGGGTCCGAACTTTTGCTATCTTTGAACGCTGATTGGCTCTATTCCATTGTTACTTACTTACATTCAGAAAAGTGACTTGATCGCAAAAGTGACTACGTGTGTGTGCAGTAGTTACAACCAGAGCACTAAAAGCAAAAATCTGTCCTTGATTTTATTTTTAGGGTTCTGGAGCGAAAACTGTACAAAGAGGAACTTGAACCTCAGTGGCCTGGTCCCGACGTGATGTGGGACTGGGACATGTGGGTAAGGAGCCCGCAGGTGAGAAAGGGCCGAGAGTGCATTATACCGGACATCTCTCGCACCTATCATTTTGGGGCCAGAGGACTGAATGTGAATCCATACATGCAGAGGACTTACTTCTCTGCGCGTGCGCTGAATACTGAGCCAAACGTAACGTTGAACGTGGACATCATGTACAAGGAGAGATATGAAAAGGAACTACAGCGGTTACTTAGGTAAAAATCACTGCAAGTTATTGCTGAAATAAATTTGGGATTGCGTTGGATTTGAACTGTCTTTGGTAGGGCATATTCCCGCAAACCTCTCCACCAATTAGATTCAAAGCCAGATCAAAAGCGTTTTACTCGCGCTTTACCTGCTGTTCACATCTATCGAGCTCTCATTGGCTGGTTGTGATATTTGCCTTAGCCAAAGTTATCGCATCAGCCAATCAGGAAAAAGATAGTTTACGCAAGGCGCTTAAGGGAACTAAAAAAAATATTAAATCACGTAATGAAGCACGGTAAAAAGCTTGCGCTTCAACAAACGATTGGTTTAACCTTGGGTGTGACCAGTTGACAAGTTGGTGCCAGTTTTCTAGACAAATGATCACAAAGCAAAAAAATAATTCTGGCGCAATCTTGGGTTTTAAATAACATGAAGTAATGATGTACGTATAAAGTTATGTCCAGACCCAACCAGCTGGAGTTTATCTCGTGTCTGTGGTATGAAACGACAAGGAATACTGCTGCATTAGGAGTGTTACTTCTCCTCGTCACCCTGGAGGGTATGCCAGTGCATTGCATTTTGTAGGTATCCATGGACACTACCGACCAGAGCAGGGTTTTGTTCTTTTTTGTCAAAGAACTCAACACAATGACCTGGCCAAATCTCGAGCCCAGACTTCTCGTCCAGCGCGCAAGTTATGACACACTGCCCCTTCTACTTCGGCGATAATTTGATTATTTACTTTTTTTTCTCTTCTTAATTTTTTTCAGAAAAGCTGTAGTCTTAGATCACTCAAGGACTCCATGCACAAACCCAAACGATTTTATCCCTTTGACGAAGAACAAGATCTACGTGTTTTATATAAGAATGGACAGCATTAACGACTTCACCACGTGGTCAAACGTAGCGAACTGTTTGAAAATATGGGATTTAGATCCAAGGGGTTTCCATAAACGTTTGTGGCGATTGTGGCTAAAAGACAATCATGTGTTGATTGTTGGGTGTCCTGTATCACCCTACTGTAATTACAAACCAAGCAGATTACAACCAATTCACATTCCCAAGAAAAAGAAATCTTGAAAATAGGGATTATAATATATTTGTAAGCAAGACGGAAGCTAGAGTAAATATATGCGTGCGTGGTTAATTCCTTGCCGGAAATCCACATAAAAGTGGAATAAGATGCATCTGTAATCATGGAGAAAAATTTGAACTGTTTGCGCCAGGTATGCGGAATGATAAAGAAAAAAATTCTGCTTTTCATTTTCAGCACCGGTCTCTGTAACCTATCGTTTATTTAGTGACAAAAATTCTAGACTTACTATTTTTATTCTCACAGATGACTCCCAATAAATCGCATCCGTTCGCGTTACCATAAGGGACCTTCGTGAGACCTAATTCTTAGCAATGCATCTAATGCTGTATTTGTTTACACTGTTGTTAAATAATTCTTCAATTCATGATGTACGTGACTGACTAAAATTCCCTCCACGTTTTCATGTGAGTTCAAAACAATGCGTTTTGAAGCTTTGCCTGAAAAATATGACTAATTAAAGTCATCTTGTAGTGTTTATGTTCCCTGAGCGCTAACCACTCGCTCACTACCAGTACATTGACTCTGAGAACACTTAAAAAAGAGAACACTGAAAAAACCAAAAAACTACTGCGCCGAAAACTGTCTCACAGCCATCTACAACAAAACATATTCCGCTTCGAGTATCAAAAGTTCCTCTTTGAAAACTTCACCGGTACTTTTTTACTTCTCTGCTGGAACTCAAGTTATCAAGCTGGATATCAGTAGCTTCTTCTTGCTTTTTCTTGAAGTATCTTCCACCAAAATATCCCAACACCCCTCCCCCAAGGGCTATGGCTGCTCCGGCCTTTAATCCTATGGCTAAGCCCAAAGGTCCCCCACACACCCCTCCCACCGCCGCGCCAATCAGCGGATAGGTAACTGCTTTGAGTTTGCTGGCCTGAAAAAGTAAAAAAGAAAAAAACAAAAAAACATGCTATGTTAAGTAGTGTTGAAATTATTGGCAAGTGACTGTAGAATGTAAACAGAGAGTGACATAGATCGGTAATGGAAGTTGATGTTCCATCAACAGTGGTAGGTTTATTACAATACGTCAATAGTTTTATTGTAACCTTAGAGAAAAAACCTTGTGAAATCCAGTAAAGGGAGTATATATAATCAAACCGAAAACGTAAACCGGTGTGATTGTTCGTCGCGAGATCATTTACGACAGTAGCATCCGCACAACTTATCTCTCTTTATTCCTTCCGGTACACGATATTCCTTCTTCTACACGATAGACGCACGTTAAGTCATAAAAGTTCCATACCGATGACGTAATTTTCCAATGTCCCGAGTAACCTGTGATTGGTTGTTGTTCAGATTTGACCAACGAATCAAAAAAGCAGATATCTGTGTTGGTACGTAAAACGGAACAGAATATTTCGCGTCGCACAAGTATTTAACCCTAGGTGTGCATTATGCTCCACAAGATAAAACCCTTCACATCAGAGTAACCATCTTCCTTGTTCATAGTGCTTTTCTATTTGTTTCATGTGGCTGACGTTTGATGCAGTTTCAGTGTGAGAGAGAATACGGTGCAAATATTCGAACGACAAACGCACCATTAAACGTTCAATCGTCTTGTAATTTCTATTGATTCAAAGAGGGGGTCAAATGAACCCTGTAATTTTCTATGCCACACCCTTGATGTTCACCTACCTTTCCCAACGCTCTGGTGCCTTCCTCCACATGAACTTGTGCACTCTCTATGTTGCCTTCGATGGAGTCGATTGTGTCTTGTTGCTCCTAAAGTTCACAAATGAATAATTTCAAATCACAAACCATAGCAAACGCCCAATTATTAAAACGTTGACATCTAAAAAGTGTGATCCGTGAACGACTAGACCAAACGGCTTTCAGAGAAATCATCGCACAGATACATAATCAGTGATTCTTTTTTCCCGTTTTTCATGTGAACTTTTTTTTTCTACGATAATCCTTTTCTGTCAGGAAGAGCTTCCTTTTCTTTCAGATAGCTTCCATCGTCCATAAAGCAAAATTGATGGTGGATATTACGTACACCTGACCCATGAAGCCATAGGGTCTCACCGTTTATTGTAAGCGCTTTCTACGTGTCAACGTTTTTGAAATCGAGTGTTCATTTCTTCTAAAAAAACATCTGCCACCAGAACGTCTTGTGGTATGATGTGGAGATCCATCTGCAGCAGTAAAATTTTTATAATAGAAAACTATTATAGTACTCACATGAACGATAGTTGAGAAATCATGGATGAGATCATTCAGTTCCATTAAACCCTGCAAAGTAAAAAAAAGAAGAGAATGATATACCCTTTGAAATATTTTCCTTAGCAGCCGTTTTTTGGTTTTGTCACGCAACGCGCTCTCACCTCGTTGCGTGACGAGACCAAGCAACAGCTGAAAAGGATACTACTCTTGAAATTGACTGGTCTGAAAAATTTAATAATCAGGTCAAAAGAGGTTAATTATTCACCCCCTAGATCTGAATATAAATTCTTAACACTGTTTTAGTAATTTAATAATCAGGTCAAAAGAGGTTAATTATTCACTCCCTAGATCTGAATATAAATTCTTAACACTGTTTGCCATGTATTTCTCATAATCTTGCATCAGAAGATTTAGTGTAAAATCAAATATACCCTCTGGCTGATAATTTTATATCTTCTCATCACCTTCCTGTTGGAAAATGTACTGATATTGTGAGGAGAAATTCATTTTTAATCAGTTCTGGGAAGATGATAAAAAAAAAAAACTTACGGCTCTCAGTGAGTCCCAGGATACGACTGCGTCTTTGTCTACCACAACCAAGGTCTGAAGCTTTTGAGAGTTGCCATCTGGTTCTGTGGTGGTCACTGGTGGTAATGCTAAAAGATTTTAAAAATTTACAAAAAAATAAACAAAATTGCACTCTTTTATTAACCCTTTACGACTTAACATCATTTTGCATACTCTCCATACTGTTCCCTATAAATTTCCTAAGGTGCTGAAAGGGAGAATTTGTTGAACAGTCAAGAGCTTCTTAATGTGAAATTCAAGGATGATGCTGAAGGAAAAAATTAGATGCTAGTCACTCTTCGGGGATCAAAAGGTTAATGCAGATCCATTGAGTGCTAAAGAGAATCCTCAAGGCCTAGCTCATTTTTGTGATTTAGGAACTCTTTCAGCTACATGTGATTATCCCAGTAATTTATCAAATGACGTGAAATCAAAATTCTACTACCATACCAAGGTCAGTTGGTTTATATCACCCCTTTCTACCAGAACTCGATGCCAGAAATTTCAGGTATTCATTGCTTGAAATTTTAGGTATTCTTTTGCTATCCTGATTGCACTTACAGCCAAGACAGGGCACTGGACTTGCAGGGGTCCTGCATGAAACTACGTTACGTCCCACTTTTCTTGCAAGCTCAAATCTTGCAGTCTTTGTCACTCGTGGTGGCACCCATAGGAGGGCCCAACCCACCTCATCTCCTCTATCTTAGGATTTTCAGATCACCTACACCCCTTTCAAAAACCTTTTGAGATCTCGCTATGTACTTAGTCACAACTATTAATGATAAATCCTCAGAAATAACACACAGAATAGTTCTGTTCTGGTATTTTTTAAAGAAACACTAGCTGCTCATAATATCATGATATACTTACAGGTATCTTTGTATCTGGCAAAAGGCATCCTCTTAGGTTCCTTGTCCTGTTTTTCCCGAGCATACATCTGTTGCACCTCTCTAAAAGAACTGACTCCAGCCAAGATTTCCTCCTGTAGCGGCTTGATTCGCTGGTCAAACTCAGGAATATCTGATACCTGTACCTGTTTACGTATGTTTTCCATTTCTTTCAAGTGGGATTTCAGTTGCTGTAAATTCAACACACATTAACCCTCAACATCAGTACATACATGTATATATATAGGAAGTCTGTGTACTGATTTTTTTGTGATTGCTCCCTCATCAGGGGACTTTATTTATCAAATCCCTTGATGAATGAGCAATCACGAAACAGGCTTGTAGGGATGAAAGTATAGTCTCTCTGTTTTTTCCCTTATCGCAACATGTATATATATATATATATATAGATAGAATCCCCTGAAGAGTGACTTAATCACAAAACAGGTTTGTTGAGATGAAAGCGTAGTCTCTTTGTTTTTTCCCTAATTCAATAATATCACGCTCTACTTCTACTAACTAAAACACAGACTTCCTATCTGTATATATATATATAATGAATACATATTCCTTATACTGTTCTACACACATTTCCTATAGTGCTGATAAGGAGAACTTGTTTAACAATAGAGAGCTTGAAATTAGAAAATCCTCACAGCTAAGAACACTACTGAAACGAGTAGTTGTAAGTAGGACCTGAAAAAAATTTCAGGCCCGTACGGGATTTGAACCCATGACCTCTGCGATACCGGTGCAGCGCTCTACCAATTGAGCTAACAAGCCAACTGGGAGCTGGTCAATGAATTGGGTACAAATAAACATCCAAGTGAATGAAGATTTTTTAGATATATGAAAAATTGATGATCATTTCCTTCATTCTCATGATCTTAGTGAATGATTTAGCAGTATTACTGTGAGGAGAAATTAGATGTTGGTCTCTATTGGGGTTTAAAAGGGTTAAAAAAAAAAATCAGACATGGTTAAGTGTAAATGTTTGGATACAAAACTCAAGATTTTAACTAATATACTTTTTCTAAACTAATATCAAATGATATTTCTTTTCAAGCATTGGGGTAAAAGCATAAAACTCCTTATCTCTTGTCAATCTCTATTTGTCTGCATTTAACTCTCAAGAGTGACCAAGAAAGAATTTCTCCTTACAATATCAATACAATATCGACCAGACAAGTGATGAGAATAAAGAAAAATATCAAGTTGGGGATAATTAGTTGATCCAATACTAAATTCTCTGAACTAACATCATAAGAATTGTATGGTTGACAGTAAGGAGAATTACAAACTTGGTCAGGGAGTTGAAGTGTTAACAAGAGTCTGACATAATACTTTTCCATAAGCAGAAATCCACCTTATTTTTCTTTGGTGTTCCCTAATAGAATAATTCCCATAGGTGGACAGTTCTACCAACAGACTCTTTTCTATTTTGGATGGTGTATGCTTACAAGAAACTTGACTGTAATAATATCTAAACTGGATTACACCATTTGTGCAAGAGTATCACAAGTTAAATGTATCTTTTTCCCATGCACTCCTAAAACTATTATACCTGAACTGTTCTTGCAGCATTTATTTGTTCTTTATTCAGTTCAAACCAAGCTACTGAACTGTAAAACTGCAAGACAAAAAAGTTGAGTTAAAAATTATGAACACAAGACAAATTGTTGCAAATAGATAGTTGCTATTGTGCTTCCAACCACTTCTGAACTCTTCAGAAAAATTCTTCACAAATATCTGATTAACCAAGTTGGCCATGTTTACAAGATCTCTCTCTGCCAATCCTTCTTTAAGAACCTGTCAAAAATTTTCTTTCATTTCTATATGAAAACCTCTGCCCCCAATCACTGAGATGAAACTCAGATGTTTGCCAGCATCTTCATCATCTCAGGAACTGAGTTTCATAAACAGTAACAGGCTACGATGTTGACTGACTACCAAGGCTGAAATTTCACAAACAGATGGCATTCACTGGGCTTAAAGGTTTCAAATCACTTTTTCAGGATCTTTATTTTCTATTTCTTTCCTCTACACATAATTGCAGATTGTAAAACCAAAAGATAACAGATGTCTTGCCGTTTCCATGTTTTTCTTGTGTTGCTGAAGTCTGGCAAGATCCGCTGGAAGTGCCACTTCAAATTTACGCAAAGCTGGTTCGAATCTTTTTATTGGGTGTCTGGGTAAGTTAGTAACTGTCTGGTCCACTGAAAAAAAAATGAACAAAAATACCTTCAAATTTTCAAAAACAAATGTAAGACACAAGTTGCTCTAATGATTAACAGAACAGACTTAAGATGGAGAGGTCCACAATTTAGCCTAAGCTAGATTGTTATATTTTCACTAGGCAAAGCAAAATCTGTACTCAAGCCTATTTGCCCGCCTGGATGTGATGTTAGTCCATCACAAAGTTATCCTCTAGCATTTCATCAAACTTCCCTGACAATTTGGCGGCATCCATTTATACAGTATAGTAAGCCATAGGGAGAGTAGAGTGTCTTGCCCAGGAACACAACACTAAGACCTGATCAGGTCTTGAACCCAGACCCCTTGGCCTGGAGTCCAGTGCACAGGTCATTAGGTCGTGGTGCCTCCCACGTTGTTTCTTTGGCAAAAGACTTTATTGTTACATTACTTCTCGCCAATCAAGAGTATAAATAGGTACCAGCATTGGCCAAAGTAAGGCTAGACTGGAGAAGCATCCCATTCAGAAGGTGAAAAAAAGATGCAAAAAAGAGTACTTGAGCTAAATGGGTCCGTGCTTTGTCCAACTAAATGTTGATTCTACCCTCAACCGTTAATTGGTATCCACCTGAGCTCTATGTGTGGTCGCAACTTGAAATCCTAGATCAAAACTTTAGCCTAAAATTAATGCTAACAACATCACGAGAGATATCACAAAATGCTTTGATCAATATCCCTTAACAAAATAAATTGATCATAATATAGTTTGTTATTTTACAACTTAACTCTTAAAAGCTATATTAACCTAAAAAGTCAAGTATATTTCAACGGGTGTCCTATTTAAAACTAACCTAATGCTGAAGCAACATTTATCAACGAGATAAATTGGAGAATCATGCAATTAAAGCACGATTTTTTTTTTGCACTGTGTATACTTACAGTTCAGGTCTGTTGAATCAAAATTCGCCATGACTGCTTTCAAGTTTTAGCTTTCCTTGTTACCAAATCATTTGACACATAATATGTACGGAAATACACACAACTTTGTTCAGCCAATAAACTGATAACCACGAAATTAAGTTCAAGGTTATTTACATCAACGACGTTCAAGAAACGCTCTTTCAGAAAATTTTGTTTGAGCTTTCAGCATTCTTCGATAGTGGCGGTGTCGAACAGATGTTGATAAAACACTACACGCAAAATCAGTCCTTAATAAATTAGGAATTCCCGAAAAATACGCTGCGCTTTGCTTTCCGTGTCGCTTCCGAGAAATTGTTGTAGTTACTGCTGATAAACTGCAGGCGCACGAAATGGCTTTCGGGCTATCGTAACTTCCGAACTCTTCCGGCCGATTACGACAACCAACGACAGCGAAGAAAACTCCAAGGCCGGATTGTTCGACTGGGGGATTAACTATAATCTACGATTATAAGTTAACCTTGGCTAAAATTTCTAAGAACGAGTATAAGAGCTAAGGTTTTGTCGATATTTATCGCAATGTGACTCGAAACTAACGGGAAAAAAATACAAAAGACAAGACCCTTTGCAGAGCTATAAAACTAACATGAAAATTTACTCGAACCTCGGGTGAGGTTAATCATATTTTGAAAAACCCGGTCCAGAATGGCGAAGTCCCCTAAACCTTAAAAGAAAAAAAAAATATTTTCGAAGTGGTTTAGAGGTTTCTGCTTAGGTTAGAGAAACGAGAAAAATTGGAAGTCGTGTGAAAATTTGAGACAAATTAGAGACAAATATAGGCTGTGTGCAGACGCATATATGAACCTGAACAGCGGATAATACTTACAATGGTGCAGCTTAGTGTACAAGCAATGTAAATTGAAGAATGAGATGTTTTTTAATTTTATTTTTCAAGAAGAACGTGAAAGAAACGCCAATAGTGTGTAAATAAGAGTTAAAACGTAAATATAATTTATTATATTTTAAAAAATATAATCTCAACAACGATTGACCACATCGACCTTCACAAGTTCTATCACGGGACTCGGGAAGTACTAACAGTCCTCAGGAAAAACATAAAAAAGATAACGAATTAATAAATTGATAATCTCGTGAAGCTTGCTTAGAAAATTTAAAGAAATTCAGTTATTTGAAGCAAACATTTCTAATTCGGAGTCGTTAGTCAGACGTGATTTATTTGAAAAAGCATTTCCGTTCCAACGTCCTGTGACCCAAAGAGAAAATAAACTCTGGCCGCACTGAGCGAACTGCCGAGACAGATAAATCTATTGTTTATTTTTAGTACTGATAAAGGCGGGTGAGGTCTGATTTGAAAGCGAGCTCCCTAAGTCGTTTCGAACTTGAGTACCACCAGCCGCGTGATGACTCAAACCGGAAGTCAGGAACAAAGCTAAATTATGACCAGCCGGTCCAGATTTGCAGACTCTACATAGTTCTCAGGCACATTCCGATCGTTTTCCAGTTTTAATAAATAACTACAAGTTATGCTGTAATTCTAAACACAAATATGTACTAATCCGTAAATATTACAACGAAAAAATCCGTGTCAAACCTGTCTGCACACAAAACTGTTTATACATTTAGCAAAATCATTTTGAACTAAATTACGCAACCACTGAGCATGCGTGAATCGACCGGTCAATCGTAAGCAGATTTTCGTATTTCTAGATGCAGTTTGAAAACTGTGCGTGAGTTTTTGTCGTAACTTTGTTTATTTCGTCTGTATTTTTATATGATTTTACTAGAATGAATAGGCTGAAGAGAAGTTTAAGTTTAAGGAGTTCTAAAAGGCACATACCGGAAAGTGTAAGGCCACAAATTTGGGAGAACGACAGCTACAAAGTACGGAATGGAGGCGTTAGTTTCCCAGTCAAGGTTAGAATTTATCGCGAATTTTTCATGAGATTTGCGTTGTTTCGCTTTTAAGGATTGCATGGTACTTAACGTTGTGGAAGAGAGCGTTGAAAGACGATATTCAAATCCTCAATTAATTCGAAAACTTACTGTTTTAGTATGTGGGATCGATCGAAGTTACCGAGTCCAGAGGAACACAAGTTTGTGCAGAAGCTTTCCGAAAGATGAAAGAAGTAAGCGGTTGTTTTTTGCATTGTTTCCATTTTTCACAGATACCACAAAGCTTAAACGAGGTCTTCAGCTGAAGCCCTCTTTGTCTTAATTGTTTGAAATTTAATAACGTATCCGTGAATTCGGTTTCCTTCGGTTATACTAAGCGATTCTGCCAGTTGTATCAATCTGTACTCGTTTATTTCAGGTCGGGACAGGGAAAAAGAAGCGAATGCAGTTGCTTGTCACGGCAGATTGTGTACGAGTCGTGGACGAACAAACCAAGGTAAGAGAGCCCAAGTATTTTTTAAGCTTTAAATTTTTTCGATCGCGCTGATGTAACTACGCAAGTATTCGTATGTTATGTGGCATATTTAAGAGAGGCAGCGAGTCTGTGATATTGTCCGCCTTCGGTCTTTTTTGTGCCCTCTTTTTATTTTTAAGTCTGTTCTTAGGCGGATTTTCGCTTCAACGAGGCACGATATATATATATGAGCAATACGCATTATTAAATAATCCAAGATTTCAAATGATCGCAATCGCGAGTATTTGACGCGGACTTTTTTTAACGACCTGTGCGGAAAAATCTAGACTTGAATGATAAAATTCATCAGCTAATATTAGCTGGCTGTCGGAAGTTGTTCCTGTTTTTTGATAGAAGGCGGATTTTACGGAATGCTTTCGTATTTATTGAAAATTGATGTCTTCGTATTTCTTAACTTCATCACGGATTAATTTTATCGAAAGGACCGAAGGTACTTGAAATAGACTTTCAATATGAAGATAGTCTCTGTTGGAAATGTTCATTTATTTGTTCTCGATCGCTCTTTGGGTGATATTTCACGCAAAGTGTAATTATTCCTCTGGTTTTTTTTCCTTAAATATTACCCACCTTAATACTTTCCTCTCCAATAAGTCCCAACATCGCATATTTACCTCGAAGCAGCTGAATTCAAATGAAAGAGCACCATATATTTACTATTGAAATCGTGTTTAGAAATTGTTGGATTGATTAATTCTCTTCTGAGAATTGGTAGTCGTTCAGTAGATTTTTAATTCGTGTAATTTGTGTTTTCAGTGATCATTTCAACATGCAACCCACCCAACTTGGTTTCGACATGTGCTCATCGTATGCGTGAAATACTATTACTCCAACCTTTTTTTCATCACGAATTGTGATTAAACCAATTTTCACAAAACAGACTGATATTTAAATACCTAACCATGAAATTTATTCGAGCCGGAGTCATCCAGTTTGATTTATTTCCTCGAAATTGCGAATTAACTAGCGCTTTCGAAAATTCAGCATCTTTGCTTGGAAAATCGACGCTCTGTCATACAGTTCTTACCCGAAGGAAAAAATCGTGTTTTTTCATTCCACCGGGAAGACATTGCTCCTTTTTTTTTCCTTTTTGATAGAACTGTTTGCTCTTGTGCTAAGCAATCTGGTGTCATAGGGAAAATTGTGGACTCTTTTATTTCTGTCAGAGTCGTAATGTTATTCCATTTTTATCACACCGTTTCCTCATTCTTTGTAGAATTCCTTTAAATCCAATTAAGTCACTAGGTTTTTTTTTCCTCAAGGTGCCAAAAACTGAATGGAAATACAGCACTTCTTATAGAGTTTTTATTTCTAAGATAGTACTGCTTATTTTCCCTCGCCTCACTTTAGAATACAAACACCTGGAAATGTAAACATTAACTTAAACTCTTCTCAAGGCATCACACCTAAAAATAAGCACGTCAGTTCAGTCATTTCTAACCTTCTGAAAATTTATTATATAAAGGAAATCTTCTGGATTACTTTCAAAGAATGCAATGTTGACTGCATTGGACATTTGAGCATAAGTTTCTCCTGAGAATTTATTCATAGTATATTACAACTAAATTTCAGTAATGAACCTTGTGATATAAATAATGAATTGTCTAATATTTGAAGGCCAGTGCGAGATTAAAGACAAATTAATCGGATTTGATTTAGTACTTTAATCCTGCACTTTTATTTTATTAATTTTTTTCAGTAAACTTACTCATCTGTTCAAATCATGAAATTGTTGCATAATTTTATTTTTTTTGTTGCGCGATGTTCATGCTGTTTCCTAAATATTTTTTAATGTCGGTTTAAACATAAACTATTATGAACAATAACAACCATCAGAGGAAATTATATCACAGAAGGTTTTTATTAGATTTCAAAATTAGGCTTAACTCACTTATAGTTTTTGTTAGAGATGACAACATAGGCTGGTTGTAAGGCTAGTGAAGACAAAGGTCAAGTGTAAATAGCTTCAAAGTTCATTCATGGCTCATGATTGACATTCATTCTATGACATTTGAGTTCTTCTAAATCTCCTGGAGTGTTTTCATCATTTTATGTAAACAATGACTTCTATTATTTACCAATGAGAAGTGACAATTTCTTAAATTTCTGTGACAGTTTTAAGATGCTGTATAGTATAGTAAAAACTTCTCTCATTGACGAGCCATTTTATAATGGCTTGAAAGCATTTGCGGTGAAGTTCCTCTGAGTCTTGGATGATCTGTAGTGCTGTCAAATTGTTTTACTTTATTTTATCACAACTGAAAGTGTAAGTTGTTTTTTAGGTACGTGTACAGTTGCTGATTCATCAGATTACAAAGCTGGCATGATTTTTTTACCGTAGGAGATAGCAAGACTATACATAATTGCCTTTCGAACTTAACTGTTTATTTCAGTCCCTTGTCATTGACCAGACGATTGAAAAAGTGTCATTTTGTACACCTGATCCGGGTAACGACAGAGTCTTCTCCTACATCTGCCGGGAAGGAACTACAAGGAGATGGATGTGCCACAGCTTTATAGCTTTGAGAGACACAGTAAGTTGACACAGTAACTTACCTTCAACACTGTGGTTCAAAGTTCTCCTAGTGCTAAAAATTGTAAGACCTTTGAGCTGTGATCAGAGTCCAGTCACTCAGAGACAAAGAAAAAAAGATGGATTGGTTTGAAATTTTAAGATCAAAGGGGAAAATTGAATCACTACATATCTTACATGCAGATGAAAATTAAATGATGAAATGATTCCCATTTCATTGCTCTATGCTCATTTTTTTTCAAATTCTTAATTTGGTCTCCTAAAATCAAGAAACAGTTGCTAGAGAAAATATTTTCCTGGACAAAGGAAACAGAAAGTAAAATTGAAAGAGGATACCTTTTTGCAACATCCCATGACATACCACACCACTTTTCACAGTACTTGTATTGAAGTAAACAAAATGGTGGGTAATTTTCTTTGGAGATTCAAAGGACTTTTCAAAGCTTAATACTAGAAAAACCAACACAAAGTTCTCCTCACAGTATCACCCCTGAATCACACATTAAGGTCTTTAGAATAAAGGAAATGATTGCTTACTAAAGAATCTCTTGTTAGACAAATTCTCCTTGTCAGCAAATTAGGAAATGTATAGAGAACTGTTTGGAGAATATGCATACTGATGTTAGGGTGTAAAGGGTTTGAGTGTTGTATATAATTATTTCTTCCACTTTACTGTAGACCATGAACTCTAAGAAAGATTAAAACTGGCTGCATGATCAATGAACACAATGGGCAAAATTGGTGACTTAGAAATTAGGAAGATGGACTCATGTGATCATGTTGTGATCTGAATAAGAACCTTCTTTTTGCAGTAGTTCCTTTGATCTAGCAGAGAAATAGAACAGTAGTTCCTTTGATCTAGCAGGGAAATTGAACAGGGATCAGGAAATTGTCAGGGAAACCTGAAAAAATCCTAAGAGAGGAGGAAAGAGGAGATTATCTCCTTTGGAAACAACAATCCTAGTTCCTTAATAAAACCATTGATACTGGGATAAATCCTGGTTGTATGAACTATTCAACACTGCCTGTAGAGTCATAATAAGCAAATTTTTCCTGTTTACGTGTCAGGGAGAGCGTCTTAGCCATGCAGTTGGCTGTGCATTCACAGCTTGTCTTCAGAGAAAGCAGAAGGCTCAAGCTCTACAGCAGCAACACAAGGAGGTCAGAAAGATTAACGTTCTCTTCTGTATTTTAGACGTATGAATTCTCCTTTAATTTTATACGTTATTATGATATTCCTGAGAATTTCATGGGTCCTGTGTGCAGTTCTGTGGCTAGGTTATGAGAGGCTGCTATGAAATGTTCAGAAGAGAATAAACTCTTAAAGGCTCACTTAGGTTATTTTAGACTTAGGCATTGTACCTGATCATCAGCAATTATCAGGGACTTCTTGATTTAATTTGAATCAAAAATCAAAAAAATTAATACTGCAAGTCCAGGGTGAATATGAAAGCTTCATATTCTAATGATCTTGTTTGTGAATAAAACAACAAAAACATGACTGCAATATTTACCTTCACTTTGTTTCACTTTGTTGGTCCAACAGCAACAACAACAACAGCCCCCAACCCAACAGGGTACCACTGTAGCTGCTGTAACTGGGACACCAGGTGCAGCAAGCACCATACCAGTAGTTAATGGCTCCAGTCCTCCAAATCCACCTGCACAGCAGCCATCCCCTGGACAAATGCAACCTTCTGTCCCTGTCCCATCTACTGTGCCAGCATCAACCACAGCTCCAATCGCTGCTGCAACAGTCCCATCCAGTACGACAACTCCTCCAGTTAAGAATGGTACTGTGACAACAGGAACACAGCAGTTACCATCACCAGCTGAGCCAAAGCAAAACAATGCTGGTACTCCTGTACTAAAACCTCCTCCCTCAGTTGCAAGACCACGTCCACAACCTTTTCACCCTTCACCTTTTACCCGTCACATGTCACTGAGGTACCGCTCCAATCCTCTCTCTTTCATGCCACTACGCAATGACACAAGTGGCTATGAAACATTGACAGAAGAACCAGCAGTTCCACAATTGCCTCCGACTGTTGATGCCCTTATGCTACAGAAAAATACACCCACTCCAATTTCAACATCATTTGGAACACCAGTCTCTCAAGGTCCTGCAACACAGAACAGTGCTCCAAGTCAACCGCCTTCTATGTTTAATGGGATGAATACAAACTCAACATCAACAATACAATCATCCAATGCTATACCGAACTTAAGTCAAAGGAGTAATGTCCCCAATGCAGTGCCCCCATTACAGCCATATCCTATTCAGGGGGCAACCCCCCAAGTCAATGGGTCAGGCTCATGGAATGTCTCAAACCAAGTACAGAGGCAGAAACCTCTATCAGAGGCTGAAATGTGGCTAGCATCTGCTTCAGTTGATACCGCACAGCCAGCCAAGACAGTGCAACCAAATCAGGGTTTGCTGACTACTGTAAATCCATTTGCAGAAACGTCATCCCAAATTGATGCTCTCTCAAATGCATGGACACATGATCTGCAGTCCACACTGCCTAGTGTGTCATCACAAGGGACAACTGGCTGGTCGTCATCATCTCAGTGGGGAACCAGCACCACACGTCAAACAAATGGAGAAGATGACTTTGCATCATTCTTTGCTTCAAGGCAAACCAGCCCCCCTCCACATGCACCCCTCAGTAAGAAAGATTCCAACCCATTCACACCAACTCAAGATCAAGTATTCTGGGTGTGATGAGGAAATTCATGGACAAGGTGACATTTTTAGTTCTTAGTGTTCTTAGCAGGAATTTGTACACAACTTTTTAACATGGATAATGATTGTTTGAACTTTTCATCTCTGAGAAAAAAGAAACCAAGCCAAGCCAAGCCAAGCCAAGCCAAAGTGACTGAAGTTAGTGATGGTGACTGGGATTTGTGAAACTGAGCAAAAATTACCGTAAGAGCCAAGTGACTGTCAAATCAGTTTTGAAATTGTCCATCACTGTCAAGTCTTATTCAGAACCACCTTCACGCAAGTGCAATCATGCCATCCAATCAGCTCTTAATTTCAAACAAAATACTGTACAGATGGAATGGTTATTGGAGGTTTGAATCACCTTTTGAGCAGCAATGGTGGATATTTACTTAAGAAAATTTTAACTGCATTTTCTTTTAATGAGATTTTTACATGTACCATGTAGTAGTTGCTGATTTGAGAATTTAGAAGAATGGTGTGGGAAATCAAGAGGTTCTGTAACACTCAACATAACAAGAATGTGAAAATTTAGAAGGCTCAAGAACTTCTCTGGAAGATAACACATTCTTATTTTTTTAAAGTAGTGTTATTCGTTTTCAAAAGGAATTTGGGCAAGCTGGAAATGCATGAATGATGTACGCCTAGTATCTAATATAATTATTGTTGATAGCTCATAGTGCTTTAACTTCTGTAAGTATTATGTTCCAAAATGTATAGAAACCTTTTCACATTACACACTTGGGATTTTTTTATTTCTTGCATTTCACACATGTATATCTCTTAGATTTTTTGTGAAGTGGAAATGAGGTTGCAGAGGTTCTCTTTCATCACAATATGGGTATATAAAAATTGTCATACTTATAAATATGTTAATTGTACAAAATATAGGGTTGATGTTTCTGAATTTTACACAAGTGAAGGCCATGTGAAACGACTTTACAACTGCCTTTGCACTTTATAACTCTGTTGGCCAATGATATCATCTTGGGTTTTTATTGCTTGAGCATCAGCTACTGCAAAGAGACTTTGAGCTTACTTGTCAATTATGCCCCCCAAAAATGGACAACTTAAAAAAAAATTTGTTTACCTACGTGCACTTTGTACCAACAGTTAGTACAAAATCTTTTAACAGCAAAGTTTTATTTAAAAATTAGATATCCAAGCGCATTATTTTTAAGTTGAATTTATGACATGAAAATGTGGTTTGTGGCAATTACTTGAATTATGTGTGACAAGTCTGTTTGAAGTATTTCATGTATACCAGAAATTAACTTGGGCAGAATGAAGAAGCATAACCTTGTTCCATGCTTGATTAAACATCATTAGAATTGTTTAAAATGATTCTTTTCATGATTTTAGTTTGTTAGACTTGAAGAGTTTAGGATTTTAACCTATCATTTCAGCTGAACAACTGTGTACAGGATCAAACAGACATTGCATTCTTACAAGTTACACTTTTTTTCTCTTGCTGAGTATGCTGAGAAGTATGCTGTTGAAAAATAGATCTGATTACACAAGCTTGGTTGGTATTTTCACTGCTCTGTACTTTTTTTGTCAAGATAAATTTTTTCCTGCTTTGAATGAAGTCAAGCTAGCCTGGAAGAGGTAACCTGGATTGTGTAGATTTTGTTACAAATCACATAAACACTGCAGACACACTTGCATAACAGACAAATAAATAAATAACAGAAAATAAGAGGACGTGTAAGCAGCTCCATTAGTACAGTCAGAATAGATGTTGGTTCCACAATGGCAAGATCTTGGCAAATGGAGCTGTTTTTCACGTAATTGCATTTATTTGGCCAGCCTAGTATAACATGCCAAGTCTCTCTTTTTTTAACGAGCCTCTGAGGTAAAAGAATTTAGTGGCATATTATGTTTATGTTGCAAAAAGTGAGGAAAATTCTTCTAAAACATTATGTAATTATTTGAAGTGCAATCACTAATAGTAGTTTTATTCTAATATAATTTTGTAATGTTGCCTTCCCTAATGAGCATTATGTTGCACAACTGTCAAATAGGTATTTTGCAATCAGTTATGTTATAACTGATCCTTTGTACTGGAGATTTTCCACTCAAATAATAATATAGCTGGTTGATTGTGGTGTAAATTCAAAAGCAATGTTATTTTATGTTATGAAGTCATGCTGGATGTGGTGCTTCAAATCAGAAAGTGGTTAAAAGTAAAATAGAGTAATCCCAGTGTACGTAACTGTGTAGTACTTGTGCGGATATATTTGACTTTCCCCGCCCCTACCCCGCCTCTCTTCTCTTTCCCAGGCCACCCCTCAATTCCGGGGTCATTCTTCGAGGTGATTTGATGGACGAGTGTGTACGATAAAAGAGCGTGAAATAACTTACATCTATCGCGATTCCAAAGATCTGGATCAAGGCAGTTGGCTTTAGCATACCTTACTGTCTCGACTCAGTTGAAAATATTTGAAAAATAACAAAAAATGCAAATAACAATTATAATAATGGTAAGAATGAGAGCAGTCATGATCATATTAATTAAAAAACAAACAATCCAAAAAAAACTCAACGCGCCATGTTTATAGAAAACTTGAACGAACTCGAGAAATACCATTATTTCGGCTTATGGACTGGTCAGGAAACATCGTTGAGGAATATGTCTTTTTTTCTTGATCCAAGTGCAATCTTAGTTCCACCCCATCTGCGGAACGCAGGCTCATTTCCCGAATAGGAGCAGGTCATTTAGCCGGAAAAATACCTAGCGCTTCTTTCTTCTTTTTCGGTGCCGTGCCTGCCCATATGCTCACTAAACTCAAACCCAAAATTGATTTAAACTTAAAACAAATTCCTATTTAAACGTATTTAACTGGGAATCCTAGTTACACCATACTTTGCGATCGTGGCATCATCCTGAATATTTCTTTCCATCTTCCTCGTGGTTCCCTCTGCAGTCTCTTGACAGTCTTGCCGCAATCGTAGCTTCCGGTGGGTTGGCTTAGCAACCAGTAGAAGTGGTTAGGAAGATCGATTTCCTGCATTGCAAGACGAATGCTAAATTCCTCGATTTGTTCTGTAATGGCTTGAGATGATGTGGATCTGGTGTTTTATTAGTTATGGACCACTGTTACTACGGTATTCACTGTAATATTCAAAATATTTGAGAACCCTCACATTGGCGAGGGTTGAATAATGTCAAAACACCTTATGTGGAGAAATTACAGTGGTCTCCCGTGATCGTGCACGCGACGACCAGCGTGACTGTTCATTGAAACGTTACAACTTCGTTACTATGAGCATGACCAAAGAATACCTTTAATTATCTGAGGGAGTTTCTGGAAAATTCACTGTCTATCCAGGCCGTGACAGAAGTGGACCACGCTGGCACACCAGTGCGGATCTTCCCGTTTAACATTCAGCAATGTCCCTATAATAGAAATTGCCGTGACAACGTGTTAGCAAGACTTGTGCGAGCGCGAAGATTTGAATACGAGACTCCAGAAATTTAACGTTGCTTTAACCCATCCAGGATCCACTTCGAAAAGCTTGAATTGGTTTTGCTTGGTTCCGCTGTCTGCCGTCATAGCGCTAAAAATGAGCTGAAGAAGTCAGTATGAGATTTTTTTTCAGAGCGCAACAACGGTGCCGATGATAATGAGAGCGGGCCAAAGTCTGGAAAAACAGACAAAATCGGGTATATCGTTTGTCGAAGTTGACGAAGGCTGACGGAAAATTTATCAGCAAGACACAAAAAGATCACGATATTTTGTAATGGTCGCGCTCTCAATCACCAAGTTTCTTTTTCAAAGTAAGTTTCAAAATTTTCTTCGAGAGGAATCTGGGAACGAGGGTGACCATTTGGATGTGAGCTTACATTTCCAGGGAAGAGTGACCACAACTAACGCGCATGAACAAGATGTATTTTTTTTTTGCAAGGAAACACACGGTCAGAGGGTCTTGGACATAAGTAGACTATTGTCCGTAAGCAGTTAGAAACAGGTCACATCGGCTCTTGACCAATGAATGGGAAGGAAAAAACGCATCGGATGATTGAGACTGCTTCCCAACGACATCATTAGTTAATTTGAATTGTACTGCCAATTCCCGCTATCTACTACAGAAAGAGTTGAGCTACAACACTGTGAGCAGTAAAAAGTTCGCCACATTTGAAAAAATAACATTTATTTATCCCCTATCAATCTGACAGTATTCCTTTAGTTATAAAACTATGATATTTAATTATGAAAACTATAAAGATTTAATTAAAAATGAGATTTCATATCTTTGCAATCTGCGTCCGTGAACTGCGCATTAAGAGCTTCTAACATAGATCTCAGAGTTGGGAAAACTTCTCTCACAAGAGGGAGGGATGTCACTGGTTTGGAAAATCTACGATTTAAAAAAAGTCGTTGACGTTAGATTCCATAAAATACGAACTGTGGGTCTCTAGTTGGGTAACTTAAGCAAATTTCAGTTTAACATCGACATGATTGGTCTAAAAACCATGCGTGGTCTTCAAAACCAATCAGATACAAAACTAAAACCCATCGCGAGTCGTGACCCGCGTTTTCCCGCGCTTCACGTCAGCGACGTCGAGGTCTGATCGGCTCCTCGCCATGAAGACCTTTGTTTTGATTGGCCGTGTCAATTTCTTAGGTTTTAGCTTTACAACACTCGATCAAAGGGCGTTCCTTACTTCAGATATCAAAAATCATATATCAGTCAAACTTACCAAAACCTGTCCGCTGGACAAACTGAAAAACTGACAAAATCTAAAGAGGGTTTCTAGCCGATAAACAAGGATGCCATCCACGCAGAAGAGCAGAACTACAAGTCGCTTCATGCTTCAGAGACCCGGATCAGTTCCGGCAGGATGTGCGACTCGGTACATGGCCTGACTTTTCCATCATTTTCCCCTAAGATTTGTCAAAGTCTATTCGTTGTGAAATCAACGTAAAAATTTTGTATTCCTTACTTTTTGAGCCCCATCCATCCCTTTACATTTTTAGTGAAATTCTCCACTGATCCTCCAATCATGGCCTCTAAATCCACCTCCTACAGACAATAAATAAATACATAAATAAACAAATAAATAAATTGATAAAGAAAATTTAATAAACAAACATAAATCATTTGAATTTTTACTAATTGGGTTAGGAAGAGGGAGGGGGAAGGCAGAAAGATTTCCAGACATCAATCCTATTTTTATTCTTGAAGACAAAGGCAAAATGAATTAAAAACATTCTAGGATATCAATTTTGGTGTATGTCATCCATATCAAAACGAAATCGTACGCGGATGGTTTTTGTCTTTGGGAAAACAGTCATAAACATGTTATATTGCATAACGGAAGAATAAACTACCTTGAGCCAATGGCCCATGCCTGACCAGGAGTAATACTACTTCCCCCTCGGTGGGATCTTAGTCCATTGCAGCGTTACCCCCCACCCACCCCCCCCCCCCATCCAACATTGCGTGCGGTTTCTCTTACAATTCGCCAGTACCCACTTATACACCTGGATGGAGAGAGGCACTGTGAGTGAGAGGACCAAACACAATCACTTCTCTGGTGATAGAGCCTGATCTTTCCGTCCGGCTGGGATTCTAACGTACTGACCATTAGCCCACAGCAACTCCTAAAGCACACTGAGAAACAGTGCCTTCTTCAACGTGGTATTTTACCTTTCCTGGAGGGATTTTTCCCGTTGTTTCCCGACCAACAGCGAGGAAAAGGCCCAGTGCCACTGTATAAGCCACAGCACTACAGAGAATTTATAAGACGATAAAATTGATAAAAAATAATATCATTCCTCATATGTTCAATTGGATAATACTGATCATGGTTTTAAAAAGCAAACGCTGTTATGTGCAGCTGCGCTACCCTTTGAGAAAGGATACAATGAACGGAAACTGTTAGAAACTTTAAGTTACACTAAACGAGAAAAGACTTCCACTGCCACACGGTTGGGTGTGGAAGTTTGGGTCGAGAAGCTGTAAGCATGTCTCTTCCCTGTCAGGCAAGATAAAGAGTTTTAAAACACCTTGCTAGATTAACAGCCAGTGTATCTAACAAACGCTGACTCTAAGTAGTCAATTGAGGAAAGATCTTTTAAAATTACCTTGATCCTCGTGAAAGAGGCATTAAATTGAAAAAGTAATACACCAGGGAGAGGATGTTATTGCCAATGATATCTACATCCTGCAAGATAAAAAAAAAACAGAACGCTTAAGAGAATGCGTGGAAACTAACTCCACTCACGCTTCTTGTAAAACCAAAACCCATACAAGAAAACCTCAGCCAATCAGAAAAGAGGTTGTCTTCGAAAGAACCAATGAAAACCTCAGATACAGTAACATTATGGCGGGAAAACGCCAATGACCACGTCGCAATTGGTTTTAGTTTTCCATCTGATTGGTTGAGAGGTTGACGCATATTTTCTTGATTAATCCCAGAGCACAATGAGAGAAAATCAATGCCATCACGGATTACCTTTAACATTCAATGGGAAATTGCTCTTTGAAAAATTGAACCGACTGCAATTAAATGCGAACAAAGGTTGGCATATTAAGTCAGAAAATATTACCTTGTTGCCAGGTTTTCTAATTTCATCGTTCAGTTTTTCCCAAATATATTCCAGCTCCGAATGATAAGATGCAGTTCTCGCCGGTGTAGTAGGAGTGTCCATTGAAAACAAAATGTTTGAGCCGCTGGAAAGAGACCATTTAACGATCATTACTAGTAAGAAAGAAAGAAACTTCGACAATTCAATTAATTTCAAAGTAATGTAACACGACACTTGCACAAAATGTTCGATGAGGACTACCTGACGACTTAAGTCTGAAACAACATTTGTTACAAAAAAACAAAATGCAAGTTTTTTAAGAAATCACGACAAAGTCTTTGTCCAAAACAAGACACTTCCATAACAAAACCAACCATAAATTGGCTTTCAATTTTTTCCCTGCCTTTAGTGCAACTGTTGATTTCTTTCTACAATTTTCTTGGTTCGAAAACCTCGGGGAGCCTTAGCGAAATGATGAGCAGTAATTTACCTCTCAGAGAGACTTAAATTCAATCCTTCTAAGCTCTTTTTTCCTCCTCCTTTTGAACTTGTCACGTGAGTCGATAAAATCATACCGGGCTGCGGGTTTCTTGAATCGTGTTGCTGAAAGTGAATCGAAAAACCAATCCAAGTTTAGATTACAAGGTAGACTAACGGTCTGCGCACTTAATTCTGGGTCAGATGATCCAGGTATAAGTCCTTTCCGTGTCACTGTATTGTATTCTTGGGCAAACTATACTCTTGCAGTGCTTTACAGTTACCGGAAGTGTAAGTGAGTACCAGTGAAGTGCTGCAGTAACAAGAGGGGGGGGGGGGGGAGAGGGTGGGAGAGAGGTCTCAAAGTTAAGGAAGACAGAATAACATCAGCAAAAAACATAATACAAAAAAATTAATTGAAGGACAATCAATCAGTATTTTTTAGCAAACAGCTGAATTACTCTCAGTATGAACTTTATTACGACGAGACAGTAAATTTTATCTGCGTAATGAAAATATTCACTAAAGATAGTCTCACCTTCAGAACCTGTATAAGCTCACGACACGTTTTCGCCTTCTCGATTTTCCTCTTAAAATCCTTTTTATTAAACTCATCCACTCTAAAAAATGAAGAGATCTCATTTCTTAGAATCACTTTTGGCGCAACATCTATAAATGGTCGATACACTGACTCAGAGCAATACAAGGATGAAACAATCCGTTAAGAAAAACCGGTGGGATTCGGCCAAGAACCCCTGGGGTTTACGTCAGTTCGCATGGCTGACCACCCAGTGAACAATTTTAACACCTTTGATGTAAATCGCTAAAAGGTAACTCACAAATGTTTAAGATCAAAAGATATACTAAACCTACCTGTACAAATGCTGTAACATTGTTTTTGTAAACTGGAAAATCTTGTCAAAGTAGTCTGAGTACCTCACGCTTTTCAACTGTCCCCTAATAAAATATAAAGTACGTCTATTAAATATTCGAGAGTTTGTTGCTTGAAAGCGTAGAACAAGGTGAAGTGAATCGCGTCCCGGCATCCACAATTTCCCTTTCTTTTGACGCTACTTACATGTATTTCCTCTCAGTTCTTATTCCCTCCAAGAAATATTTACGGTAACCCCTGTTCTCATTTGTCCTTCTCATTGTTGCAACACTCAATTGAAACTGGAGCGTGCTTTATTCACTTGGCGTCGAAAAATACATTTGAAGACGAGGAAATTCAAGGAAAAAAAAAATAAAAATAAATCATCTACTATAATATCGGTTCTAAAACAAAAGCCTTCCATCTTACCTTAACAGGTTCATCCGGAAATTAAAACCTGTTTTGACACTTTTCTCCGGCATAAGGTCCAACCAGAAAACAGGTTGCTCTGCATCAGAAAGTCTGAGAGAGGACAAATCACGCGCGAGTTACAGGAAAATTATGGGGGAAGGGGTGAGTAGGGAAGGGTGCTACTCGCGAGATGGGGTGGGAAGGCGGAGAAGGTAGGGTAAGGATTGGGAGGGGGGAATGGAGATATAAGATTAAAGGTGTGTTAGAATTAGGCTTGCCGTGTTCCCCAGAATAACTTCATTTATTTTATAGCCGTAGATTTTGCGGAACGTTTTGGTAGCGTTGCTTTTTTATTGCATTTTACACTGGCTGGCTACCTCACCTGTTAGAGTTCTTCCCGGTCACATAAGCACAAAGAGACTGGGAATCCCCTCCCCCCTCCTGAACGGGAGGCCAGTCCGTAGCAGGTTACCCTTCAGTACCCAGGTCCTCCTATAGTTAATTGGCACCTATTCATACTCCTGCGAGGCAAAAGACATTGTGGGAGCAAAGTGCCTCGCTCAAGGACACAACACAGTGACCCGGCTCACGCTGGAACTCGACCTTCCGATTCTGAATCAAGTGCATTAACTACTTTGTAGCCAGTTCAAAAAAAAAACAAAAAAAGAGACAATGACCCAGCCAGGGTTTGAACTGAAATGCAGAGCAAAGTTCTTATTCATGTGTTTCTCCTACCTTCTCCATTTAACAACCACATTAAACATGTCCCTCCAGGAGGCTTTCTTGTGATTGGTTTTCGATGACCGGCCAGCTCTCCAGTACTTATTCGCCACTTGAGCTACATCCAACATGGCCAGACCCATAGCGCGATGATGTCTGATGCTTGGTAAGAATCCATTGGAATTGTACTGGACTAGAGGACCAAGAACAGATGACTTGCACAACAAGAGCTATACAGACAGTCAGTCAACGAAATAAGTGATGTTTCTCAATGTTTATCTGCATAATATTACATCGCATGTTTCCGAGAAAACACATAGGTCAAAATTCAAAGCAGATATAAAGCTGCCCTTCACCTGTGCCTCTGGACTGAAATCGCCAAACGAAACATTCTCAACCTCTCTGTTTATGAAAAAACAAAATCAAAGATAAACACATTAGGCAAAAGAAGGAAACTAAAATTGAAGAATAGCAGGTAATTTAGTGTTAACAACTGAGTTGAAAACGTAAATTGGCCACCGTAAAGAGTAAAAAAGCTGACGTTTCGAGCGTTAGCCCTTCATCAGAGCGATGGACAAAGGCTAACGCTCGAAACGTCAGCTTTTTTACTCTTTACGGAGGCTAACTTATGTTTTCAACTCAGTTGTTAACACTAAATTTCCTGCTATACTCTCCCACCGACGCAGCACCAGTTTCTTTAGAAACTTACACCCTTTATAAAATTGAAGAAGACTCAAAAACGAGTACCACAGAAAACTCAACAACAAAGAACAAAGGAAAGGTCATTACATTCTCCATACAACTTGTCCATTCTCAGAACGTCTGGTCCTTAACAAACTCAGTAAATTCATTTTGATTTACTAACCGTGTATGCGGCTGTATTCCTGGCTGTTCACTGTAATTCTGCAACACAACAAACGATGGTCAAATTTCAACGTAAAAGCAGAATTGTTTTACTCATAAAAATTCTGCAATTGAAAGATCAAATGAAATGTCGATTTTTTTTTTACCCGCAATGAGCTAAAACAAAGAAAAGAAGTGTTTAAAGGAGGACAGCTTTCGATACGATTAAAAAATACTCGCGCGTTAGATTTCATGCGTGGCCCGCGGGAGAGACAACACGCGCGCAAAAATAGAATGCGTTTCTACCATGCGCGCGTTCTTCCACGGAGACAGCTGGTCTTACAACTCGTGCCCTCGCCTCAGAAAGAAAAGAGTCCAAACTGACTGTTCTTTATCATAAAATACCTTGGCATTGAAAGGCAAGCCTTTGACCCACAAATCTCTTAATCTTCCATCAAGATCTGTGCCCGGTGAGTATTCCGACAATGGAGTGTCCAAGTGTGAGTGAAGATAACGTGAATATTCTGCCGATAATAAAATAGCAATGAAAGCTAGTTATGGACTCTTACTAAATGGAAAAGTTAGGAAGAGTGGCTGATAAGAGCCAAACAGTTGAGAAATGACACCAGTGATCCAAAAGCGCGGGAAATGTGTAGCCGCCGAAAAGTGCGAGATACTGGATACCAATGAAAAGCGCGGGAAAACAAGCAGTTGGCGACAGGCGCGGTATACTTGATACCGATGAAAAGCGCGGGAAAACAAGTAGTTGGCGACTGGCGCGGTATACTTGATACCGATGAAAAGCGCGCGAAAACAAGTAGTTGGCGGGAGGCGCGGTATACTTGATACCGATGAAAAGCGCGGGAAAACAAGTAGTTGGCGACAAGCGCGGTATACTTGATACCGATGAAAAGCGCGGGAAAACCTAAAAAAGAGTGAAAAGCGCAGGAAAATACACGCATTCAAGTAACGCTACCTGTCGCTTTAAGGAATTGTGATTGGTCGAAAAACTTGTCTTTTCCGATTGGTTAATTTAGCACCACTTTGATCTTGCTTTAGTTCTTAACCAATCAAAAGTACTTAAACAGAATATTATTGTTTAGTCGGTATTCTTTACTGCTTCGCCATTTTCATGTCACCACAATAACAAAAAAGAAAGGAAAAGAAATTCCTCCAGCCCACGTAAAAATACCGTTAATGTAATGATACATCATGTCCTCATGTTATGACAAAATGATCAATGTTTACCTTTGAGATAATAACTTTTTATCACATCCACATTTTGCAAGGGAGATGAGCTTGCCTCGTCTAGCAGGATCTGCAAATTGAAAAAAAAAAACTTCTTATAAAGACAAGACTCAATTTATTACCTTAACACTGATGTCGTCTTTCTCTTATTCATGTTCCATAAAGAAAGATTATTCATAAATCAACAATTTTCTTAGTTTATTGAGCTACCTTGGTTCTCCGATGTTTGGGAATTTGAGTGGTTCCGAAATCGTTATCAAAGCCAAACGTTGAAGTTAATTTTCAAATGCTTTTATTAACACATTATTTTTAACGGTGTTGGATTCTAGCTTGTTTTTTATAAAAGGATTTTTGCAACTATTACTTCACCATTTCAAACAACTTTCTGAGAAATTGGATGACTTAAGAGTTAATCGCATCGCATATTCCTATTGCAATTTTTATCACAGACCTGGGTGCTTGATTTTACACTCTCGAAAAAGTTTCCCAGCGCAGCATGACTGACTCCCTTCCAATACTTGCAAGAGATACTGCCCGGGTTATATTTCAGACATGCCTGCAAGGAAAACGTCAATGGCAACACCAAATTAGTCAGGAACGAAGTTAAAAAGGACTGCGCAACATCGCACCGACAAAGTAGGCGAAATAAAACCTGTAGAGGACTTGACAAGCACACTTGGCAAGGATTGAAGGGAAATTTTAAATGGCAGCAAAATATGATGTATTGTGAACTTTTTTTATTTAACAAAAATGCGCTGAACATGGATAACTTGACATTGTGAAAGTAAGTTTACTAGCTGACAGCTTTATCACTTAAAATTAAATTATTTTAAAGCGTCTCTCATTATCAACATCGTTCTATTCATTCACCTACTTTTCGTAAAAATTACATCACATACCTTCAAATCTGATACTGCCTTGTCGGGCCTTCCACGCATATAATTTAGGATTCCCCTGGAGTGATAGTTCTGAAAGAGAAGCACATTTTGTCAATAGAGTGACACATACACGCTACTTAAAAGAAGACAGCTCATAATCAAAAGAGTATGATGGATTGGGATAACATTGAAGAAAGAAATGAAAGATAAGCCGAGGCAAGAACGAAGGATGGGAAGGAATGGAATGGATCGGAATGGTACGGGTTGGGCGGAATAGATGTGGATGATACGTTAAAAATCAGAGAAAGAGGCCAGAGTCAGATTGATTGAATAAAGAGTTGTGATATAAAGACAAGTCAACTCTTTTTTTTTTTCCTCTTAACAACATGATCAGTTTGCTGCATGATGCATTTGTCTGGTCCTGTCTTGTCTTTGTTTATGGCTGCCTTTCCCTACCACAACTGTGACAACAACAACAACAACAACAACAAAAACAAAACCATCAAACCTGTGCAACAGTTGGCTCTATTTTGATGGCTGATGTGAAATGTTCATGAGAAAGTTCTGGCTCTCCTACTTCCCTACAACATGCATTAATACAGATTCCAGAATTAACTAATAATCAAAATAAAACATAAAATCTATACATTAAAATATAGTACCTTTACATAAAAATTTTACTTAATTTCCTCTTTTGAAAGTTATTGGCAAATGTTTGTCACTACACTGTCATTAATTTTCCTTCTATCTAGTAACTATTTATTGATGACAATTGTCTATCTTTCAGTTTTTTAGACTGTCTGTCTGTCTGTCGGCCTGTCCGTTGGTCTGTCTGTTGGTCTATCTGTTGGTCTGTCTGTTGGTCTATCTGTTGGTCTGTCTTTCTGTCAACTGACCAAGTCTATTTATTTGTTTGTCTCAGAGTTTATGAATGCCAGTCTTTTTATCGGTCTGTTATGAACATCTTTTATCCATGGTATACCTGTAGGCATGACCCAGACTGCGATGACACTCTGCCTGATTCGTATTTGTTTGCAGAACCACTTTAAAGATTTCAATGGACTCCTGAAAAGAAAGAACACTGATTTTCACGATGGACAAGATGGGAGAATTTCAGTCATATATACAAAAAGGGAGGAAAAACTCTCACTAACATCATAACTTATGCATTCATGACCGACATACTGCACCATAATTGATCTTTGGTTTACCTTCACTCTCCCCCTGTGGTATAATGATAAACCTTTATATAACATAGCTGTAGGCTGGTTCTTCTCAATCTCTAAACATTTTTCAAAACTCTTAGATGCTGCCTCATAATCCTAAACAAAACCAAACATTCAATGATTAATTTTAACACAACCATCTAATATTGTCCTTCAATAGAATTTTGAAACAATGTAATGACATGGTGAGGGTTTAACCCTTAAACTCACACGATCTGATTGTTAATTCTCCCCACTAGCTGCTACACATTTGCTCATAAATTTGTTACATGATTTCGGTGTTAGATGAAGATTATAGCAACTTCTAACTGACAAGTCTGAATATTCTCATTACCTGTTTACTGAATAATGTATGGACATTATAGGGAGAAGTTGTATGTTCATCACTTCTGGGAGTTATAAGGTTAAGCTTAAAATACATTCCCAACCTTTTGCCAGTCCACAGCATCATCATTGACAACAATTGCTACCAACTGATGCTACTTGCAGCATGAGACCTCCCTACGAAGTGGGTTTTCCTTTTTTAACCTTTTGACCCCTGAGAGTGACCAGAATCTAATTTCTCCTCACAGTATCTCCCTGAATCAAACATTAGGGTCACAAGAATAAAGGAAATGATCACCAACTTATTAAACTCTTGATTTCTTAAACAAATTCTCCTTGTCAGCACCTTAGAAAACATATGGAGAACAGTATGGAGAATATTTATACTGATGTTAGGGTGTGAAGGGTTATGGGGGCAACTGCCTTTCAAGACAGGATTCTTCCCCCCAACCTTTATCTCACCTCCTGCATAAACAGCAGTGTACCACTCATAATGTACAACTGAGAACTTGGCCTCAGATCCAAGGCAACTTTAATGTCAGCTATGGCTCCTTTGATATTTCCCAGAGGAGAGAACACCTGAAGAAAACAGAGAAACAAGAAATACATCATAAGTCAGACAAAAGATACATTAAAAAAAAAATTATGGATCTAAAACTGTCATGAATAGCTGTCTGACAGGGGAGAGGGGGGGAATATTTTACATGTTTACCTCTGCTCTCTTGATCCAACCATCAGGATTGTCTGGGCTAAGCCTGATAATTGTTGAAAAATCTTGAATTGCTGCCTCAGCATTTTCCTTGTGCTGGAAAGAAATTATAACTTTTTTGATACAAAATAGAATTAATTTCTTGGAATCAAACAAAGATGTACAGAGCTGGGGTTATAGTAAAGCACAAGTAAATACAAGATACATTAACAAAGAACTTACTTGTAGACCCTTCTGTACATAGGCTGTGCCACGCCCAAAATAAGCTGCTGTGACCCAGGGGTGTTCCTGTAAGGTAAAGTAATCATCTACAGTTCAGCCAAAATATTTCATGAATGAACAAGCCAAAAAATTTTATTGCATTTTAACTTTACATTTTCATGAGCCCTCAAATGCCATGCATCATGTAATTTGCTGCAAGTTTTAGACCAACTATAACATTTGCTGTTACTAAAACAAAAATTAAAAGTACTATGTGGCAAATAAGCCAATTTTCATCTGGAGATCTTCCAATGGATCCTTACTCCAATTCTAAGTGTGACGTCAGATCCTTTCCTGTCCATGCTCAAACACTTAAGAGCAACCTCCTTGATTATTTGAGATTTGCAGTAAACCTGACCACATTTAAGCCTGATTAAGACTTGTTTATGATTATTGCTATTACCTTCACTAGTATTATAAATCAAACATTATCATTTATTAAACAGTATTATTGGTATATACAACCTGCAGATAGAAAATACTCATTAGAGAAATGCTACCTTAATTATGTCAGTAAACTGTCCAATAGCCTGATCCAAATTTCCTGTGTTCATCAGCAGCATAGCGTAACCTGAAATGTAAATGCTCAAATCAACTTTGGGACCATAAAGCAATACAGTGCTCTTAGAACATCTGAGAGATTAGATAAACAAATAAATAGCATTACTTTTCATAAAAGAAAAAACAATTTTCAAATAGAGATATTAGTGATACGCCAAAATTTTTCACCTTTGTGAGTAAACCTACTATTTGTTTCAGATCAATCATTGTGTCATCATGGTAAAAAGGTTTATAAATATGATGGCTTCACTTTTTGAAAATGTCTTTTTTCCTCAAAATTCACCACCATTTCTAATGTTCAATTAAATCTTTCTTTAAGAGGAAACATTTAAAAGAATGACATATTTTTATTATCATTTTTTTCAGAGATGGAAGCAGCTTTTCTGAGAGCTAAGTTTATATGCAGATGATCTCTGCATTTAGTATTCATTTTCATAACTTACCAACTCTTTTATCAATTTCATTATTTCCAGTCAAAATAATTTTCTGTTGTGCATCATTTGCAATCACAAGATGCAGACTCTGAAAAAGATTGAGTACATGAAATAAAATTCTTGTATTGAAAACGGACTATCAATTTTTTTGTGGTAATTTTTTTCCTTCATAATAAATATAATTATTACAGTTATAAGCCCAGAAGGGGGGGGGAGGGGGGGTGAGACTTCAGACTTTGGGGCATATTTTTGCTGAACCAAAGGATCCTGTCACAAAAGAACAATGAACCATTACTTGCAATGACTGTGACAACGAATACATCAGACAGACCAAACGTCAGTTTGGTACACATTTGAAAGAGCATCAAAAAGCGGTTTTCTTTTGCAAAAAAGAAAATTCAGCTTTATTGGAGCACACATGCCTAACTAACTACACAATTGGGTGGGATAAGTCTAAAATTATCACCACCAATTGGCGTTACCACCAGCGCCTTTGTTTGGAAGCTTGGCATATTAACTCTACCCACACTCCTTAAAATCGTGATGATGGTGGCTTACTTCCTGACGCCTATTTACACCTTGTCAGAAAAAAAGCAGCTAATTAGTGATCATATAAAAGGACCTCTTGTTGCAGTGTTTAGATCACCCCTGATGAAGGCACTAGACAGGAGTGTGGAAACGTTGAGTCTATGAATTGTAACTTCTTCGGTTACATTCATTAAATCTGTAAACCAGAGTAGCATCAAATCATGTTCTGTGAACATATAACAAACAATACAGCAGCACACCCCCAGCACCCCTCCCCTAGATCCACCCCTGAAGAGATAAGCAATCTTCTAACTCCCAACATCTGATTTTATATTTATTGAGTGAGAACTAATAATTAGACTGGAACACACAGGAAAAAAAGAATACAAAAAGAATACAAAATCTTTCATTAGGACTCAGGGCAATTGTCTAATGCAGAGCCAAAGCACTAAAATACAAGGAAATCTGTTGACAAGAACTAACATTCTGATTTCACTGTTGGGAACATTGTAAAATCAGAACATTTCCGAATCACACTTGAACCTTGTTCCTGGTGTGAGTCTTGGGTGTTAACCTTGCAAATGATAATGAGGAATTGAGTTCATTCACATGCAAATTAACCAGTCTCATTTTCATAAACATTGTGGTACATCTAACTTCCTGTTGTTGAAAAACAAGTGACACAGAAATAGGTTTAATCAACAAAATTGGAGCCCCAGGGTCCTTTTAAGTTAAAGAAAGGAAATCCAGCCAAACAATGCCGCAGACATATATAAGTGAAAGAGACCTTGTTGAGATAATGCAAACCGCAAACACTATTATATACAATCAGCAGGATATGTTCGACAAATATAACCATGCAGAAAAGACTTCCTGTTATGTGAATTCAAATTGATTTCATGCCCACCAGATGCATAAATAAAATTAAAAAATAGAAATATGTCATTCATTCTGTTAAGGTGTCTGAACTGCACATTTATCATTCCATGATTGTTTGTGTCTTATCTTGTGTTAAGTTTAAAAAATGATTGTTGCATGATAATTACCTTGTCGCGCTCTGGCGTATGAATAATGAAGTGTTTTTTGGTGTTTTTAGCTGGTTTTACACAAGGACTGCTTAGGAGTACTGCTCCATTATCGCACTTGTTTGGCTTAACTTTGGTGTTACCAGCTGCAGGTCTCTGTTTACATCCATGGCCTATGTAAAAAACCAATCATATGTTTAGAAGCTTACATAGCATATAAAAATAAATATAATATGCGCACTGGATTTTTAAATTCAATGTTAATTAGTTGCAAGAGGTAATTATCTTCGGTCTATGAATCCACACATGAAATGTATAAAAGTGATGTTTTAAAACATCATTAGCCTTTGGTTGTTTAGGTTGAGGGAAAATGATGGAGCTTGAAAATTTAATCGAATCTCTAATGAAGACTATTGAAATAAAAAATTATGTTATCTAAAGAATGCTTCAATATGCATCACTCTGAAATGGCAGAAAATAAATTTTTGACACGTTTCAAATGCAAATTCTGGTTAAAGTTCATAAGAGCATTAAATCATAATTGGTAAACTGTTGCAACTAGCTTTGAACAAGGATCATTTATGCTTTATTCCACGGCTTAAAGAAAAGTTATCATTCCCAGTTTTTTCTGTCATGTTCATTTATGAGAACCTCTCATTCATTAATTCATTTCTACATTTAATTTACAGCTTGGATGGTAAAATGTCATTGACTGGAGTTTAAACCAGTTTGCTTAATGGTACTTCTAGGAAATATGTCAAATGCCTTCTGTTGGTTTAAATGGTAAGCTAAACTACAATTAGCTTGAAGACAGGATCAAAGATCATTAAAGATAGCAGTAGAGATCAAAACAGATTACAAATTATGAAGATAAATACTTTAGGACCAATTTTTCAAGGTGCAAAAAATGTAACAAACTTTGGATTGCATAGTGTCATTGGTTGGAGTAAAAATTTGTTGTTGATGTTCTTAGGAAAAAGCACTGAGCATCTTCTGTTGGTTTAAATGATATGCTAAGGTACAATTAGCTTAAAGGCAGGATCAAAAATCACAAAGCATAACAGAGAAGATCAAAACATGTTACAGAAAATAAAAATGTGACATGGTCTTTTAACTTTTAAGTGCACCAAGCCAAAACCAAAAGATGCCAAGACATTCAGTTTTCTTAACTTTTTCTGTTTTGAATATCAGTTCTTGTCCCTAAAATCGACAATAAGTGCTTTGTAAAGTGAATTTGTAAATGAGCTGTTAATAAACCGCTTTCATTTCAAGCATATGGTAAGATTTAGAGACCAATTAGACAAATTATGCTGTATATCTGACAAAAGCTTGTGATCTCTCTTTGGATGATTATTAAAAATAAAAATTCCCAGTTTCCTTCAATGAAATATCTCCACGATGTACCTTCTAAAATTATAGCATCTGTAATGTAACCACCCGTGACGAACCCTTGAATTTTAAAACTTACCGCAATTGACGGAAAAGAAATAGACGAAGAAAAAGATAAACAATAAATTTAGTTTAAAATATTGCTTTTGGAATAACAGTATTTATAGCGAAAGGAATGCGGAAGAAGCACTCCTTAGCAATCGATTTGATTGTTTTTTAATAGCATTTTGATGGGTAATAACCTGTCTTAATGCGCGCACATGACAAATTATTGTTTGTTGATTCATTGAATTCACGTCGCTTATGATAATTTAAATTGCGCGCAAATAAAGATAAAAGCATCTGCGTCGAAAACAAACAGAGTGAAAAATATTTGCGTATTTGTTAAGTTATTCGAAAGTTTAATAGAAGTGGATCAAAAATAATTGTTGCTTAGATACTTCTCTGCTTGTGAAGAAATGTCCATGTAAGCCCATAGGGGAAGGTTTAAAGTGCGCTATGACAAGTATCTCACAATTTCATCCACTTGTTCAGTTTTCAAGCCAAAGTCTCATAAAAAGTCTCCTAAACCACGCCATCTTAAACATTTTAGCTCGCGTACAAACCTTGATAAGGCGTTGGAGCTTGAGATTTCTTTCCGTGCTCTTTTACTTTCTCATCACGCTCTTCTCGTGCGCCGTGACCATCTGGCGTGTAGTTAGCGAGTCCACACTGCGAGATCCCACCTTCACCAAAATTCACATGAACAACTTGCGAGCCTGACACACAAACACGGTTGGCTTCTCCGACATTTTCTTTGATTGCAAAGGTGTTAAAGAAGCAAAGGAATATAACAATCAAACGTGACTCTAAAAAGAAGCGCCACGCAGCCATGTTTACGTTTGTACGCAGCCCCAGACCTCCTCTGGCTTGAGACATTTCATGATCTGTTACACAAATGATGTACGCTCAGTCTTAATGTTTCCTTGCCATCTCTTTGAGTTCAGTGTCGTTAATGATTGGAAATTGTATTTTATCGTCTAAACGGGGCCTAATATCGGGAATTTGATTATATTATAACATTCATGGATGTCTTTTCGCCTAAGAGGGTAAGTAAAAGGCCTTTTACAATATGTGTTTGTACGAATAATACTTCAGTTGAGTCCAATCTTTCTGTCACTTGACAACGAACACAAATAATGTTGAATTATTAGTTTTCTTTCTTTGACACACTAATTTTTATCCGTAGATATTCATTGCAGACTGTCAGACTGTCCTTTTAAAAAATAAAACTAACAAAAAGATGTCCTATGATGAGATTTAGTAACAGATATCGTAAGATATTTTAACAATCGCTATCATTTCTGAAATTGAATTTTTTTAAAATATTTTCAACTGATGTGAAATTTTGAGCGATCTTTGCCGTAAGTTGTTATTTACTCAAATTCCTCTTACAGAAGTTGAGAATGGTAATGTGGACATATTCTAAATGTTTAAAAATGATTTCTTAATTGAATTACAAAAACTTTGTAGTTCGGGAAGAGGCATTTTGAAGCAATTAATTAAAGGGCCAAAATATTTTTAGCTGAAAAATACTTGACAATTAGGCTTATTCCGTGCCATGACATTTTAAAAGGCATGTTTGAATTCCTGCATAAATGGAGATGTTAATAACATTAGCAGAAATCAAATTGTAGTTTGACTGGTTCAGGTTACTAACTATCAATTAATGGTTTAAAATGCTTTGTCCAAATAAAATGACAGTTATTTAGAGACATGACAGCTAAAATGGCATGTTTTACTTCCTTTGTGGATGGAGAGATATACCATTTGCATAAATCAAAGTTTGGTTTGATACATTTACCACAGTACTTTTGACTCATTTTTAAATGGACTTAAGGATTTGGCCAGTAGAGATTGCTGAACTAGAAAGGTCTGCCTGCATTAGTACCATACTTCAATTATTGTGAATTAAGATTTATTATCCTCAATGACAAAGGATAAAAAGTGAAATATTCTTAATGATACTTTTTTCTGCAAGCTCAGAATGATTTTGGACAGTTCATATAAATTGCAGTTCTCATTTTTAGCTAAGAAACACAAGAATTTGTCAGGCTTAACTAAAGGGGTAGCTAAATTAGGAGGTATTTTTCTCTTAGCAGGAAAATCCTACCATATCTGGTGTGTAATAAACGCATTCAGGTGGTATCAGAAAGTACTTCTTTGAACGAAAATTGAAAATTGGCAGATGCAACATTCTTAATAATTTTGTTTTATGATATGAATAACTGCAAAGAATTCTTCTTCATATCTAAACTTAATTCATTTAAACTTACCTTATTTTCATGTACTCTGATAAGGGGCTAGCACTCGAAACATCAGGCTGGGTGGGCTAATAAGCTCCAGTACAGACTATTTTTTTTACTTTACGCATAGGAGAGTTAGTGGATTGCAGCAGCTAAACGAGTGGACTGATATTCTGTTACATGATTTGCACTCTTCTGCACCTTCTGATAAAAATTCCTTTGAATCTAATTCACACAAAGAGGACAATTTAAAGAAAAACAAGGACATGGCTAAGGTACTGGTAAATTTAATTTAATTATAAACTATTAAATATTTTAAAACATTTCACTAAATTTATGAAATTTATACCTGTTAACCCATTGACCCCTAAGAGTGATAAGTATTTAATTTCTCCTTACAATATCACCCTTGAATCACATATTAAGGTCATGAGAAGGAAAGAAATGATCACCAACAAAAGAAGCTCTTGATTGTTAAACAAATTCTCCTTGTCAGCACCTTAAGAAATCTGTAAAGAACAGTATGGAGAATATGCATACTGATGTTAAGGTGTAAAGGGTTATTGTAAGAGTTTGAATATTTTGATTCCAATTATAGAGTACTAGAACTCAGGTTTAATTCTAAATAACTTCTAAATTTAAAATCATTGTTAACATGAACATGATTGTTATCAATTTTTTAAATTAATTCTCTGGTGTTGCAACTCAAATTGGTAAATTATTGTTCCCTTTGTATCAGATTATGATAAATCTAAGACCAAGAATAAAAAAAGATAAACTCTGGTTTGGACAAGTTTAAACTAAGATAAATTTTGAACTATAAAAAATATGATTCATTTCAAGTGAATCCATTTGGAAGTCCACCCTAAAAAGGAGGAATGTTAATAAGCTGGCATAAACAGTGTCACTGTCTAACTTGCACACATTTGAAAATTTGGTAGTTTCTCACTTGATATCAAATAAAAACCTTGCTTTTTCTTTTATACTAAAGATTTTCTCTATCTTTGATCTTTGCCGTCCATTTTGTGTGCACTTGGTCTCCTTCTCCTCTGAATAATCTGTTTATAATTAAAATATCCCACCCTTTTAATTAGGATGAAACAACACTCTTTCTGTTCTTTATTCTGTTCACTAATTTGTTTGAGAGTAACTCTGTCTGTTTTTTTACTCCTGAGTGGTCATCATCTGATGGTGGAAATAACGGGAACTCTGCTGGTTATAACATGCTGTTAGTTGATCTCCCTCCTTCTCTTGCTTCTTCTGATGCTGCTGATGGTTCAAACCTTAATCTGGTAACATTTCTTACTTCTGTCTGTCGATTCTCTTGCTAATTATCTTCCTTATTCATAGTCTCTGGATATAAACTGCTTGCCATTTGGGTTGAGTTCATGTTGGTTCCCTTCCTTGCTCTGAGGCTTTTTCTCCAGGTCCTCTGGTTTTCCTCCCTCCTCCCTCCACAAAAAGCAGCATTCCTATTCCAATTCAATCTGGAAACAGTGCATGGACAAGAGGCATCACCTTGTGGAATTTCCACTTTTAAATTCCCATCACTCTTCATTGTTTTAAGGATCATCTCTCCATCTTGACAGGTTATACATCAATACCAACCCTACTGTCCTAGTGCAAAATGGTCAGGCGGCCGATTGCAATATTCTCAACTCCTACCACAGAAAATGAATCTGCCAATCTGCCAATCTGCCAATCTGCCAATCTCCCAATGAAGTTGACTAATGTCCTCTAGATAAGAATTAGTTGGGACATTTTTTCATAGAAGTGGGAGAATCAATTAAATATTTAATTCTCCATTCAATTGTAAGTGGATTTTCTTTACTGGGATAGTTTTACTTAAAAGGATGTGAAAATGGGAGATTGGAAAAATCAGGGTTTCTGAAAAGTGTGTTCTTTGAGTCACATTCCTGAGTGATAAATGCTCTCAAAATTAAGATTCCAACACTGTACAGTAGAAAATGTTTGTTTAAATTAGATTTTGAATTTTTAAACAGGAAATCAAACAGGGGAGGCGGGCTGCACAGATTACCCAACCTCAACAGGATGCTGAGGAGGATATTTTAGATGCAGCTCTTGGAGACATAGCAACTGAAAGTAACAATGCATTTGCTGCCATAGAAAATGATCAGGTTTGTTAGCACAGAACTTTAAGACTGATATAAACTAATAAACGACCATTTGAGGTGGGGGGGGGACCTCTTAAGGCAACTTTGCACCATCACTTAAATTTATATTCTGGATTTTTTTTTTTTTAGCCTCCACCAAAACCATCAAGAAGACAGGGAGGCTGGGCAGATGACACACCCAAAGAGAAGAAGAAAGGGTCAGAAGAAGTCATTTGTTTACAGTTTATAAGCTAGTTGTCATCTGAGTTTCAATGAAATAAAACGGACATCGGAATATAGTGTTCGAGATCGGACAGTAGGGTCTGAAACTGGACGGTAGAGTCCGAAATCGGACAGTGAGGCCGAAATTGGATGGTAGTTTCTGAATTTAGCCAATTGCGTCTGAAATCAGAAGGTATGGTCAGAAATCGGACGGCAGTGGCGGAAATCGGACGATAGTGTCCGAAATCGGACGATAGTGTCCGAAATCAGACGGCAGTGCCCTGATTCATACGGTAGTGTCCGAAACTAGACGATTCTGTTCGAGATCGGACGGAAGTATCCGAAGGCGGAAGGCAACGCCCGAAATAATGGAAAGAGTTGTTAATCCGACGGGAGCTTTGCGAAATCAGACGGAAACGTTTCACGTCTGACATAACTGTTTGAAATTAGACTCTAATATATGAAGCATTTCCAATAAACGTTCCATCAATGTCATACATCAATGTCAAAAAACTGGCTTCATTCATTGAGTGAGGTTGGCAGTTTTAGGAGTTTGCATCTTCTATACCTCTATCAGAAATCCATCTATGGCATATTAAGGTGAACATTGTAACCAGCTCTTGTCAGCATCGGGCCGTTCGATGTGCTATGGCGGAATTTAAAACGCACTGAATCTGAATAAAAGTATCATTGAAATCAACGACTGTTGCCAAACTAATGACTTTCGCGTCGCCAAAATTATTTTTTACTCGTCTTGGCAGAACAGTCGCAGCTTGGAGAGCTTGATTTACAGATGCTCATTGATTGCTTTTTTTTGTATTTGACAGGAGAAGAGACGTGGAAACCTTCCAAGAAGAAGAGTAAGCTTTTACAGTATTTTTTTTTTTGAAAAACGAAGGCTCCCAAGTAATTCACATTTCACTAAAAATAAAATCTTTTGTTTTTCTTGTTAGTGAAAGACTCAAAATTGATAACTCAGTTACGCAAGATGAGGATGATGGTGGTGAGATGATAAATAACTCTGTCAAATTTGGTTGTATTTTACTGAGACACTCATAGGCAGCACAATCTTATAGCTCTTATCTGGTTTCTTTGTATCCTATTCTAGTCGTTCAGTTAGTAAAACGAAGCGCGATAATATTCACCTTTGAGCAGCTTGAAGAGACTAAATGGCGCGCCACGAGTCTTTTTAATTTCTTTCCTTTTTTCGGTTCATTGACTGACGCAAAATGATTTCTTTTGGTGTATGTGTGATGTGTACGAAATGGTGCGCCAAATGTTTTTAAAATTTTCTTCCTTTTTTCGGTACATCGACAGACATGAACTTTTTTTTTTTTTGGTTTGTGCGTGATGTGTACTAAAACAATTATTCACTTCAATTTTGGTGACAGTGATGGTTATTTACTTCGCTGCTCCGTGGCTTAGTAAAAAGTATCTTTCCACTTCCATTTCGGCGAATAATTGTCTACTATCTCGATGGTTACTGAATTTGGTGGTCGATGAAGATAAACAGTTTTATTCATAGGGACGGAACTCTCACATTGAAAGAAAGAAAGAAAAATACTTCTATTTCCCAGTACTTATACAAAACTGAATTTCTGTTCCTCAGATATTCCTGTCATCCCAGACTTGGAGGATGTTCAAGAAGAGGACATGATGACACAGATTGCAGCCCCACCCAGGTGGGATGTTACTCTACCCACGGGGGATGGGGGGGGGGGGGAAATAGATATTCCTGTGATCCCAGACTTGGAGTATGTACAAGAAGGGGACATGGTGACACATATTGCGGCCCCACCCAGGTGGGATGTTACTTTACCCATGGGGGGGGGGGGGGGGTTTGCAGGAATTTCCAAAGAGTGGCCCTACACTAGCATTCTTTGTTTTGATCAAGGGGCATACCACGATTTTCTTTCTTTTTTTTGGGGGGGGGGGGGGAAGGGATGGGGGCCAACTGCACCTTGGAATTCCATCCTCTAAATTAGACCCTTGCCCTTGACCTTGACTTTGACCTTGACCTCTATTAACGCTGTTACTCTCCGGAATGATCAAAGAGTAATTTCTCCTCACGATATCGATACATTGTTACACAGATAGGAGATGAGAAGAATAGAAAATATCAATCAGGATATAAATTGATTTAACATTTAATTCTTAGAGCAAAAAATATAAGAAATATGGATAGACAATGCTGATGATTTACATGTAGATCTTGGGAATGAAAGGGTTGTGTTGGCCCTTTTATTCTTAAAACGTCCGTGAAACTTGTGAGGTAAAGTGAATCTTTGTGAGGGAAATAGCAGTCGTTTCAAAGGAAACTCTTTGAAACAAAAATATACTCAGTTGTGTCATAGGGAAATCTTTGTTTCACAAAATGAGCTGTTTCGAAAATCTAATTTCTTCAATTTTTCTGTACAGTGTGCAAGTAAACAGAGTGGCGACCTACAAAGAACTGGACAGTTATTTTCAGAAACAATCAGCGCTCTTTAATGTTAACTTACTGGTGAGTGTTTTTAAATCAGGAAAGGTAGAAAAATCCTGGTTGTTCGAGGAGAGGAAATTTGAATGTAGAGAAATTGAAACCCTGCATCATTTAAACTGAACACAGAGAATCTTAGCAGTGCTTTTTCCACAACGGAAACACTTCCGTGTAAGAGAAACCGGGAAATCGTCAGATATCTTAATGGGCGCTTGGTGAACTAGTTATTTTCAATTCCAAGCAGTCTTTTAGGTGCTAATTTTTTTGCACACGCAGGAAAAGGAGATAATTTTTCTTCATGTTGGTCTCTGTTTTCTTCGTCAAGAGAGGTTTTAAATTCAACACTTATCGGTATTCAACCTTTATTCCTTCGAGCAGTTTTCAATGGGGTATCGATTAGATTGCTTTGTTTTGTTTTCGCTCTATGATTGGTCCAGAAAACTCGCGCTACCATCTCAACCAATCAGATACAAACCTAACACCAATCCCAACTTGGTCACCCGCGTTTTCCCGCCCCCGAGCAGGCTGCCTGTTTTTACTTTGAGTTCTCGTAATGATGTTAACCTTAAATCCCTAAGAGTGACTGGCATCTAATTTCTCCTTACCACATCACCCCTGAATCAAACATAAAGGTCAGGAGAATAAAGGAGCTGATCACCGACTGAAGAAGCTCTTGATTGTTAGACAAATTCTCCATGTCGGCATCTTAGGAAATGGTTAGAGAACAGTATGGAGAATATGCATACTGATGTTTGGATCTAAAGGGTTAACCTTGGTTAAGCTATTTTCTGTTTTCACCTTGAAGGATGGAGAAATAGACCTCAAACTTCTGACGAACGTTTTGTCACCAGAAACGGAGGTATTTGAGGTAGGGCACAATAGCCATGTTTTCACGCTGCTAGTTTATAATAAAGTGAACAGTGTGCGACCAAAATACAAATGAATAAAGGGGGTTAGTTTAAGTAAGAAACTGTGGTGCTGCGTCGTTGGGAGAGTATAACAGGGTAATTAAGTATTATCAACTGAGTTGATGACGTGAATTGGCCACTGTGAAGATTTTCAGAGCTGAACTTTCGAGCGTTAGCCCTTCGTTAGAGCGAGTGCTCGAAATACTTAATTAGCCTGCGACCAAATTAGCTTGAGTAGATATTCTTTTAGAATCCTACTATCATCTTAGTCAGCACAACGATGCTGGTTGGGTTAAAGTTAATTTGTGGTTTTTATGTACAAGTGAGCTACGATAGTGCAAGTTGCCCATGTTTAAGCTGTGCTAGTGAAATTAGGCATTGTAGCTTAACGGTTACCGCGCTGGACTTGGATGCGTAAGGCCTGGGTTCGAGGCCGAGGTGTGTAAGGTGCTTGAAAGTGTGTCGATGTTGTTAAGAGAAATTCATTTTTGGTCTCTCATGGGAGTGAAAGGGTTCAACTGTTCTCTGTTTCATTATTTTATCCCATAGGAAGATAAACAGTGGGACTGGGACCGACTATTCACTGAAGTTGCGTCTGAGCTGCAAAGTGAGTGGAACACAGACAAAGTAACCGAGGAAGTTGAGGAATCCTAGAGTAAAATATCGCACTGTAAAGCTTAACATAAACATTTTAACTTATTGAAGATGAAGGATGGCGTTGGACCAAGGATTATCCCACTTTATGAAGGCAACGCAGACGAACTCAGTAATCAAGCAAAATGTTCAGCCGTTTTGTTGCCATCTTGCGTCGTTTCTCCAACTTATTTGAATTTTTCTTTCTTGTGCATCGGTATCTGTTACACAGTTTTTCGTTGGTTTGATATTTCGTCTTTGTAAATAGTAGCGTATACCATCAGTACATTGTACATTGCTGACCTGGAGATAATTATTTAAGTATCTCAAAATAAAAAAAAAAGTAGTAACTGTCAAGATTGCAAATTTTCCAGGATAATTGGAAAGTGGATTGTTCTGATTTAAGACTTATGGGCATCCGAAATTCGTCTGGAAACCATGAACTACTTGTAACTGATGAAATGCTCTCAATATGTGGCAGCTCAATCTCGTTCCCAGAGGTCACCCTTCCCTAATCCCTTGCGGGAAGGAAACGAATACCCGCCCTCAGGGGATAAGGGAAGTGCGACCTTATACTACGCCCACCTATTTTTTTTCGCTGTCTCTTTTCTTCGCGTGATGAATTTAATTGGGAAGGAGCAACGGCCCTTTATCTAGAAATTGAGCAAAGGAATAGTTGTAACGATTGCGTCCTTCATTGTTGATAAAAACAACAGCCAACGGGAACAAAGGAAAAGAACTTGAAGTAAAAACAAGCAAACTGCCTGAAGCGCGGGAAAACGCGGGTGACCAAATCACGATCAGCTTTGGTTTGAATCTAAATGGTTGAGAAATTAGTGCCACTTTTCTAGACCAATCACACACCGAAGCAAAGCAAAACTAAAGATATCCCGGATTAATATTAACACAACTGAAAATTACTCTCGTTCACGTTGTATTTTCCTTTCTTGGGATGCTGATATTTGGAAATAAAATAAAGCATGATTTTTCTTCTCTCTAAATTTCTATTTCAAATTTCGGAAGCTAACTAATGCATAATATTGTACCAATTCCTCTTAAGGAGTGAGCGAGGTTTTCAATAAGTTTTCCTTGTAATGAAGTGTCATACAGTTAAGCCGCTTTCTGGAGTAGAGTTGTACTCCGTCGATCAATTAAAAATTCGACTACCGTTAAAATCCGTGAAGAAAATTTCCTTAAAATACAAATTTTTAGAACCAAACATAAAACGGTCTAAATAAGATAGCAAAAATAACTCGCACTGCAGTTTTTCAATGCCCTTCATTGTCGGATTCCGACTCTACGATGACATCATCGGAATCATCATCGGCTAGGTTCGTGCCCTCATTCGCCTCTTCGTCTTCTACAATGACGTCGTCGGAGCCATATGATCCAGTCTCCTCTTCATCAGATCTCTGATTCACGTGTAAACTGTCGACCTCCTGAGCTTTCTTAGACTTGAAAATAGCATCGGAGCCTTCGGAAACAAACAGTTTTTTTCGAACGTCGTCGGTACTATTCGGGACTCCAGCTGCTTCAGAATGTCCTCTGGCGCCTCTCTTCTTCAGAGATTTCTCAGTTGCTGGGGTTGATGGAATGTAAAATTCGTCACCGCACTTGAGAGGTGGAGCAAGTTTGGCCATGACCTTGAAGGGATTTGCAGTCTTACTTTCCGTTTCACTCTCAGTCGTCAAAATAACCCGCACCGTGTTGAAGGTCTTTAACATTTGCTCCTCTTCGTGAATCACATCACCCCAATTCAACTCGCCGCTCCAAAGCAATCGCAACTCGGCTGGTTTCCCCTTCTCACCTTTGGTGAACGCGTAGCGCTTCACCCCGGGACAGAATTTCATGTACACCCTCTTGACCATGCCCAGTTCTGGCACAAGAACGTCAACTGATTGGTCCATTACGTTCAGCACAATTCCATCTTTCTCCAGAGGGCCGCTTTCACGCACAAAAATACCAAAGAACATTTCGGTGCTCAATTCGCCGGCTCTTTTAGCTGCCAGTTTGCGATCATTGCAATGGTGCGCGATCATGTCAATGTTAGAGGGATCCTGGTCCAGTGGTTCATCGATTCCAAGGCTCGCAGCCAAAAGCCTGTGCACTACTACATCTGCGTATCTTCTTATCGGGGACGTAAAGTGTGTGTACAGAGGCACGCTTAGGGCATAGTGTCCATATTCGCCGTCATCTACGCACCCCGTGCAAAAATACTCCGCGTTTTTCATGGGACGCATAGCTAAATTGACAAGAACTTCACGCTCAGGAGAGGAGAGCGGAAATTGTGCAAGCGACTCGTGAATAGTCTTGGATGAAGTGGTGTTGAACTCAATACCAAGCGATCTGCACAGCTCAAGAAGATCGTCGAGCTGTTTCTGATGCGGTTTTGGATGTCGCCTTAGAAGCGCTGTCTCGGGATATGACCTGTAGATGTGGTGAGCAATCGCCATGTTGGCAAGCAACATGAACTCTTCAATAAGCCTGTTCGAGTCGCGCTGTTTGTGCACGTGGTACCCGCTAGGCATACCGGTTTCTTTATCCAGATCAAACCGGAGTTTTGCTTGGTCCAAACGGAGCGCGCCATTCTCTAAGCGATTGCGCCTGAGACGGATTGCAAATTTATGAAGCTGATTTACCTGCGCGGAAATTTCCTCCGCAGTAGCACCGTCTGAAATCGGGGGAAGCTCGTTTTCATTCCATTTCCTGTTCGGCTTGTCAATCATATCTTGCGCATGTTCGTAAGCCATTTTTATTCGCGAACGAATGATTCCCCTTCCTTTCCAATCGTCAATAATTTCTCCTTTGCTTGTCATTTTCCAAACAATGGAGATTGTCAGGCGGTCTTCTCCAGGGTTCAAACTACACAGCTCTTCGCACAATCGCCGTGGGAGCATGGGTACAACTTTCTGCACCATATAAGTGGATGTTGCTCTCTCGGCAGCCACTTCATCCAGCGCTGTTCTTGAGCGAACGAAGAAGCTGACATCGGCAATATGGACGCCAACTTCAAAGAGGTCATCTGCGAGTTTCTTGCAGTGTACTGCGTCATCTAAATCCCTGGCTGTGAGAGGATCAATGGTAAAGACGCAATCATCGCGGAAGTCTCTTCTGTATTTCAGTTCCTCGCAGGGTACTTTCCAAGGTGTTTCTTGGGGTAAACACGCCAGGGCCTCGTCCGAAAATGGCCCAGAATCTATGCCGTACTCGAGAAGGATCCCCTCTGTTTCGGGTTCTATTTCACCTGCTTCGCCCAGGCTCCGCGATATTGAACCAATTGCGAGAAACGAATCCCGGGAAGAGTTCTCAGGCCAACTCACAATACGTGCCACGTGCAAGGTATTTTCGAAGTCACGTGGTCTGTTAAAGAATCCCGGCGGGCAGTTGTCCCGCTGGATACGAAACCTTGGCAACCGACTGTCAATCGGGGAGAAACACCCATCAGGTCTTTCTTTGGGATGGGGGAAGGGTTTTAGATGTCCGCTTGCAACCCGCGAGTGTTTCTTCTCGATGATGTAGACCACTTTAGCTCTTCTTTGTAAAAATTCGTCAGGAACTTGATTGACATCGATGTAATGTTTTTGACGACGTGACTCAGGGGTATGGCCAGCCTTATTCTCGATACGGACCGTCCTCGCTGAAGGAGATTGCATAACATTCGCAGGACTCACGGCTAAGGAGTCTAAACTATCAGCTAACCTGTCAACGTGGTTATGCTCTGTATTTTCCCCTGTCAAACCGTTGTATTCCAGTTCTTCCAGCATTATTTTCCATTTATCCTTGGGATATATCTTCAACGCAACGACGTCGTTATTGAGAGCACGGTTACGATTCAACATTCCTTCCAAGAGTACATCGCGTTTTAGACCCGGTACTGTTACCCAAGCCAACTCATAGTTTCGGGGACTAATCCTTAATATTCCTTTCACAAGTTCTCCTCTTTTTAATCCATCTGAGACTCTCTCTAAGGACCAATACTTTTCGTAGAGCGGTTTCTGTTTCTTGTTGCCACTGCTGGGCGTTCTTCGAGTTGAATTTCTACTCTTCTGAGTATTTGGAGTGGATTGATTCGCATTTCTCGTCTCTGAATCTTTAGCGGACACTTCCCCGTGGTGAACACTGTCGTTTGGTTCTTGACTACGATGTAAATCACTCCCCACAAGGTCGTGATGGCTTATCCCTTCGCTGGCTTCCTCGCCATCTTGAACTTTATTCGCTTTTCTTCGCCTATTCCTCTTCCTTTTACTGCCACTCGTATTCTCAGTGGTCGGCAAATCTTGACAATCTTCTTTCTCCCCACTGTCAGCAAAGTTTGAGCTCGCATCGTCCCCTTTTGCCATGATTTCTTCTGTTTCTTCAACTGGTAGTTCTGTTTTTTGAAATGGCGGTGGTTCCTCGCCCAGCTGTGCACTTTTTCCTTGTCTTCTTCGCGATCTCCTCTTTTTCTTGCTGTCTGCTTCTGGTTGATCTTGACTAGCAATGAATTCTGAATCGATGCAATCGTGTTCTTCTTTATCAGCGAAATCGCTCAGCTGTTTAGCTGAGTCAGGGGAAGTACTCTTCGTAACATCACAATCGTATTCCATTGCATCACAGCTGGTATTTGCTGACATAGCACTTACAGTTTCAGAATCTTTTTTTTTCTTTTTCCTTCTCTTCCGTTTCTTCTTTGTATTTTGAGATTTGCCATCTGTAGCATCTTCTTCTCCCCTTGCATCATTATTGCCGACCACATGTGTCGAATCAATCGTGTATTTTGCTTCCTCTTTCGATTGCTGAATCTTTGCACGTGGATCATTAACAATAGCACGCGCATTGATACTGTCTGCGCGAGCATTGCTCTCGGAGGGCTTTGCACAATCTGTAACTTTTTTTGCCTCTCTATTTCCCTCGCTGTTACTTGCAACTGCTTCTTTTGAATCCATTGAAAACACACTGACCTTTGCAAAATTCAAATGAAGGTAAAGTCGAACTAGAATCGAAGTGAAAGTAGTGTGTGATCCGTTCAGTATTATCCAAAATTAAGCCAATACAGAGCGCTTCATTTAAGTCGAATTAATTTCTTGCATCACTTTTAACATGGAATGGCTCAGTTTCACCTTAGGTGTTGCAAAAGAAGAGAAATTCTCGTGTTATCAGTCTTTCGCTGTTTCCGCCATCTTTCTTTTGTTTATTTTTTTCTGTTACCCGTGAGACTTTGAAGTATTTGCGTAGTCACGTGATCACTCGCCGAGAAAAACAAAATGGCCGCCTCCGGAGGCACGCAAATGACATCTGGAATGATCAAGTCTTCTCATAATATTCTGCGATCAGATGTTCATTAGAAGACACCCAAGGAGCCACCATGAGTTCGGACTCTCAAACGCTTCAAGCCAAGTATCAGAAATTGGCTGCAGAATTTGCAAAGGTACTTAACCGTGAATCGCGTCAAAACATCACAGCCATATGTGTCAAGTTAACCTTGCTAGAATGACTTAGGTTCATTAAAGATCTTTTTCCTCGATCGTTCACTTAATCTATTTACAAAGCATTTTTGAATCAAATATCACAATTTCTTGAAATACTTAGGGGTCACTTGATAAAATTACCTTTAGCGATTTTCAGGTGATCATGAAGACAGAGATATATATAATGAAGACAGAGATATATATAATGAATCCACAATTTTTATTTTTTTTTAATCATTTAGCAAAGAGCGCAGAACACGGTTTTAAAGAAGGCAGTTATCGAGGAACAAGAAAAAACCAAGACCCTTCAGGTAAGGAGATTTAATTATTTTAGTTATTTCCTTCTACATCCTTTCTCGGCATGGCTTCTTTTCTGTAGTAACTCATTAACAGTATTCGTTTGCATGTTCTTTGAAAATTTTATCTAAAAAATTATTACCCACTTTAGGAAACATTGCGGCAGAAGGACCAGTCTATTAGAAAATATGAACAGGAGATTGACAGCTTACAGTTCAGAAATGATCAGGTGGGACAGGAATCACTGAATTAATTTGGCAACTTTTATGATCAAATTTTAGGAGGTTGAGGTCTCATGAAATGAGTTTTGACCATGGCATCTCAGGATTACATGTACTTTGGATGCTTAGTTAAAAACTGCGCTATGTTTAAAAGCTAATGACAGTCAAACCTCTCCTCAATGGCCACTTTTGGAACAGTGGGGAGACAAGTTCAGAGAGCTGGAATTTATAAAGATAGGATTTTGATTATGACACCTCCTTTTTTTCCCATTGATTTTATAAGTTGTCAAAGAGAGTGGCAGTGTTGCAAGAGGAGCTCGATGATTATGATGGAAAGAACAGAAGAGGAAAGGTTGCTATTGTTCATATACTATTTAGAGTTAAGGGAGACAGTGATCTAGTGGTTTGTGCCAAGGCCCTTATTGTTCAAAGCTTGTATAACACTATCTATACTATCTATCTTGTGAAGTACTGGCATCCCATCCAGGGGGGAGTAGTGCTACTCTTTGTTGCCTCATGCTATGTAAAGAAGGATAAACTCAGCTGGGAGGGCACTTAGCTTGAGCACAGGCTTTGACTTTTTAAGGATTACCTCCTCTTTTTCAGGACTGATATCATTTATCAATTCTCATTACAATTCTTCTGTGATTCCATGCAGATTAGAGATGAGAATACAGAAAATTATCAGTTGGATGAAGTTGACTAGATATAACAACAGATTCTCAGAACTGCTCAAACAAAAGACATACAATTGAAAATGAAAACTTGTAGTGATGCAGAATTATTTTTATTCATTGTCAGAGGTATAACTGTGGGACAAGTGGAAGTCCCAATTGTGAGATTTCCATTTTCTGTAATTTTTTCCCTTTTTGAAAAACTTTGTTAACTCTTTAACTCCCAGAAGTGATTAACATAAAACTTCTCCCTACAATATCCATACATTCTTCAGCAAACAGGTAATGAGAATATTCAAACTTATCAGGTAGAAGCTTCTATCTTGATCTAGCACCAAGTTCTCATAACTAATTTACAAGGAAATGTGTAGCAGCTAGAGGGGAGAATTAACAATCAGATCTTGGTAGTTAAAGGGTTAAAGAATTGAGATTAACAAAGAGCAAAGCAGTCTTTCCTGATGAGTTTATATTTGCGTCTTTGTTCACTGTTTATTTATTTTTGTTTATTTACCCAATTTCTTTTATGCATTTTAGTCGAGGATTGATGGTGTGACAAAGGGAGAGGACAATTTTGTAAAAGATCAGGAACTTCAGATAAAAATTCAAGAAAATGAGAGACTGCAGCGAGAGGTTATTATGATATCACAATTTTGCATTCACTGGGACAGAGGTTCATGAAATAAATTTAATCCTGTTTAATCATGGTATTTTGCAGTTGTATGAAACTACACAGGAACACAAAGGAACGATACTGACCCTTCAGGAAAAGTTGGAATCAATTGAAAGGTTAGAAGATGCAAACAATCAGAATGTTCTTCTAATCACTGAAGAGGGCTTATTTAGCACAAGAGCTTCTGAAGGTAGAGGGTGCCAGCATAGGCTTACTAGAGAAGGGGGCTTATTAGAGAGAGGGTGATTTTTCAGGCAGGGATACCATCTTAGCAAAAGGATTCATTTGAGGGAGGGGTTTATTAGAGAGAGAGGACTTACAAGGAAGGGGGACCAATCAGACAGGGGGACCATCTTAGTAAAGGGCCTTATTTTAGGGTGAGGCTTATTCGATAGAGGTTTTTTTTTTTGAGAGAAGGGGACCTATCAGGCAGGGGAACCATCTTAGTGACAGGACTTATTTGAAGGAAGGGCTTATTAGAGAAGGGGAGCTTGGTAGATAGAGGGTTTTTTTTTTTTTTTTAGAGAGAGAGAAAGAGAGAGGACTTATAGATAGGGGACCCATCAGACGAGGAACCATCTTAGTGAAGGGGACTTGTTTGAGGGAGGGACTTATAAAAGTGGGGGCTTATTAAATAGAGGGTCTCTTTTTAGAGTGGAGCTTATCAGAGGGGGGGACTTATTAAAGAGAGAGGGTTATTAGAGAGACAGGGGGAGGCTTATAGCAAGTGGGAGACTCATCAGACAGAGGTACCATCTTAACAAACAGTGCTTTTCGAAGAGGGGGCTTGCTGAATGGAGGGAGTTAATAGCAAGAGGCTTATCAGAGAGGGGACTAACTAGGGTGGGGGGATGGGCTTATTGGAGGGGAGGGCTATTAGAGATGAGGGTGGTGCTTGATAGAGAAGGAGGCTGTTTATTTGAAAGAGAGGCTCAACAGAGAAGAGGGCATATTACAGAGGGGTCCCTGTTCAAAAAGGGGGGGGCATAATAGACAGGGAGGTTATTAGAGAAGGGGACTTATTAGATAGAAGTAGAGTGGCTCTAATAATCATGATGATAATAATGAAATAAACTTTACTCATTGGGATACATTTTCTGATATTTATATACTGGTAGATTGAAATTGGTCGTTTGTTTTCAGAAATTCCACTGATCACCAAAAGATTTTAGATGAGGCTAATGCAAAGCACAAAATGGTTGTTGATAAACTCAATGAGGAGAGAGCTTTACTGGAGGTTTGTGCAGCCATTTGTTCATGGATCTTTATAACTTATACCTAAAATAATCGTTCAGATTTCTGTACAACTTGTGTCTTGATCCTGAACCCCTAACCCTCTAATTCTTAGAGGTGCAAAACATGTGACGGTTAAATTTCAGATCACTGTCTGTATTTGAGCAAGTGGGCACCTACCCCTCCCCTAACCCAATAACAGTCAACTTATAACAAGTTAGGGTTAATGTTGGGTTAGGGGAGGGGTAGGTGAGAGGTTGCCCAGATGCAGGCATTGATCCAAAATTTCCTAACTGATCAATGAGAAAAGATAAAAGAGGTGAAAAGACGAATTATTGATCAAGTATGAGAACTGAAATTATCTTTGTATTCTGTGATAAAGATTTACTCATTAATGTTTAAATCTTTGTTTCACCAGGCAAAACTCCATAAGACAGAAGAGGAACTAAAAGTAGCAAGTTTAAAAGCAGAAAAGGGGTAAGATTTTTATAATAATAGATGTATAATGTCTTATGGACCTTGGTCAGACATGATAAAAACCAAGGATGACAGAACTTCCTGACAACTGCACTTTTTCTGGGCTTTAATAACCGTTTAACTGCCAGAAGTGATTAACATGTAACTTCTCCCTATGACATTAGTACATTATCCAGCAAACAGGTAATGAGAATATTCAAACTTATCAGGTACAAGTTGTTATCTTAGTCTAACACCAAATTCTCATAACTTATATATAAAGAAATGTGTAGCAGCTTAGAGGGGAGAATAAACAATCAGATCTTGGGAGTTAAAGGATAAACACAGCCTAAAGGCTTAGAATTACTCAAGGAAGAAAAATAGGATGACATTCATGTGCTAAAAATATCACTGCTATGAGTGACAATTTTCTTTTCCTATCTGACAGTCACCAGCAACTTAAGCTGTTACACAAAGAGATGACATCCAGATATGGTGAGAGAGAAGTTTAGGCACATCTGCAATTATTTTTTATGTCAGATAGATCTATGAATCATCAATTGGAATTACTGGTAGGAATTAAGTTGGAGAAAAACAATCTTGTGGCCATGAAACACAGATTCTTATCCTGAGAGGAAATTATTGGTCAGATCAATTGTCAGAAAACTTGGAGGAAATTGTTTGTGATCAGCCATTTTTTACCTGTGATACATAACTGATTTTAAATTTGTTCCTCTTGATGCAGTTGAAAAGTCCCTTGCAATGGAAAAATGTTCTTGACCTCACTTGATTCCAATTGTTTTTGTTAAAAATGCACCTTTCAAGTTTTATGCCATAATCACAAAAATTATTTCCATGTAATTTTAAGTGTTAAATCTAAAAATACAAAATTTAAGGGTGCATGTTTCTTTATCATATTAAGTAGACTTATTATAAATAATTATCTTAAACACTCTCTTTTTAGATGATGTTTCTAAAGTTGTCACAGAAAAACTTCCATTCAATGATACAAGTGAGTACATCATGGCAGCTGGGTATCTCCAAGCCTTTAAACAAGAGTAAGGCCAAGGGTGACCTTGTTGTGATACAAACCTTGCTGCTTTTCAAATATAAATTGCCTTGTTATCATGCTAACTAGATACTAGTGTCTATCACAACAAGGTCACCTTCAGCCTCACTCGAAATCGAAGGCTTGGCAACGAAGTACACAACTGTAAAATGGTCCATTATCAATGTGAGAGTCATTGACCTTAACCTATCTCTCTTCATTACTTTTCTTGAAATTGCAGGCATCAGAGAGCTGAACAAACTTAATGTACCAACACATGATCGTAGGCACCAGGTAAAAAATAATGCCTCAACCCTTCACCTAACATCAGTATTCACATTCTTCTAGCTATTTTCTAAACATTTCTTAAGATTCTTACAAGGAGAATTTGCTTAACAATCAAGAGCCTTTGGTTGTTGAAATACTTATGTGAGAATCTCAAGATAGATAGATAGATAGATAGCTTTATTCAAAATGGACAAAACACTTAGCCCAAGACTAGTTTACAGGTTTGGGACATAACAAAAAGATCAGAAAATAATACAATAATAATGGTGCTTATTTGTATAATTTCAACTATAACTTTCCAACCACCCCACCCCACCCCACCCTACCCCCCCAGAAAACATGTAGTGGTCCTTCACTAAAATTATCTAATTTGTAACAAAGGAATGCTAATTTTTTTATAATTTACTGGATTCCCGCAGGTGAAAGCAAAGGAATTAATTTGTCAAGCAGTCGAACTCATTCGTGAGCTTGTATCAGGAATGTCAAACTTTCTTACCTACACTGAACAGGTATTTAAATTTTTCTTTTTAGCAGTTGTTGAGTGTCATGTCTTGTCTTTGAAATAACTTAACTTGTATTTTAAAAAAACATTTCAGTATTATGTGTTTTTGTCAGTTTTGTGTTTTCTTTTTTTCTTATTTGCCCTGAATAGCATGTAACACTGGATTTTAAAATAGTTTAAACCTAAAACTTTTCCACTTTACAGCGACTCAAGACCTTCTTTATAGAATCAGCTCAGCTGCAGATCAGTCCTGTCACACAGAAGGTGATGCACTGACTTACACTGCCATAACAATAGTGCTACTGATTTTTTTTTGTTCATTTGCTAGGTTTTGCTTTTGCACTGAGTGACATACTCTTGTAGTATATGTAAACTGCTATGAAAATGATGTAAAAACTGTGCTCCAGGCCAGGACCATTTTGATTATGGTGATTGGTAGAACAAAATTTTGGTAACTAGATTTGTGGCAACAACCAAAAAAAATTTTTTATCTGTATTAATTGGTCATAAAGCAATTTGTTACTTGGAGTTTATGGTGTAAAATGAGTTAAAAATTTTCTTAAAATAAGTTATTGGAAATCTAGCACAAAATGACCTTTTCTCTTTTTTTTTTATTCAGATTATTTATTTTTACTCAAAAGGGATATTTAAGGGAATCTAATTTGGTCAAAAAGGTGTGGGTTTATCTGATTGATGTGGTGCATAATGTATAATTCTAAATTTATTTTGTGTTTTTGTAGTTCTGTGAGTACCTTCATGGAAATGCAACAGTGCTGAGAGCTGTGGATCAAGCATTTGTGTCATTCTACAACAGCATCAAAACAGACTCTTTGATTTCTTTGGTAAGAGTGACAATGTTCCTACAGGTCAGAACAGATTATTGAAAAGAAAAATTAACGTAAGTGCATGTAGCTCATAGCTCTGGCCTCATATGATGGACATTGTGGAAAATGATGGACTGGTAATAGTTTAATGGGTGACTGAAATAAACAAAAGGAAACAAACTTATAGATTCACAATAAAACTTCATGTGCACAATGAAGATGTCTGTGCACTTTTTCTTCCTTAGTTCGGATCATTGCAGTAGATCCAGTGGTAGCTCTAGGAGGAAGGGTCTGGGGGAACTTTATCCACCTCATTAGATTTGTGGGTATTTTTGGTCCCTTCCCCCTCCACCTCACCCTCATGGAAAATTTCTGGATCTGCACCTAACTTGTGTGTGGTGGTATATAGTTTGAAAGAGTATTTTATTCAAATAACTAATCAATTTTACTGTTTTTGTCCCTCTAGGAAACCATTCCTGGTTTTTATGATTTTTCTGAAGCATTTCATAAATACAGCAACTATTTAAAGAAGCTTCTTCCTTACTTTGTGTTGAGGTAAGGAGTTTTGATTTTATTGTCATAGTGATCATTGATATCATTATCCTGCCCATTCATATTATCTGTGAGAAAATGGTGGCCAAGTAGTCAGAATGCTCACATGAAATTTGGAGTCCTGAAAAAAATCAATCTGAGTCCTGGAAAATTCTTGGAAAAAGTCTTTGAAATTTGTTTCTGTAAAAGGGTATGGACCCTCGCGTTCATGGGCAAGGCAAGAAACTCTGGTTGCTATGTGAGCTAATGCTGTATGTATAGTGATTTCCCAAGTTTATGACTACTGAAAAAGTAACTTTGTTCCAAAAGGTGTATTTTTTATTTCTTATTTCAAGCACCAGTGAAGAATGTAAAGCTTCAACTTGTTCCACTACACTAGAAGCCCATAACAAAGCTGTGCTGCACTCTCTGAGAAAGCTTATCACCGTGTTTAATAAGATTGACACTTACATTGGTGTCTTGGCCTCAGCAAGTACGTCGATAGTAAAGCGTTTTACCGTAGAGTGTTATGAAATCAAAACTGATTAAAAATATATCACTATTGCTCTTTAGATCAAATAAAAACAAGAGGTAGGCGAGCATAGTGAACGAAAAGGGGGGGGGGGTGGCTTTTTGCACACTAATCTCATTGCATGTTATCTCGCCAAGCGCCATCTGAATATTTTTCAAGCTAATTTTGTGCTTCACTAGGGGCATTTTCTTCACTAATATGGGGGTCTATGTGGCGGGAAGGGGGAGGGAAGGATTGTACTTCATCAAATTGTCGTTAAGGAAGGTAGAACCCCCGCTTTCCACCTCCTCCCAGCTCCAACTGATGGAAAATATCACAAGGAACCTATGAGAACTATTAGAAAACATAATTATGTAACTGGCTGTAAGCGCGGGAAAAAGCGAGTGACCAAAAAGAGATAGGTCTTAGATTTGCATCTGATTGGTTGAGATGGAGGCGCGAGTTTTGTAGACCAATCACAGAGCGAAACGTAGCAAAACCAATGAAATCCTGGATTACGTTTGACTTTTGATTGAACATTACGGTGATAGTACCTTACCATGAGACTCTTCACACGTAAATCGTTTCTTTTTCTTTAACCGTAGGTTCCGGATCTGAAGGAATTCTACCAGCCAATTATAATGTTTCCTTTATGCATCTTAACTCTGCCCTGCAGCAACTTTATGAATGTGTTAAAGGTATGTTCTCGCCCTAGTGAACTGTTCATGACTTATAACCTGTGTGATTAAGTTACATATGGAGCACTTTTCAACCAATCAGAGAGAATGAAAATATTACAGGCAACCAGTTACAAATCGAAATATAGACAGGCTGCCTGTGTGTGATCAAGTGATGGGTTTTGATTTTGAATCTGATTGGTTGGGAAAGTGGCGCGAGTTTTCCAGACCAAATATGACGAAGCAAAACCAAAGCAATATGGGATTACTTTAGACACTGAATTAAAAATTGCTCTAACACCGCGAGACACCAATTTTTTTTTGCAGTATTATCAACGCATTTCCAGTCTAAGGTTTCTCTTGAACATCAGCTGCCAACAGCAACACAGGTTAGAAAAAAGAGAACAACAATGAAAAATAAAAACACTGTCATTTATCTGTGCATGAATTTGTGAAACTGTAGAAGTGCTCTATTAATCTACTGTTTTTTTACTTATATTTTAGACCCTGAAAAGCACAGACGAATGCATCGTTTCTTCTTTAGTGTCTCTGCTAACTGCAAGTGCCAAGGTACCACTTGATTTGTTTTAATACCTTTGGTAGTCGAAAGACGTCAGTGATTCGGTTTCGTCTCATTATTTTTTGCCATAAGATTTTCTTTGCTCTATAGACATCCTGGCCTTGTGGTCAGCAGTTGTGTCCTCGACCCTCAAAGAGTGACCAGCATCTGATTTCTCCTCACAATATCACCACTGAATCACTCATTAACGTTATGAGAATAAAAGGAAATGATCACCAGCTTAAGAAGCTCTTGATTGTTAAACAAATTCTCCTTGTCAGCACCTTAGGAAATGTATAGAGAACAGTATGGAGAATGTGTATACTGATGTTAGGATGTAAAGAGGTTAAATTTCACTCCCATTACTCACCCAGTATTCCTTTAAATCAAACTTCAGATTGGAAAGTTTATGAGTGGAAACTTGGATTTCTTCTCAACAAAGTCTGGCGTCAAAACAAGAGGAATGACTTCTGCAGCTGATAGCGAGGTGAGTGTTGTAACATCAGCTCTTCTCTGTCTTTTAGCTTCCTTAGATTTCGATGTGAATTAGGTAAGGGAATTTAGCGCATCATTAAGATGAAATATAGCTAATGAATATGTTTTTTTCGCTTGACATATTTTTTGGATTATGTATTAATCTTGTCGGGGGAGGGAAGAGTTACATGTTGTTTACTTCTGGAAGGGAAATAGTAAGAGCAGTTAGAAGCCTTTTGTCTGTTTCGTACGGATCAAGAAAATTTCAATGATGGACTCGGAGCCTTTCTCTCTCTCTCTCTATTTTGTTTTAGCTTACTTCATCGCCAGCTGTTTTGGAATTCAGACATCACGCTGCCGACTACATACAAAAGCTAATGCGGGTAAGTTGGTTATAAACATCCTTACTTGCAGAGCAGGCGTAATTTTTTTCGTTTTTCAGACGAACGGTAGCGAGTGCTCTGTGAGGGTCACGAGCTCCTCCGCTCGCGTGTGACTTGCGGGAAGGAGACCTTGATTAAAAAAAAAAAAACAAAACAAAATGATGTTTATTGTGTTTCTTCCAGCCATCCCCGGAGTCAGTTCCTTACAGAGTAGCGCTTAAAAATCACAAGATCCTGTTAAGTTCGACAGAAAGCAAAGATTCCTTAGAACAGCAGGTAAGCCATTTTTACTCGTGAGAACCTGTTTTTGGGTAAAAGCTTTTCGTTCACTGATCATCATCTTGGTTCTCTCAACTAAATGACTTAGATTTCGTAATAAAAGAAACGGAGAAAATACCATTTGGTCTTCTCGTAGAAAGCTTAAGTTTCCGTTGTTAGGTTACAAGGTATCAGTCAGGAATTTGTTATATTTGCATGATTTTGATGCTTTTTTCTTTAACTGGGGACACGCACGGCCTCATCGTCAACAAACTCAAGAGCTCCGTTTTCGAGCCTTGGCCTGGTCATTTTGTTGTGTTAGAGCGCTTTTCGATTGAGTGTCTTAAGAACAAAACCAAAGTAATCACAACGCCAATCCGATGAAAGGAAAATACCTTTAAGGGCCAGTGAAAACTTAAAAACCGACCAAACATCCTAAAGCGCGGGAAAACGCGGGCGAGCAAGTCGTGTTTGGTTTTAGTTTTGCATCTGATTGGTTGAGAGAGTGGCGTGCGTTTTCTGGACCAATCACAGAGCGAGGTGAAACAAAATCACAGCAATCCTGGAAAACTTTCGACACTCAGTTGAAAATGTCTTTATTGGGAAGAAGCTTTCACTCTCCCACCGCCTCTCTCCACCCAGGAGTACAAACAGGTATCGGCGAAAACGGCCCGGGAGAGTTGACGAATCAGTGAAACAACATCCCATCCAGCAGAAGTGAAAATACTCCTGATCGATTTATTTTCTAGAAACTGAGATAAGCTCCGGCACAAATGGGTATATGCGCATGTCAGATATAACTTATTTTCTCTCACATAGATTTCAATGACTCACGAAAAGCTTTCCAAGCTTGAACAAGCCAAGGAACATTGGATGTTAGAATCTCAACTTTTACAAGTAAAATATGAAAAAGAAGTTAAGGTTTGTCCCGCCTCTGTATCTGCATAAATTAAGTTAATAGTTGAAATTCTCATGGAATTGTATGGGCGTTAAAATTAATAAGATACTTTTGGTATTTTTCCGCTAAACAGTTCTGTTGCAAACTAGGAATTTTATTTTATTTTTTCGTTCGTATATCAATTTATTTTCGTAACCTTTCATTAGAAAGTACGAGATCTGGAGGAAGAAATAAGCAAACTTCAGACTGCCAAAGGAGTACTACCAACAGTAGACGGCCTGTCGGTAAGTGAAATTCTCTTTCTAATTGAGTTTCAAGTTGCTTTCATATTGGTTTTGTGTAACTTTATCAGTTTACGTTTTCACTTATGTTCTGTTCCAGTCTATCTCGGACGAAACTGGATCCATTTCATCACATTCATCATTGACGTCACATAGTTACGAGGTCCAGGCCCCGCCGTCTGATGTAGGAATTTATCTTCTGCCTTTAATTTGCTCAATTTTATTCTTTTGATTTTTGAGGACCTTCTGTTTTACTTGTGGGCGCGTTGGCCAGCTAAGGCAGTGTGCTATCTATTTCTATAGCTTCAACATCTGGAAGGATACTAACTGCGTTTTAAGAAATAAAAATGCACCAGAGCTGCAAACTCCTAGATGCTAAGCAGAAAAAATAAAGAACGTGCACCCCTGTCCAAGGCAGTGGTGCAACCCTTGAGGTCTTTGGGAATCCAAATTGCAAGCCGTTCATTACAGTTGTAGGAATGTCGCTATACACAGAGTTTGATTTGCTAGGGAGCATTGATCTAACTGCAAGGTTGACCGTAGAATGTCCCAGCCGTATAACAGTCGCAGTTTACAATCCCATAACTCTTTGTGCTCCTTCTACTCTCTCCCATGCCTCTCCAGTCAGAAAATAGATAATATATGCTAATCTAGAATGATCTTAAATGACATTGCTAACTGTGGTGCTGTTTTACATTTCATTTGTGTGAATATAGCTTGGAGGAGTGGCGCTACTCAGCCAAGCCGAGGTAAGAACCAAATTTTGTCGAAATGAAACGAATTACCGTGATTGAATATGCTGAAGGAATTGACGCCTTCTTTTTTCGTTGCTAAACTTAAGTTTCCTGTGACTTTTTCTTATTCTACTTTGGAAGTTAACCTGAGGATTTATTTTACAGAAATAAAGTTACTTGTCACTATACACATTTTAACTCTTTACACCCTAACATCAGTATGCATATTCTCCATACTGTTCTCTATACATTTCCTAAGGTGCTGACAAGGAGAATTTGTTTAACAATCATGAGCTCCTTTACTTGATGATCATTTCCTTTATTCCTGTGACCTGAACATGTGAATTAGAAGTGATCTTGTAAGGAGAAATTAGATGCTTATCACTCTTAGCGTTTAAAGGGTTTAGATGAAATGACGATGTACTTCTCTGGTTGGTCGTGGTTATAAGGAAAAGGCCGCTAATACGCATGCGCTGGTCACGGTGAATACCGCGGACAACCTCAATGTCTTGCGCTGTTTCTGGGATATTTTACCCAAGATTTTTAAGAAACTTTTAAGTGACCTGCTTTTTTCAATGCAATTTCAGGGAGCAGAGGAAGTAACAAGGGAAACACTGATCAAAAATCATTTTACACAGAGAGTAGCTGAGCTTACTTCACAGGTAAATTACTAAAATTACAAATTGTTAGTTATTTTGGCGCAGAATACTCTGCAGTTATAAGTTGGGAGGGGGAGGGGGGAGGGTAGAGAACTCAGTGGTCTGGCGGTGAGCACGCCGAATCCCGAGTCAAGGGGTCTGGGTTCGAAACCTGGCAGGGTCACTGTGTTGTGTTCTTGCGCAAAACACTTTACTCCCACAATGCCTCTCTCCAGCTAGGAGTATAAATAGGCACCAACAGGCTGTCTGGGAAACCCGGGAAAATAATGGGGGCCGAAGGGTTGGGGGTAACCCTGCAATAGACTGGCTCATCGTCCAGGGTGAGAAGCAGTACTCCTGATCGCTTCATGTTCTAGAAGCTGGGAAAATATTCTTCCCATGGATTTTAAAGAAATATGGATTGTTTGTATTTTTCTTAGGTACAATTTGCTGAGAGCAAGACTGTATCCATAAGTACAGAGGTAAACAGCTTCTCAAGTCTTCTCGTTTTATTTTTCGCTCCGACGAAGGGCTATCGCTCGAAAAGTCAGCTTTGTAACTCTTTACGGTGGCCATCTATAATACAAAATTACCCTGTTATACTCTTCCACCGACGCAGCACCACAGTTTCTTTAGAAACTTACTCCCTTAAATCAGATTTCGATTGTCTTAGGCGCGGGAAATCGCTTGCAATCAAGTCGTAGCTGGTTTTAGTTTTCATGTGATTGGTCGAGAGGGTGGTGTGAGTTTTCTTGACCAATCACGAGCGAAGTAAAACTAACCAACGCAATTCACTGTGATTTCCTTGTTACACTAGGAATGAAAGGAATGATTTACATTGGCCAGGATTTTTTTAATTCAGTTGAGAACTTAGCGCTATACTTATTTAGTTACTCTTTTGTTTCATTTGCGTTGTCATTCATTTCTTTTTTAATCAGTGCCGCGCTCTGTACCGACGCATGAAACAGGCTGAAAAGACAAAACAAGAACTCGCGAAAAATCTCAAGACTGCAACCTCCAAAGTCAGCCAACTAGAGGTGAGTTAAAACTGACAGTAAACGCCTCTGAGACTGTTCATGTATCGGTGTATCGTGAATTAGTTGTTTGTATGTTTTACCGCCACTATGCGCGTTTGTATTCACTATTTTCCCGCCACTAAACTCGTTTACGTTCGCTACTTTCCCGCCACTAAGCGCATCTGTTCACTTTCTGCTTCAAAACATCTTTATGCTTATTGTGTTCTCGTACTAAACGCGCCTTTGTCAACTGTTTTCCCGCCTTTAAACGCATGTGTGTTCACTGTTTTCCCACCAATAAGCGCCTATTTTCACCTTTTCCTGCAACTTAATGTCCGTATGCTCACGGTTTTCTCGCATTAAATGCGCCTTTGTTGATTGTTTTGTTGTTCCTTTCACTGTTTTCCCGCTTCGAAACGCGTGTAAGCTCACTGTTTTCTCACCAGTAAGCGCACCTTTGATGACTGTCTTCCCGCCTCTAAACGCTAGCGTACTTGCTGCTTTCCCTCTTCTTGACGCGTGCGTGTTCACCGTTTTTCGCCATTTGAACGAGTGTGCTTACAAGTCTCCCGCGTATTTTTTAGGACGAGGTGGAGACAATCAAGCGAAGCTACGAGACACAGTTATCAATGATGAGCGATCATTTGTGCGGAATGAATGAGAAGCTCACCTCACAGCAAGACGAAATAGAGGCCCTTAAGGGTAGTAAGGCGAAAAAGGGAAAACAGCGGTGACGAAGAGAGATTTTATTTTCAAATAGAGACAATAATATTGTGAAGAGGGAAAGATTGCGGAAGGTTTTATTGATTTATGAAAGACAGATTTTAAAAATGGCCATCAAAATTTATCTGGAGAATTATTAGATCCGTGATGCCGTATAAACATTCCTAATAGTAATAATTTGAGCTCTTATAAATTTTTTTTCATAAGTGCTTAAAACAGTAGGATTTGTTACTATTTTCTCGCAGTTTTTCTAGTGTCTGTGATGTTTTTCCTAACTTTCTGTTATCTTCCTTTTAAGAGAATATTTCTCCACGGACAAGCTCTCTCTCGAGTCGAGTAAATTCTTTGCAAAAAAAATTCTCATTTCCCCGAATATACGAACGTCTTACTCAAAACAACAGTTACCCCCAGAGCGTTACACCACAGTGTTTGAGCTTTGTTTTGCTTTTCCTTTTTGAGCTATGTACCAAAATCACTTTTATCTATGGAATATTATGCACTTGTTGACTGAGTAGGAGGGCTGGACGGGTCAAAATAATTGGCTGGAGGTTATGACTTCGCTCGATCCATGAATCATGGCCGAGAGCCAAATATTGCCTTTCGGCCCGATCAAACTCAGTCAGTCAGCATTGAAAATTTAAGGGAAGTTGCATGTTGATCATCTGTGAAGGTTAGGGCTGTAAATCAGTTGCACCCGGCCATAACGAAACTTCGGGTCAGTTGATGATAGCTTTAACAAGATCGTGTCAACAATCCTGTAACTTTGAAAAGCTTTGTAAGAAATTTTTGTATTAGAATTCTACGGATACTCAGTAAAACTTGATAATTTTTTTTAATTTAATGGTCGATGTAACTTGGTAGTGTATGTCAATGCAACCACCCTCGTTTGAGAGTTAATATTTATGTAACAACCCTCCCCTCCCCTTCCCACTTTTATTTAGAACTGTACCTCGCAAACACCAGAGTGCATGACCAAAGCCTACGAAAAAAGCTGGTTTGGGAATGATATGGATGAAGTGCGTGGACTGAAAGAAAAACGCTGCTAAAACCTCGGCTTATAGGAGATTTACCAGGCTTATATTTATCCAGAAGAGATTATTTGATGGGCTTACAAGAGCTCAATAATTTTTTTATCATTTAGAGGACTCCATGAAAGTTACTGCTTACGGATAGCTTCAACTGAGTGCAATAATTCAAAATTAATGAGACCATCAAAGCATTAGGATATGAAACACAAAACTGATGCTATCATCTTTAAACCAAACTATATAAACGAGAACTTTATACAAGTAAGTATAAGTACGAATGAAAACGACGTTGAAAATAGCCTCTCAAATTAACAGTTATTACAGGATTAAGTTGTATCTCTCCTTTCAGAACAATTGAATTGAATGTAAGCTCTATACTCACTTTGGCTATTATTCCCTCTCCTAAGCAGTAAAAACCATTGGAAAAAAAATTGAAAATAACCTCCAGTATTAGTTATTTTGGGAAAAAAGCGCTATGTCGAAAATTTACAACATCTCGTTATGTTTTGAAATGTGCTGCCCTACACGCAAGTTCAGAGCAACGTATGCGATAAACCGTGAAGGTGTTAAGTTAAAAGAATGAAATCAGTGTTCTCTTCAGCATGTCTTCTGATGCATAAACAAAGTGAATTTGAGTGAAATACAGACAAAAAGACCAGTAATTGATGAATATGGATTAAAATCAGTATTAACCCTTTAACTCCCAAGATCTCACTAGTAATTCTCCCTTCTGTCTGCCAAATGATTCTCATTAAGTTTGTTTGGAGAATTTGGTAGCGGATCAATGAGTAATTTTACAATTGATATTTTTCTTTAATCTCATCACTTGTTTGCATGATGTTGTATAGATATAGGAGAAATTTTGTCTTGGTCACTCACGGGATTTAAAGGGTTTAGGTTATTCTTGTAGAAATTAGTTCTCAACGAAGTTGCACTGCAACTGTTTCCTTTTCACTCGTCATTCGGTTGACGCACGCTATGGATTTAGGACTTTCTACTTCAAATAAACATCTTCCCTCCAAAAGTAATCGAAGAGTTAATTAGAATGATTAAGCGCATTAGCCTGATCGAAGCCAAAATGAACCGAAAAGAGGAATAATCGATCAGAAGTTGTATGAAGGCTTTAAAAAGGTTTTTCAGGAAATTTCTGAGACAGCGTTTTGATAGACGAGATATTTCTATTCTGTAAAAATACTGAAGGTTTTAGAGAGAGTCATGCCACCTGATAAACAATTTGGAATCTTTTGATACGAAATTGTTAACTGACGGAGTAACCAGCCTATGTAAATAGCGACAAAAGTTGTCTATCGGTAAGATCAGTGATGAGATCAAATAGAGCCGCCTTCAAATAAGTTTCTAAATCTTTAACCTTTGATTGAAAGAAAAGGTGCATTTAAATACAGGATCTCGGTAAACGAAAGTACGAGAGGAAGTAATTTCCGCATCGAAAAAAGATAGTGGCAATCAAAATTGAAATTTCTTTTAATCGCCCACGCTTTAAACAAATAGTGAAACCAAGTTAAACGTGATGTTTACTCGATAACTAAATTTCTCCATTCTCGCTTTAAAGGCCTCGTTGCGAAGCAGCGAAAATGACAGCTGAGGCACATGGTTTCCATTTACAATTGCGTTAAGCGCTGTCAGTCAAATGGAGCAAGACGCTCAGTGATTGGTCAATTTCGCGAAGCCATTTGAGTGCTTCTGTAAGCAGCTGTCCTCTCGAACTTAGCGTTTGTCATGAAAAGGGAGCTCGTGGATACGAATGCGGCGTTTGGTAGGAGTAAAAAAATGATTTGTGAAAGTAATCAGACGACAATTCAAACGTAATGACGACCATGACATTCCATCGGGGACAAATGGAGTATATACAACCGCCGCAGAATTCTCAGGTAAATGGAGTGCACCTTTTGTGAAGCATTCTGATTTGCAACACGGTAAATGTACTCAACTTTTCAAACTCACACCCCTTTTCCTTGTGCCCGCCCACCAAACGCTTTTAATCGACAGGAAATCCAACCCTCTCCTCTGGCCCTGCTAGCTGCGACTTGTAGCAAGATCGGACAAGGATTTGAAGCGCCTCAGAATATCCTACAAGCGCCGATCAACCAACTAGACACACACCAAGAGTTCGCGACCTCGTGGGTTTCGGAACAGAACGGATCGTCGCATACAAATGACGATGTTTACAACTCCAATACACCAAACGTTCTCCAAACGCAAAATCACTCCAACACGGGTCTATATGCCTCCATAAACCAGGTGGAACAAGGCCAGATGTATTATGCAACCGTTACATCAAGTCCTGTTGTTCTTTCACAACAAGGACTTGTAACAAACACCGAAGCCAGCGTTAATCTCGCATATACTCCGGAATACGACTTGTCTAAAACGGTAGATGGAGTATGGACGGTAAAATCCGACTCAGGAGAAAATAACACTGCGATCGGAGCACAGTGGTGGCAAGGAAAGCCTTTATCTTGGGCTAAAAGCGCAAGTAGTCCTTCGCATCAATTTGTAGTGTCGCCTTCGTACTCAACAACAGTGGGAACTAGCGACGCTGGTATGTCTATTATTGAGCAACAGGGACAAGAAGCGGCAGTTGACAACAACGCACAGAATCCTGCCTACGTTCAAGTTACAAGGACACCACAAGGGCAGATAATTTTAACTCAAGAAAGCACAGAACCGAATAAATGGCTCTCCACTGGAACGGTTAACGTCATCGCTGCCGCATCAAACGCTGCGAACGGAAACGCAGCTATTCAGGTACAGGTTCATCCAGAATCTCCGCAAGATGCTCAAAATGTCAGCGTTAATGTTGGACAAGGGAGCAATCGGCGGCTTCGACGGGTCGCCTGTACTTGTCCTAATTGCAGAGAAGGTGAAGGAAGAACAGCTGATGGTCGTAAACAACACATCTGTCATATTCCAGGCTGCGGGAAGGTTTACGGCAAGACATCTCACTTGCGGGCGCATCTGCGCTGGCACACGGGCGAGCGCCCATTTGTGTGCAATTGGCTATTTTGCGGAAAACGATTCACTCGATCCGACGAGTTGCAACGCCATCGAAGAACTCATACGGGCGAAAAACGTTTTGCGTGTCCAGAATGCGGAAAACGTTTTATGCGAAGTGATCATCTGTCAAAGCATGTACGGACACACTCAAATGGAAGGCCAGTCAAAGGGAATGGCGTGATGAGCTCAGGAGAAACCATCGCTATTCGGCCGATCCCTCAACAAGAAATTTCAAACTTGCCAGTTATTGAACCACGGCCTGAGGAGATCAAAACTAAAGTGGAAAGTGATCGTTCGGCAGTTGTGGAAGTAGATCTTCCAAATGTTGCGGTCGCCGTTGAACAGAATCAATTGAGTGAGAATGAATATTTTACGGGCGATGCGACAGAACACTACCTAAACGATATGAGTGTTGCTCACGAATTCGTTGCAGTTCGAATGGATGGAACTCCGGGTACAGCTATTTTAGTACAAGCACAAAACTTAAACATTAGTCAAGGTGTTTAAAGAAATAGAGAAGAAAAAAAAACTGCAGTACACTGATAATCAGTTCTTAGAATGTTTAATTCTTTTTTAAATTGAGAAAATGCTTCGATGTAAAATTGGCAACATTTAGTTCAACATATTGTAAATTTCAAACATGTGGCAAAAATCTCTAGGTTTTTAAGATTTGTGGAAAGCTGAAATAGAGTGATCTTTCGATTTAAGATGTGCAAGATTTTTGTGCTTCGATCGAGTTAATCAAATTGGATCGAATCCAATTTGAATAGCGTTGTGTATATTATTCAAATAATCTATATATGTATGTGTGGGAAAGCAAACTTTAGTTTGCGTTGTCGTAATTGTGCTGAAGTAAATAAGAAAATTCTAAAATTACCACACCAGTTAGGTGTCTATATATGATGGGATTTGCTACCCTCTGTTGTTAAATAATCTACTGGATGTATGATTATATTTTTACAATTCAATCTGACTTTTTTAAGGCCTTGTAAGTTATTGAATTATTTATAACTGCTTGCATGTTTCACCCGAAACTGAAAGGAATTTTAATATCATTTTTAGTTTTCATGGAAAAATTGTAATCGTAGCTCTCTTCATAGCATAACAGAAGTCTTGCCTAAGTGACTTGTACAGAAAACAACAAAGATGGAAAATTAGGATTTTTCTAAAAGTTACTGGCTTTGAATGAGAATGATCTTTGCAAGCATTATGCATAACTTTTTTGAAAATGTATATTTGTACAAAGAGGAAGTTATATTCTGACCAATCTATTTTTATTAAACTTAGTGAAGGAATTTATGACATTGTATTGAAATATGTAGTTGATTTGAAAACATTCACAGCAATCCCAGTGGAAGCTTTTGTTTCACTTCTGTGTTGTGAAACAGGTACTCAGTGGGTGAACATTCCAAATTAACATGTTCACTCTTAAGATCTCACTAGTAATTCTCCTTACTGTCTGTGATACAGTTATTGTGGTGTTAGTTTGGAGAACTTGGTATTGGATCAACTAATAATCCCCTTATTTATATTTTTCTCAATTTTCATCACTTGTCTGCTTGATATTCATTGATATTGTAGGGTGAAATTCTGTGTTGGTTACCTGTGGGAAATTAAGGGTTAATTAAGAGCCCTGCTAATCTGTGAAGCAGTCTTTCTCTGCCAATCCATTCAAAACCAGTGCACTTGATGTGTGATGTCAGAAGGTAGTTGTGTATTGAATTAATATCCTGCCATCTTAAAATTCTCATCCAGCCTCTCTTATACAAGTTATTGTTGGCTTCTCTTGATTTGTCTTGTGCAAAAAAAAAAAACAAACAAACAAAATTAAAGAAAAGAATGAGTAGAATGTTTAGTTCACTCTTTCCTGCAACTTTGTTATAGTCATAAGTACATGAAACTTGAAGATTGTGGTATTCTCTTGTGTAGCCTAATAGTGGCCTACTGTGTGGTGTACTGGACTCCAGGTAAAGAGATCTGGGCCTGAGACCTAGTGGATGTTGTGTCCTTGGACAAAATACTTAACTCTCCAAGTGCTTCTCTCCACCTAGGAATGTAAATGGGTACTGGCAAATGGTCGGGGAAGCATGGGGAGAACCTTGAGATGGACTAACATCCAATCCATGGGAGGGTGTTGATACTACTTGTTGCTTCATGCCAAGGAATCGGAGAAGCTCTAGCCGAAGTGTAGACTTCACCATTATTTTGTGTAGCCTACAGAACAGTTGTGATGTTTCTATGTTTTGCTGGAAATGAAGGTAAGCTCAGAGGTTGAGTGATGCCCTCAATGTGCATGTAACCATTTGGGAAAAAATTTATACCTAGAGTATTGGCCAACTTTTTAGCAGATTGAAGGTGAGAAAACAAGTTGAATATCAATCAGGGGTTGTGTTAACCCTTTAACCGCTAAGAGTGACTAGCATCTAATTTCTCATTACAATATCACCCTTGAATAAAAATACCAACCTCTGACCCCTAAGAGTGACTAGCAACCAATATTTCCTTTAAATAGTATCACCCATGAATCTTGTTAAGGTCACAGGAGTAAAGGAAGTGGTCACCAACTAAAGAAACTTGATTGTTAGACAAATTTTCCTTGTTGGAACTTTAGGTGATGTATAGAGAACAGTATGGAGAATATGTTGGGTTGTAAAGGGAGCAAAATTCTTCTTGTTTATATGAAAAGAAATGTTTAAAAAACAATATAAAGAATTTTCATTCAGTTGAAACCTTTTTCTCCAAATTACCCCATTCTTTGAAACCCACCCATTTTCCACTTGGCTAAAAGGAAACGGAGAACAGTGCCATACAGTCTACAGCTATGTATTTTAAGTGAATGCACACATTGAGTTGTGGCTAGAAATAGATATTTGAGAATCAGATACTGACTGAGGATTATGGAAGCTTAAATATTTATGCCTTCTGACTAAATGCGAGACAATTAAAGTATAAATGGACTCAGGAAAACAAAATTGAATTAACTACAAGTAAAGCAGATAAAATTACCTTTGCATTTAGTTTCTCATTCAATAACAGTGAAGAATTTCGTAACCTTTCAGCTGAGTGGTGGATTCGATCCAGTGATGTTACAAGTTACACTGTATACAAAAAATACTTAAGCTCGACATAACATCTTTACAGGTGAGGCTGCTTGGTATGTCACGTTACGCTCTGAATGTTTTCTAATACTCCTGTGATGATCCTTTATATCCTGCTCATGTGTCAGCCATTCTGGCGCAATTCTTTGTGTCGTAGTAGCGGTCGAGTTAATTTAAAGACCAAGGAATGTTTTATTTTCGCAACTTTCTTGCAAAAAATCGAGCAAAATTTGTGACCTCTCTCAAGCTTCCCCCCGTATTGTCTGCCGGCGTCCATGCACCAAGATAAGTCAACAGGCTACTTCTTCGGGTGAACACTGTTGCCTGTTTGATCGCTTCCCTGACGTTGTCGTGACCTTTCGGGAGTCGATCCCCGCTCCAATACTTCTGCCCCTCAACCTTCTTGTTCGGCCCTGAAGCGTAAATATGCCACTCAGCCAGCAGATACTGATCGTTCTTATAAATATTTTACACGATCTTTATTACCAAAATCTTTGGCTGTGTTACCCAGTGATCCAAGTATAAGAATACGTTTCCAGTTGTTTCCCGATGAACGGACGGCTGTTTCTAACGGTTGTATTTGTCCGGCCTCATTCGTAAAGACTCGCCGCGGCTGGATTTTTTCCCTCCGCAGCTAACCATCGAGACCCAGTTCAGTAAAAAGATTGAAGCTAAGTCTTTAATCTCTATCCTTTAATTCACTCGCCACGGCTGTCCACCAAGTTACGTAATTCTCCCGATCATAGTCACTCGTGAGTGCCTCTGCTTCGTGATTGTTCCAGGAAATGATCGGCACCACGCCATTCTCCAGACATTTATTGTCAAATTTCTAGGAAACCAAGTGAAGTTGATAGCGTCATAAGGTGAAACATATAAATCTGCTCTAGATCGAAGTTTAACGTTCCGAAATCCTTTAGAGAAGATATCTACTATGTTTTGGCTTTTATAATGAGACAACGGTAGTTTTTAAACAATTTGTCGAGAAGCCTTGCCCAGCGACTGCGGAAATACGGGCTGAGAGAATTTCATGAACGAAGAACTCAATGATCTCTGATTTTCTCGAAATAACTAACGCGGGAGTAACTGCTACAGCGTAAACCACAAAAATACAGGCTGCGATCAACCCCATCTTTTGTTTGGTGTAACTTGTCATTTTAGAGTAAATATTTGTGCATTAGTCCTCAAGTACGGAAGCGTCTAGACTTTCACAATTTGCATACTCAAAGAAAATGTCAAGTGAATGACAGCTGATGTTTTAAAATTTAACAGGCTATTTTCAATCTTGAATTAAAAAATTTCCTGCATTCAGGCTAATCCAAATTTTTGCTGCGTAAGTATTTCTTGATTAGTGTCTGTGGAGTAAACCTTCCATCATGCCCGATCAGATGACGCGGGTGATCACTGAGTCACGCGATCAAATTCGAACAGTTTTCAATCATTTAGTAACGCTCTAAAAAGTGCATGATTTACTTGTGTCGCTCAGATTAGAGGAAAGACAGTGAAGACATTCAATTAAACCCTAAACACGTCTAAGAAACGCGTGTTTCCTCAACTTAAAAATACCTCGCAGATTTCCCGCCAATTTCAATCAGCTGAACATGGACCAATCAGAATGCGGATACCTTCCTTGTCGACAGCAATCTGTTCATATGTCTCAGCGGCGTACAAAACTGAGTATGCTCTGTGATGTTACTCCGCCATTTTGCTATTGCAGTAGCAGTGGTAAACGTTGAAAGCAGGTTGTTTTTACGTTATTTTTCTGTTTCACTCCGGCTAGAAATGCCCCCTAAAAAGAAGGAAGAAGAAAAACCTACGCCTCTGATGGGCCGATTTGGAACCTCACTGAAATGTGGCATCGTGGGGCTTCCGAACGTTGGGTGAGTGACTCACGTGGGAGATGGAACATTTGATCGGAACACTCGATCTTTTATTTGATTTAGACGAAGCCTGTTATTTATACACGTGTACTTTTCAGGAAATCAACGTTTTTCAATGTGCTAACGAAGAGTGCAGCAGCAGCTGAAAATTTCCCCTTCTGCACAATAGGTCAGTATAAATTGATTTCGTTTGAACAGATTTTGTAGAACAAACTGTTATTTGTAATAATACCATTTTAGATCGAAACGCCCTCAGCATAGGACCCTTTTTTCCAAATAGACAAGGCACATCTGTCAAATCACAGCTCTCTTGAAAAGACTGAAGAAATTGTTATCATAATCTGTCAACCCTCTGACCTCTTAAAGTGACTAACATCAAATTTCTCCTCACAATATCATCCCTGATTCACACATTAAGGTCACGAGAATAAAGGAAATGATCACCAACTAAAGTAGCTCTTGATTGAAAAACTAATTCTCTTTGTTAGAACCTTTGAAAATGTATACAGAACAGTATAGAGAATATGCGTAGTGATGTTTGGATGTAAAGGGTTAATGCAACCTTAAAACCTTATAAAATGTTTGGGGGGGGGGTGAGGGCTGGTTAACCTGTGCATGCAGAAGACTAAACATCTCGGCCCAGTTGTGTGAAGGTCAGATAATGCTATTCAATGGATAAATTCCTATCCAGTAGATAAATGATAGGAAAACGTACAGTGTTATCAACCATATCTAGTTTATATCCAGTCAATCATGTTATCCAACTTTTGAACAACTGGGGCCTCATCTTTAGAAAGGAGATTTTTTATTGTCACTTAACTGATCAGCATAAAACATTCAACATCATGAAAACTTGACAGTTGTCATATGTATTAAAAACATTTTTTTTTGTTCTTTTCTTTCAGATCCTAATGAAAATAAGTATCTTCTCTTTGTTTAATTCTTGACAATTTTAAGGTGAATTTGATAATAATAGGATGATGAGACCATCTCAAAAGACCAAAAAGTTGCTGTATATTTTTGATGTAGTTAAAAACAAAATTTTTGGCCTTCGGGATTAACCTTCCCACTTGCAGCGGTGACCATTATGTGATTTCTCCTAACAATATGAGTGGATTTTATACCAGAAAAGTGTTGAGAAGAAAGAAAAACACCAACTTGAGAATACTATTTGATTGTGCACCAATTTGTCTAAGGTAGAATTTCATAAAAAAATTAATGTCCCTTTCTTATGGCAATTTCAACTTGATGTTGAAATTAATCTTTGATTTCATAGATTTGGCTCTTCTACACTCCGCTGTTGGGTCTTAAATTTAAGTCACTGCCAGCAGATAGTATTCTATAAATCACAGACATGTTGGTGATGAAAGATAATTCTTTAATTTTTTCCTTTCTCTCTTGTACGTCGAGTGGCAGTTCCAGATGTGAGATGGGATTTTCTATGCGATTACCACAAGCCAGCAAGGTCAGGAGTTTTTTTTCATAATTTGTGATAGTGTTTGGTTCTAATGATCTTTAAATAGTTGGAAGTCAGAATAAGATTTCTCAAAATTGATCAAGTGCAAAGATGTATCAAATGATTTACTGTATTGACTCTTTCAGCAAAGTGCCAGCTTTCCTCCATGTGACAGATATTGCAGGTTTGGTTCAGGGAGCACATGAGGGGCAGGTTAGAGTGATGAGAATTTAAAGTAAATTTTTGTGGCAATAATTCCAACAAGTTTTGTTATTAACCCTTTAACTCCCAGAAGTGATTAACATAAAACTTCTCCCTACAATATCCATACATTCTTCAGCAAACAGGTAATGAGAATATTCAAACTTATCAGGTAGAAGCTGCTATCTTGATCTAGAGCCAAGTTCTCATAACTAATTTACAAAGAAATGTGTAGCAGCTACAGGGGAGAATTAACAATCAGATCTTGGGAGTTAAAGGGTTAAATTACCACCCATTAAAAACAGGCAAAATAAAATAAGGAAACATGTCAAGTTTTGAAAAGTGATTGTATGTCAGTTAGCCAAAAGCTGAAAAGAGAGTTATCATGCATATATTAGTGACTGTTTTGTTTTTGTTAGGGTCTGGGAAATGCATTTTTATCACACATATGGGCATGTGATGCAATCTTTCATATGATTCGTAAGTAACAAACTAGATGTCATTTGGGAGTCATTTCAAAATGATGACCAATTCAGGGCTGTGGTCTAGCAGAGCTCAGGTGCCTCAGGTGACCAAATTTTATCGTAATGGGCGACTTGCAAAACTTCATTTTTTTTAAAAGCTGGTGAGAGCTGGCCACCCCAGATTCCTTAGATCATAACCTCTGGGCACCCTGTAAATCTTCTTAGACCACAGCTTTGCAATTTCATGTCAAAGGTTTTCATGTCATGAAAGTTTGTTTTTCTTCAATGTAGAGTAATATACTTGATCCACTCATGTACATTACAGATTTACAACATAGAAAATTACACATTGAGAAATAATTACCCATTAAGTTTTAAGTAGTCTCTAGTTCAGTTAAGTTGCTTTATTGAAAAATAAATCAGAACATAACTATACTTTGCAGCTATGAACACTACTGAACTAGTAGTTGAAATAAGACCTGAAAAAAAAAAAATTCAGGCCCATACGGGATTTGAACCCATGACCTCTACAATACTGGTGCAGCACTCTACCAACTGAGCTAACAAGCCAGCTGGGAGCTGGTCATTATGTTGGGTCTAAATAAACCATCCAAGTGATGAATAATGATTGTAGATATATGAAAATCATATATGTGCACAGCAGTGAAGAAAAGAATATAGGAGATCCTTGCAGCCATGAACACTACTGAGCTAGTAGTTGAAATAAGACCTGAAAAAAAAAATTCAGGCCCATACGGGATTTGAACCCATGACCTCTGCAATACCGGTGCAGTGCTCTACCAACTGTGTTTCTTCAGTGTAGAGCACATATATGATTTTCATTTATCTGCAATCATTAGAACTATACTTATTTAAAGACCATAATGATTATTGTAATGGTAATAGCAGTATGATACATGTGTGTGAAAAATTGTACTCTTTTTAAGGGCTGTGCTCCTATTTTCCTTCAACCCTTTAAACCTGGAGTTTGAGTGACCAGCATCTGATTTCTCCTTACAGTAATACTGCTAAATCATTCATTATGATTATGAGAATAAAGTAAATGGTTGCCAACCTAGGAGGCATTGATTGTTAAGCAAATTCTCCTTGTTAGTACAAAAGAAAATGTTTAGAGAGGGTATGGCGAAAATGGATACTGATGGTATCTAATTTTAAGTGGTCTAGGTAATTTAGTGTTAACAACTGAGTTGAAAACGTAAATTAGCCACCATAAAGAGTAAAAAAGCTGACGTTTTGAGTGTTAGCCCTTCGTCAGAGCCAATGGATTTGATTGCAATCACTCTGATGAAGGGCTAATGCTTTTCAACTCAGTTGTTAGCACTAAATTACCTGCTATACTCTCCCATCGACGCAGCACCACAGTTTATTTAGAAACTTATCCCTTTATTACTTTAAGTGGTGTCTTGCTTCTCTCCAGGTGCGTTTGAGGGAGAAGATGTAACTCACGTAGAGGGTGATGTGAACCCTATACGAGACTTAGGAATCATCTCTGAGGAATTAAGGAAAAAGGTAAACGCAAACGATAACATTTATTTAAAAGCCAATTACAAGAGGTAGATAATCAAGTTTGTTATATTGCTTTTTCAGTGGTTAAAATTTTGTTTTCTTTTCTTAGGATGAGGAGTATCTCAAAGATAAAGTGGTTAGTTGTAACTGTTTACTTCCAATTATGGATTGCTTAACCATTTACACCCAAATTTCAGTATGTATAATCTCCTTACTGTCCTCTAAACATTTCCTTTTTTTCTGACAAGGAGAATTTGTTTAACAATCAAGAACTTCTTCAGTTGGTGATCATTTTCTTTATTCTCATGACCTTAATGTGTGATTTAGGGGTGATATTGTAAGGAGAAATTAGATGCTAATCCTTCTTAGCAGTCAGAGGGGTTAAATTTTGAGTTTTTCAAGAAATTACAAGAGACTCAGTGAAATGAAATTTGGGAAGGAAATGTGTAAAAGATATTTCTAATTTCTAAATGCAATTTTTACTCCTTTTATCTCTTTTTCAGAACAGTATGGACAAAACGGTTGTCAGAGGAGGCGACAAAAAGAGACTAGGAGAACTTGTATGTTGATAACTATTTTGTAATTATTTTATTTATGAATTAATTTAAGGGATGATAAAAAATATTTTGATTAAACCTGATCTATAATTTTATCATTTTGTAAAGTAGACTGTGTTTCCTTACCTTTCTTTCTACTGTTCCCATTTGTTATCCTGTTACATTTTTGTAGGAAAGTTTGAAAAAAATTTACCACTGGGTTTCTGAAGAAAAAAAGCATGTCAGATTCGGAACTTGGGCTGCCAACGAAGTAAGTATGTTATATCATCATCCACGGCAATTTTATTTATACCAAAATTTAGTGAGTGGTGCTATTTCCAAATTCTTTAGGCATTTATTTTTTATGATGATCATGCATTGTCTTCTGTGTCATAAGTTTTAATCTATTAATCTTTTTGCACCCATGAGTGATGAGAATAAAGAAAAATATAAATTAGGGGATTATTAGTTGATCCAATACCAATTTCTCAGAACTTGTATTATAAGAATTGTATGGGAGACAGAAAGGAGAATTACTAATGAGATCTTTGGATTGAAAGGGTTAACAGCTTATAAGAGTTTTGAAAAGGTTTCCAATGCCACAGAAAAATGTACACTCCCAGACACATTTGTTGGGGACACCTACTGTCTCCCCTGCTCCCCTCCTGTGACTCTGAAAGTTGTTTGGTGAGAGAGCATTAAGGCAAATTGGCAACAACATGGAAAGGGGGAGAATGATAAGGACGATGTTCTTGAGAAGTGTTCAAGCCAATTATATATGTCAGGGATTGTAGATCAAAGCTTCGTAAAATGAAGTCCTTTTGATTTTGTCAGCCACTTCATTTTCTATAGGTATGGAAAACTTTGTTTCAAGTAGTTTACCACTCAAAAATATTACATAACTATTAGGTATTCTTTCAAATGTTGTGCAAGTTTTAAAAATGTAAGTTTTTTCATACTCAATTATTTAGTTACTTATTTTTTGAAAAATTGTGTTCTCATTAATTTAACAATTCCATGCGCGATGCCATTCCATGTCTATATCTGGATTGACTATGGAAAAAAAATGATCTTGATTGCTTTCTTGATTTCAGATCGAAGTTCTAAACAAACATTTACTGCTCACATCAAAACCTGTGATATATCTAGTGAATTTATCTGAAAAAGACTACATCAGGAAAAAGAACAAATGGTCAGTGTTTTATGCTCTTCGATATTGTACATGACTCACGTACAAGCACTAAGGTGGCTTGGTTACGTTACGTCCACGCCTTTGTCACTCGCAAGTCATGGAGCGACTTATAAAAATTTCACCTCAACATTTGACATAAACCCTCTTATTTTATATTTTAGGCTGGCGAAGATCAAAGAGTGGGTGGATAATAATGATAGCGGAGCTGTGATAATTCCCCTAAGCGGTGCTTTAGAATACAAGGTAACTCAAATAACAAAAATTTCCGTTGAATTTCACTCGCCATTGGTTACAGTGCTTTAACAAAATTCCAATTGTGATCTCGTTACGAATTTCCAATTGGCGGAATTTGTGCGAATTACATGCTCAAAGGAGAAGTAAGATTCAGACACTGTAAAATTTCTTTCTTTGCCATTATAAAAGGTTATTTTGGCATTTCCTAGTTGCGGCTTTATGAGATTACAGTTACATCAGCGCTCGAAAATTTTTGAATATGTACGGTGCGCCCTTTTTGAAAACATTTTGCAAATGGTAATCTACGGAAGGCAATGAGCCCTAAATCTGAATAACTTATTTTCCAAAACTTTTAGTTAAAAACCTTTTTTCCTTCTTTTGCTAAGCTTATAGAGTTGGGTCCTGAGGAAGGTGAGAAGTACCTGAAAGAACTTGGTACCCAAAGGTGAGCCTTAGTGCTAGGTTATCTTTTGTAAAAATGTGGCTGGCTGCGTGAATTGTATGTAAGTCTCTGAAATGATTTGGAGAGATGACGTGTACCACGAACAGAAATAGAAATTATCACAGGTCGCGCCCAGGGCGAAAAAATGGGTATCCTTTGCTAAGCGCGGAAGGATTTGCAACATGTATCGAAAGCATAAAGATGCATCTTAGAGGACTCTCTGATTCCACGTCGTGAAACCAAAACTGACCAACCAGAGCAAAGTTTGAAAACACAAGGAACCAATGGGAGCTCAACTTATGTGTTAACAACTGCAAGCGCGGGGAAAAACGGGGAACCAATCTGAGTTTTGCATCTAATTGGTTGAGAAGGTAGCTTAGTTTCTTAACCAATTAGAAGTTAGTCGAGGAAGACAAATGAAATCCTGTGTTATTGTTGGTTCAAAATATAAAAAAATTGATTTATGCTATCATCGGAACTATCGTTTTGTAGAACTATGACAAAATTGTTCCGATTTCGTACAAATAATTTTAAGAATTTCAAGACCTTTCTTTCCGAGCTACATTTATTGGCGATGAAATGATAAATAATTGCAACTCCTTCTGACGTAGATGAGTTACTGTTTTTTTTTCTTTTTTTTTTAATTTCGTTACCAGTGCTCTGGCTAAAATTATTACAACTGGATTCAAGGCTCTTCAATTGCAGTACTTCTTCACGGCTGGAAAGGACGAAGTCAAAGCGTGGACGATTCTGGTGAGAATAAACCAATATCTCTTAAGAAAAAAATGTTTCAGTCAAATATATATTTTAAACTCCAATGATATCTGCGTAACAGACGAGCGAAAATATTCGTCATTTTTCAAGAAGAGTCGACCCTTTAACTCCCAGAGGTGATTATCATGTAACTTCTCCTTATCGTATCCCTACATTATAGAGCAAACTGTTAATGAGAATACTCAAACTTATCAGGTAGAAGTTGTTAACTTGGTCTAACACCAAATTCTCACAACTAATGACAAAGAAATGTGTAGCATTTAGTGGAGAGAATAAAAATTAAGATCCCGGGAGTCAAAGGGGTTGAGGCTACAAAAAGTCAGAGAGACTATTTAATCCTTTAAGTTCAACAAAGCGCGAAAATTAGACGCCTTTCCAAATATTCAAGCAAGAAGATTTCAAACCATCTAACCTTCTCCCATCGCTAATCTCTGCTGAACAGTAAAGTGAATTGTTTGTTTATAAACGCAGTGGCGTCTGATTCAGAATCTGACAGTTTATTGCTTTTTTCCTCTGCAGAAAGGCTCTAAAGCACCTCAAGCCGCAGGGAAAATCCACACCGACTTTGAGAAAGGTTTCATTATGGCGGAGGTGATGAAATTCGACGATTTTAAAGAACTCGGTTCAGAGTCGGCAGTCAAGGTGAAATATGGTTGAATTAAAATTCGAAAATAACTTTACGAGGGCTTTTTGATTGAATGTCGTAAAAACGAAAACATAAGTAATCACAACGAACAATCAGAAGGGAAATACCTTAAGAGCCAATGAGAACTATAAGTACAAAAACAACCAAATTGCCTTAAGCGCGGGAAAACGCGGATGACCTAACGGTTGGTTATAATTTCGAATCTAATTGGCTGAGTGAGTGGGCGTGAAGTGGCGTGAGTTTTCTGGACCAATCACAGAGCAAAGTAAAGCGAAACCAAAGCAATCATGGCTTACTTTGGACACTCAATTGAAAATAGCCCTAATCTTTGTCTCTCTTTTCTTCGTCTGACTGTTTTCATCTTAACTGGTTTTTTTTCGTCCCTTAGGCTGCTGGCAAATACAAACAGGAAGGAAAAAATTATGTTGTTAATGATGGTGACATCATATTCTTCAAATTCAACGCTGGTGCTGGTTTAACGGAAAAGAAGAAGGCCAAATAATAGTTGCATCACACAACTTAAATCGTCATTTATCATAGAAACATAAAATAATTTGTTTCTATCAACTAAGTCGATAGTGTAAATTGGTTATCGTAAAGGGTCTTTTAAGCTGATGTTTTGGGGGTTAGTGCTTCGGCGCTTGAAACGCCAGCTTAAAAAAACTCTTTACGGTGGCAAATTTACGTTATAAACTCAGTTGATAGACCAAATTATCTTTTTACACCCCCTACTGACGCGACACCATAGTTTCCCTGGAAACTTACCCCCTTTATTCATAGAAACTTTGGAACTGAGAACTTTCAGCAAAAATAGAAAAGTGATATTATTCCAAGACTCAAACTGAGAGCTTTCAGTTTTTGAAGGATGGAAAATTCAAAGATTTTCTGTGTCGAATCTTTTAAATTTTCTGATTAGAGGATTTGTAGTTGGCTGCAATTGTTCCTCAAAAGTTGTGCCCAGCGCTCGCGTTAAGTTGCTCTGAAACTTGTTAACTCAGAATTCGATAAGCTTTTAGGTATTCGTCTTTTTTAGGGGAGATCTAGGAACGCACTGCAACGACCAAGCTACCATTTGGAAAAATAAGATTTGAACGTAAACGAACACTTAGATCACTTACTCTGAAGTTGTGCGTGAGGTCGTTTGAAATTTCCTACATAAGGCATATTAATCAAAATACCTTTGACAAAGAAAAGATACTGTTTTATCTGAACAGATTCTTTTATTTTATATAAAGGATTATCGTGTCCTTGTTAGCTCAGCTAAGAGAGAACGACTCTGTAGCTTTGCAACTTTGTCACGCAACCTTCCGTAGCGAACCAGCTAGAAATCTTTAAGGGGAATTGCGTGACGAGTCGTTTAGAAGGATTTTGTGACGAGTTAAAGAGGTTCTCAATCTTCTGTGCACGCAGTATTTGTTTCAGGAGAGTTCAGCGTCACTTGAAGTTCAGGGTAGTTCTAAGCTTAAAATTCAAATAAATGAACCAAGATTTAAAAAAGGCGAAGTTTTTTTTATTGCATTCCGATTATTATAGCGGCCTGTTTCGCTCCTCACGTTCGCCCCGCCCGTTTGCCCCTTGCGTTCGCCGCACGCTTGCTTTGTATTGTTCCTTGCTTTTCCGCGATACATGTTTCTAGAAATCGCAGTACACAACGTTTAAAGAGAGACGAATTTTAATTTTTTGAGGTTTTTGATCGCCCCAAGTAAAAATTAGAAGCTGACAGAGGTGATTTCAAATATGTCCAGAAAAAAATATCGGTTTGTAAAATTAAGAGTGAGTAAGGAAGTAATTGTACCAGAAAAAAATTTCTGATCTTGCTTTGAGAACTATGGTAGTATTTGCAATATACTATGGGGAAAATTGCCCTAACATTGATTCTGAACACTTCAGCAGCAGCAGGTCTTTACGCGCGGCCAAATGTACCTATGAATCCGCCTACCATTCTTATAACCCTATATGGATCCAATGTAAAGATGGAAATATTTTCCTTTCCAATTCAGACTCTCTAGGTCGTTCTAAATGTTTAGAATTGTCTGCTGTGAATCGCCCGCACATGGACGATTTAGGTTTGAAACAAAAGTGCAGAGGATATCTGCACACTGATTTGCATTGCTGACCTACATTCTACATTCCCGCCTAGATAGAAGAGAGCTGTTCATTGGTTGCTTCAATAGCGAATCTCCGACGCGCGTAAGTTCAAGTGTTGTTTGCTACTATGTTGCAAGTTAACACGAAAGACAGTTGCTTTTAAGGCATTAATATAGAAAAATGTGGATAGCGTAAGGCAAAAACTTGGCTCGTTTCGCCTGCCTTAGCTTGCCCATGTAGTCAACAACTCCGAAGACCTGCAAAGAGCCAGGAATTCTTCATATAGAACCTGCCATATTGCACAGGAAGAGAAGGTATGTACGAAACCCGTTTTTCTGTTTTATTATGTAAGGGGGAAGTATCTTCGTGATAGTTCCGTTCAAACGCAAAATTTCTATTCCCGACACTCCATTCTTTCATTTGCTGCTTGTGAAGGAGAATTTTTGTGATGTGTTTGTATGAGTTTGCCTTTGTGGTCAGAGCTCTAGGTCTGAATGAAATTCTTGGCTGGGTCGATGTGTTGTGCCTTTGGCAAGACAGTCTTTACTCTCATATTGCCTCTGACCACCCGGGGGTAACTGGATATCAGTGAATCACCAATACTTCTAATCCCTCACTGCTTCCATAGTTATGGCTAAAAATCACCATAGTCTTAAATTTTTCTTGTATACACATGTGAATAAATCCATGTAATGACACTCATCTTGCATTTTAATAAAGGAACCTACAGTCTGTTTTTTTGCCCTTTCACATGTAATGTAGTGTTGTGGTAGAGGTTGTTTACCTGTAATGATATGATATTTGATGATATGATAAATCCATGTGACAGTAGCTCTTTTGGGAAAATAGATGGTAAATCTAGGTATCTCAAGTTATTTATTTTAAGTGGTACTGAATTGACTTTTGATATCAAGACCATTATTTTTTCTTTATTGTAATATATAGCATGAAGGTTCAGTATGAAGTGATAACCACTTTATGACAGATAATATTTCAGTCAATGAAAGGTATGACTTTCTCTTTATTTATTAGATATTTAATATGTATCATATTTATTGTTTAAAATAAGCTCATATAGTGATTAAGTTATACCATGGCAGCATGAATCAAAATAATTTTTAGTACTTTGTTCATGCCTGATATCACTATATTAATTAAAATCTAGCTTTGTTATTTTGGTAAGTGGTGATGTTAATGGTGTTATTATTAAATGAGATTAACCAGCCAGATTCATAATTACCTCATGTTAATGCAAGCTGGTTTTGCAAACTTTCCTTACAAGAAAACCCCTTCTGTGAAGGTGAACCTGTGTTTTAGAACACTCTGTTACATATGCAACAAGCATGGGGTTAAAACATGCTTTCCTGCCTGTTAACCCTTTATGCCCTAAGATCAGTATGCATATTCTCCATACTGTTCTCTATACATGTCTTAAGGTGCTGACAAGGAGAATTTGTTGAAAAATTAAGAGCTTCTGTATTTGGTGATCATTTCCTTTATTCTCATGACCTTCATGAGTGATTCAGGGGTGATACTGTAAAGAGAAACTAGATGTTAGTCACTCTTAGTGTTTAAAGGGTTAAGGCCACTGAAACTGCCATTTTTTCTGGTAAGAGTACTGATATTGAAAATGTTTAGTCAAAAAGAAGAACAACAATGAAATAAAATTTTCTATTTTAATTTATTGTCCAAACTTTAGACTAACTTATCAGCTACAGTCCTTTTTTGTTTTTTGAAACCAGATTCCTGTAAGAGACAGGAGTGGCCACTTGAAACAAAATCAATATTAAATATATCCTCTCATCATTGAGAAGCTTTTGACAGGTGTATGTACAACTCAGGACTTTGACAAATCCCTTTCATTTACTATTCAATGCTGTCTGTTGTGGTACATTCAGAGAATCTAACTTTCAGATCTGTGGATAAAACACCAGTAGGTGAACTTTCAAATTTTCAGCCATTGAGCAGTACAGTTTCTTACACTGTGCAAGGTGGTTCCAACTTTCAAGTCTGTGGAAAAAAACCAGGAATAGGGCCATTTATATGAAAGCTATTAAGTAGTACTTTCATGTGGTACTGTTTATTATGCTGTAAAGGGTGGTTCTTTCTTTTTTATATGGATAAAGCCTTAGTTTTTAACATTCATTTAAAGTATTTAAGCACTACTTTCATGTGGTACTTTTTACAATGCTGAAATCTAGTTTGTGGCTATTCGTCATGTGATAATGTTTATTAGCCGATTGTATTTCCTTTTTCTTTAAGAAAAGCGAGAATGTGTTGAACCAGCGACTACCACGCAGATTCTTTTCAGCTGTATGCTGCATTATGTTGTACACTAACTTTTCGTGTGCCTTACTCCCAGAGTTCTGCGCGGCGCGCTAACATCAATTTTTTTTTCTCTGAATTTTTTTTTTTTACTCGCGCTTTTTTATGCGATTTTTTTAACTGGCAGACTTTGCCAAAAGACAGGGACTGCTTGTAGTCAGTCCATATACACAAGTTTTAACTGAAAGTCAATCGATAAAAGCTATTTCATACCCGTGATCTCTTTTCAAAATGAAAGCTCATAGGCAGGTAGTGAGTAGTAATTCGACGTTCATGTGACCCTGTTTGTTTCTTTATTATCTTGAAAACCAAAGTTTTTCTCCACCGCTTGAGATTTACCGCGATATTTTTCAGGGCTAAATAATGTTTGAGAACTAATTAAAACATCTAATGATTCGCCGTTAAACTTTCCTTCTTGGAGAAGAAACACACAAAGGAAATGAACAAGGGCACCAGTAAAAAAAAAAACAGAGGAACAAGCATAATTTCTAAAACAAGGTGTTCGCGAGCCTCAACCTTGGGAGAATTCCAATGAATTGATAATACCAACCTGTTAATTGACTTTTTTTTTAGACAAGGCTGATCACCACTGTTGAAAAAAAGCTTCACAGTAGTCATTATATACGTTACTGTTTGAAATTTCCATGGCCCGACCCAGTGATATCTGCACAAACTAAACTTTTCAGCTCAAGGGCTCTTTAAATCCTATTCTGAACAATATTTCCACTTCAAACTTTCTCTTTACCATGTGATAACGAGTTTATTATTTAATTAAGCAGGTTATAAAGAGGAAAGGGTGAATACGCTCAGGTGGGAAAAGTTTGCCTTCGGGGCTAATGCCTTTTCTGTCAGAGTTTCAAGACCGTTTTGATTTTGCGTCATGCAAATTGAGCCAAAGTGTTTTGAAAGTTTTGATTTACAACCCGCGTGAATCTTCTCCATCTTAACAATCCTCATTCGATCTTTGTTTATCACTCTATCTCTCGAGTGATTCTCCATCTTTTAGGGTTTATAATTTTTGATTTTTTTTTCCAAATTTGACTGCACAGTTTTTAACGGCGCGATAAAAGCGGAATACCGCGACTTTCCGACGTTGAATTGACCATTTGAGGTTGCTGTGGAGGGTATTTGTTAAAAACATGTGATGATGAAGTTTGGAAAAAAATGTTTGCATTGACTTGATTTAGTGATAACAGGCAAGACATTTCCACCGGTCACTCTGCAGTCTTAATAACAAAGAAATCGCTGGTTAACAGGGCTTTTCCTCTGTGTTCTGTGTTACTCAACACAATAACCAAATGATCTTATCAACAATAATAACCTACAGTGATTCTATCGCATTATTTTCCCTGTTTCAATGCTTGCACGCTGTGGAAAAGGCGTCTGAAAGACGGAGCGCTCTTGCTCAGATACTCTTTGCATTTCTTCAGCGCGCCGCTGTTAAAACACCGTCATTGGATGTTTCTACGCGTTCATAATAAGCGGTTACTCGTGGCTCCACAGGGGTCTCCCCGCCTTGGCGCCAAAAGCTATTTCGATATGAACAAAACACCGGCCTCTGTTCCACCTTTGTTTAGCGGTTGTCGGTCGCTTTTAGTCGTGGCATTGTGGCCAAAGCGTTTTGCCCTGAGGTGTACTTGTTTGTTGATATTCCATGTTGTCGTTTGGCAAGAAACGGTGTAGAAAAACTTGAATACCTCCCGACACTCTGACGTGGTGGTTTTCTTAAACTTCACTCTTCCGCCGGCTTCTTCGCTGAATTTTGGGTCAGTTTTACTCTAGTTGTTAAAATAACGAAGTTAAACGTGTGGCAAATGAGTTTTAATTTGTGAAAATTGTTTGAGATAAGACTTCAAAGATCAAGCTGGCCATTTTAGCTTTGTAACAAAGTTCTTTGATGGAAAAAAAACCGAATTCCAGCTTGGTAAATCTCGCACGAGCTGACTTTCTATTTTCCCAACGATCCTTAATAAAATTCACCCTATTTAAAATATAATTTCAGATTATACTTATTCAAACTTTGATCTCTCCACTTCTCCGACTAAAATTTTTCAATTAAGGTTAATTTACATTTCACGCTGTGT